ACCCCCCCCCCCCCCTGCATGGTTTGAATATAAGAGAGCTAAGTGAATGTATAATGTACGAAGCATGACGCATGTAATTATTGAACTTTAAGATTATAAACCATCATTTTTTAACTCGTGACCAATTGCGTAAAGGATCGTTTACTTTTCTATGCGAGGAAGGAAACTTTTGGAATCGAGTATCTGTAGCAAATATATCTTCCGTGGCTTTGATTATTTTTTAATTGCGAAAGAAAAATACTTTTTTGATTATTTATAAATTTTCCAGAATTTCTTTTAGGTTAAAGCTTAGCAAAAAATCTTTTGATCCAAGGTTATTGACCCAGACCATAATATTTTATTCGAAAAAAATTTCCCTTTTTTGAGATAATGGGGGTAAAACATGGAGGTTAGTGACCAACCAGATTATCAAAGTTGTATTTGCTACAAAACCTAATTTTCTCATCCTTATATTTTAGCAACCTTATGGTTTAAACCTTTGATATTTCAAACTTTGATTATTTGATCTAACAGAATAAGTATTTCGGAATATATAAGGTTCAAGATTTAGAGATAAAATAAATCAGAGTTTGAGACAAAGGCTCAATTTCTTTTAGTGAGAACTTTCTTAATTTTTTTGAAAAATCCGATCCTAAGTTTGCAAATTTCTTAAAGAGACTTCAGACGCAATTTCAAATAACTGTAAACATATAGAAGGAAATGTCCGATTTATACACATGGTGGACTAAGCCAGTGGGGTTGGTCAAATAGGCCTAGGATTAGGCCGGGTACTGTAAAAAGTCTGAACGCGCTATGGGAGTTGTCATAGTTAGCCCACGCAAGAAAATTGACCCCTGTCGTATGTTAGTCTGGTTAGGGCGACATACTGTACCATGGGATCGGGTCAGTACACGCTCTTATCTTGCAGGCCGGTACAGACTGGGCAGGTCCTGTACGGGATAGAGTGAACAACTATGTCCGAAAAAGCTTTGTCTGATCAAATACGAATAAGATGCTAAAGTTCCTCTTTTTAAAAACTAATTAATTTTCAATTTTTGGGTTTCTCTGCAAAAGTGTTATTGCGCATTTCTATTTCAGAAGCAAGGGGAGGGAAATTATCAAAATTAAACTCTTTTCAAGGTAGAAATACGACGCCATCTTGATAAAAAGGTTTATTAAAATTACACGTTTTTAAAATTAAAGTTTTAAAGTTTTAAAGCTTTATTTGTATCTGTATAATGCTCCATGAACCTAATGTTTCACAAAATAATTTCACAATATATTTCTTTCTCAAATAATGACTTTTTTAAAGGGAGTGACCGGCTATGTAAGGTAGTTTGTAGTTTGTAGTGTTACGGAAAACTTCTTTCGAATTCATTTGAGACATATTAAACTTTTTAAAGATCTGTAAATCCTGAGTTTGAGGGCAAATTCGACGATCAAAACTCCTACTTTGGGAGTGGATACGTTTTCAGAATTAGTTTTTTTTTAATTATTAACCCTATCCCTGCTGGGGTACTTGAAAACCAGGATACGCTGGGGGGGTCAATTTGACCCCCCCCCCCCTCTAAATCCCATGTTTTATGTCCAAATATGACAAATGATACATCATTAGAAAGCTCTTGTGCTCTACTTTTAGAATCTGCAAAAAAATTTGCAAATTTGCGAAAATTGAATTTTTTATCGCAAAATCCAGTTTTATAGTAAAAATGTTTGCAAAAAAACATTTGTCCAAAAAATGAAAAATTATACATTTTTGAAAAGCCCTTGACCATGCCATTTCAAATATGCAAAAATTTTTGCAAAATTTTAAATAACCTGATTTTTAATCAAGAAAAACTAAAAATGTGCAAATTTCCTTTGACAGGTTGTTTGCAAAAAATTTGCAATTTTTTTTCGCAAAACTTGTGCAATCCGTTTCCTTATGTCATAGGCTTTCCAAAAAGCTAAATTTTATCAAAATCTGACAAGTGAAAGTGGGTCAAAACAAAGATTTAGTTTGTTACAGGCAAAAGCAGTCATTCAGGCAGTGTGCCTGAGGACTCAGGCAGTTAGTATTAAAGCCCGGTTTTAGGCCTAAAAGGAGGGCTTTGGGTATGTAAGAAAAGTCAGAAAATTTCAACAGCCTCAGACCAATACTTTTTGAGTTATGTAAAAAAAACTACAGGGGGGGTCAAATTGACCCCCCCCCCCCCCCGGAGGAATAGGGTTAAAACATAAAATGTAAAAAAGTTCTACAATAAACTACAGACGTCATGTCTAGGAAACATGTTGAGAAAATAAAAATTAATCTTATCATCGAAAATAATAACGTTTTTTAATATAGATGATGAATTATTAATGTTTTGCTAAATTAAACGAAATAAACTTATTAAACCATTAATCAAATAAACAATACGTAATGTGTATACAATATACAATATACCATTGTAATCAGGAGATTGCATGAAATATATTTTGTTGGTATTATCATCTCTAAATTTCAATTTTTATCAAACTTAAATCATCTGTATTATTAACAAACTTGTTTGTTTGTGTAAAAGTAAAAATAGTTTTTTTTAAATATTGTTCAGGACTTCAAAGTTTACAATTTCCAAAAAGTTTTTAATTCATCACATAAGTTAATTTTATATAATTTAATAACGAGCATGCCTTTAATTAACTGATCAATAATTTGGAGGATATCGTTGTATTTCTAGCTTTAAAAGTATACAATTCTCATAATTTCTCCATTGTTTCGCAGCAGAAGTTCGCAAGTCACTTTTGTAGAGAAACTGCAATTAAATCAGTCCAAAAGAGAATAAAAGATTTATTCATGCTTGATTAAAAAGCTTTTAAGGGTACCGTTGTGAATCAGACCTTACACTCTTACACTCACTTGAAAAAAGAAAAAAGTTGAAAAAGTTGAAAAGTAAAATATGGTTTTGTATTTGATTATTGCTATTGGTATAATAACGATTTATTCCATCATTTACAAGAATTAAAATTTACCATATTTTATATCAATTATAATTTTATTTATTGTTTGAAAAAATCTTTGGAATATGTCACACATAAACACTAAGTGAGGAATTCAAGAATTGTAAAACACTTTTGATGCATTTGGCTAAATATATATTTTATATATATATATATATATTTTAATATATTTATATATATTTAGTGGTTGAAGGTTTATAGAAAACGATTTAGTCAAGATGGAAAAATGAACATGGTCAAGTTTTTACGGAATTACAAGTGCGAATCTCCGACCGCATAACTTTTAGTGAAATAGATATTTTGTTTGAAAACGTGCAAGATTTTGATAAAAAAAGAAATTTACTCTAGTCTATTTAGACTTCATCCTGTTTATTCTAATTCATTTTTCTTTTATTTCTACCTTTATGTCCAGTATTTTGAAGTATTTTGTGATTTGGACCGAGTTTAAATCAACCTAACAATCAAACATTCAAACAGACAAACAAACACCCAAACGACAGAATTGATATTGTTTAAGATATCAACATTGAATAAGGAATGTTCGTGAGAGTTTTTGCGGGAAACCACAGCATCAAGCATCTAATAAACAAGGCAGAAACCAAATAAAGGGGGGGGGGCATCAAGCATCTAATAAACTAGACAGAAACAAAATAAAATTATAAATTATTTGAGTTGGTTCTTTTTAAATAATATTTAGTTTACAACTCGTTTCCATGACTTGCGCTGGGTTTTCGAACATTCCTGAAAAATATGAAAATGTCGTCTTCATTATCAAAAATCCTCGAAACAGGAATAAATGTTTTCAAAAGTAACTCTCAGATCATATAAAAATAAAAAATATTATGAATTATCAACTACATACGAATGTGTCGAAAAATTATCGATGATTAAAGGTTGTATAATATCTGAATGATTTGTTCGGAATTAAATTGATTTTTTTTTTATCCGTGTTGTATGTTGCAATTTTCTGAGTTTGTATGGACGCTACGTTCTTCCGTATAAGTCGTATTTAACAATATTCTCCTTACAGACGCAACAGATAGAACTAAGATTAGTAGCGATCATCATCGATATTTTTTCGCCGTAAGCCTATACCCCATTTCATTTTTCGCGAACACCCTCTTTAAAGTTCTGTTTATTCAAAAGTTCCCTGTTAATGAAGGGGGGGCGGGGGTCCGGTCTGTGGTCATTCAATTTAAGATGATTACTAAACTATTGCATGGTTTAGGATGATTAAGGGTGTGAATAAAATGGTTAAGATAAACTAATAGATTCATGAAATTATTCATTTCATTTAAATATAAAATATTTATGCAATTAAATATAAAATAAAATTTATTCTTATTGCATGTATATTTAGCAATAATTATATTCTTAATAAAACAAGATTTATTACGGATTTAAAGATTAAAACCTTAAATAAATGTTAAAAACTGATTTTTGAAAATGAAATGTTTTAAATGCAAAGCATATGTTTTCAAAGAACAGATATAAGAAATGCTTAGAGCTTCTGAAAACTAAGGAAATTAAGGAAATTGACAAAATGACAGTTTTCATGTCAATAAATCCACCCTTCACCCCTCCTCCCTTCCCCCTCCTCCCTTCCCCTACCTACTTTTCCGCGTAATTCGATCAACCATTAATTTCTTCCCAAAACATTGTTCACTGATTTGTTACGTTTTTTTCTTCGGCAATTCTGCTTAACTGATATTTCATGAAAAAAGGTTCTTAAACAACAAATTAGTTCATACAAGAATTTTTGTTACGCTTTTCGTCCAGGGTTTTGAATAAGTTTTTAAAAATTGAATCTTCAGAGCAAGCCTCCAGAATTATTACTACTTATGATTTTACAAAGGGCGATTTTTTGTTCTTATTTAGCCGTAAACGTAAAACGTTTTGGTTGTCAAATGAATCCTGATGTTTTCTTTATAATACCATGCATTCCCAGTTCAATTACCATACTTGATCACTCCCTTTTTAAGAGTAATTGAGAAAAATATAATTCACACTTAACGTTTAAGTTTAAGTTTGTGTTAAATTATAAATTGAACCGAAAAGGACTGATTTGATCTTTTTCCATTATATTTTCTAGATATTTTTAGAGCATAGGGTCATCTAGATTTACAATTAAGTCTTGAAGTGCACTACACTACACGATGACGGCCGAGGGGGGGGGGGTTAATATTAATTTACTGGGGATAGGGGGGTAACGGGGGTTGGTGGAGAGTTAGAAAAAAGAAGAATTAGTTTAAGATGTTGTAAAAAAAATCATTTCCTTAACAGGATTGTTCAATTATTCTCATAAACTAGTCTAACCGAACAGGACAAAGGGGAAAGGGATTAGGACCCCCCCCCCTCCTCACCCTACACGTTATCCTTTACATAGACATTGATATAGACATAGACAAGACATAGACAAGACATAGCCTAGACATAGACAAGACATAGACAACACATAGACAACACATAGACAACACATAGACAATACATAGACAACACATAGACAACACATAGACAACACATAGACAACACATAGACAACACATAGACAACACATAGACAATACATAGACAACACATAGACAACACATAGACAACACATAGACAACACATAGACAACACATAGACAACACATAGACAACACATAAATAAGACATAGACAAGACATACACAAGACATACACAAGACATAGACAAGACAAAGACAAGACATAGACAAGACATAGACAAAACATAAACAACACATAGACAACGCACAGATAACACATAGACAAGACATAGACAAGACATAGACAAGACATAGACAAGACATAGACAAGACATAGACAAGACATAGACAAGACAAAGACAAGACATAGATAAAACATAGACAACACATAGACAACACATAAACGACACATAGACATCAAATAGACAGCACATAGACAACACATAGACAACACATTGAATACATATAGACAAGACATAAACATCACATAGACAAGACGTAGGCAGACATCTGCATCAATTTGCAACACTTAAACACTTGAAGCTATAATATCTCAATCTCTACAAATTGCCTTGAAATTGTTACTTTTTGCAATCAATTTGTTTTGCTTTGCAAATCAAGCGATAAATATGTATTGCCAAGGAAGAGAAAGAAAATATATTTTCATGCTTAATCCATTCCTTTCATTTAAAAAAAATCCATGTCTGATTTTTGAAAATGGCTGTATCTGTTCTTACATTAATTGTATTGCCTCTAAGTACCTAATTAAAAGATGCATCAAACACTTATTAAACATGGAGTAAGGACATAAAGTCATTAAATATGATTAAAATAACATCAAGCCTTACAAGCATAATTATTTCCTATCCCCCTCCTACTCTTTTTAATAATTAACCCTTCCCCCCCCCCCCCCCCCGGTCTATGTACAGAGGATGCATATTGCCTCACATCCTAATTTGGAGCGCTTGATAAAAACATAAAAGTATTGCAGTGCACTCAAATATGCTTAGATCTTTACCAACTGTAACTAGCAGGGAAGTGTTGAAGATGGGGGATGTATTTAAGGGAAGTGTTGAAGATGGGGGATGTATTTAAGGGAAGTGTTGAAGATGGGGGATGTATTTGAAAAAAGAACAAATGAAAAATAAAATAAAGGAATGAATGTGAATGAATGTAAAAGTACACAATATATATGAATGCATGGGAATATACGAATATGAATGTATGCAATATGAGTGAATGTATGCCATATGGATGAATGAATGGTAATGTATGCAATATGTATGATTGAATGTGAATGTATGCAATATGGATGAATAAATATGAATGTATGCAATATGTATAAATGAATAAGGATGTTTGCAATATGAATGAATGAATGAGAATGTATGCAATATGTACGAATGAATGTGAATGGATCTCCTAAAAGATTACATAGATTAGATTAGTACAAGTACAGAGGGAATGACCCAATGAGACTAAAATTTAAGATAAATAATCTCAAAATTGCAAAAACAAAAAATATTCGAGATTAATTGTTCTTAAATTAAACATTTTTCTTTGTGGTACTTTTCAAGAGGAATCTTAAAAATCAGAAGTTCAGATTTTTAAAATTTACTCTTTGCTTTTTATAATTCTTGGTGTAAAGGAAGCCACTGTCTTAAACTACGGAATCGTGTTCAATTATCAGGATTAAATATAGACATGCACAGTACACATACCTTCCCTTACAGTGAGGCGAGGGTAGGGGGGGGGGGGCATCTTCCTCTTGAAAAATGGGAATACGCCCCCTTGGAAACATTTGGGGCGCAACTAGAGAAAGGGACAGCGTCCAGCTCCTTTCTTTTATTTTTTAAAAATAATTGAAAAATTTAAGCGATCATATTAAATCCAAACTATGAACCCCCCCCCCCCTCCTCTGTACCACAAGAAAATTGTACATTTATTAGGGTTATTTAAAATAACATTGCTACATTGCTACTTTTAAATTACAAATGCATACTTGCAATCCTGCCTTGAATTAGGCTTTAACTCGTGAATATCTAAAATGCATGATGGCATTCGTGTCATATACTTACATGCATCTGTCATGGTTACAGGGGGGGGTATCTATAATTGGTTGTAATTCTATTTCTCCTGAAACAGTATTTTTTGAACAGATTTTTGACATATTTGTCTCAAATGAACTCGGAAAAAATAATAGAATAGTTTGCAGTTTCCAATTAAAGCTGGGTTTCCAAAATAGAATGTATATGAAGTAGTAATCTCTTTCCGTTTGTAGGTCGGATCATAACTCATAAACCCCTAAACTGATTCGCCAACAATTTTGGTTGAGGAACTCGGTAGAACCACAAAATGGTTTTAGCCTGGTTTAAAGTGCTAAGTTCACGGGCAGCCGTAGTACATTTGAACTTCCGAGCCGGGTCAACCTTTCCGGTCCCAGTTTGTACTGTACCTAGCTCTATGGACAGGACTAGCCGGTGCAACAAGGTTGCTTCATATAGGTTGAATTTACTTTTACTAAAGAGGCAGAGGTGCGTGAGTTGACTAAGGGGACGTTAATAGGGAAAACTTAGCTTACAGGCAAATATGGGTTCCCAAGCTAGTTTTTTTTCTGAAATGAGGCTCATTTAGCAATATTTCTAAAAACGTCGAAAATTTTATAAAAATCTTCCCAACTTTAACAAAACCTATTCTAGGGTTTGGTCAGGATGAGAAGGTCTCCAGTCTTGAGAATAGTAGGAGGGTGGAGAGCCCCCGTAAATCCCGAACTGTAGGACGAGATGATCTAAGATCTAATGTATCCGACTCCAATATTAAACGCTACCGGAGAAGAAGGTATTTATGCAAACCAAAATCTTTAAGATATAATTTAGGAAAATATTTTGTGATTTTTAAACTTACAGAAAAGTCGAAAGCTAAGTTTAGAGGGATAAAAATAAATGTTTAGTTTTGTTATCTCAATATTTTTATTGACTTTAATGTTTGCATCGAAACATTAAAAAAAATATAAGGGCCGTATTATACTAATTATATTAAAATGTATTTATATATACAATTTAAAAGATATCTAAAACTGAAGTTTTAATCCAACAAACTTTAAATGAAAATTTTAGGGCAAGGATAAAGAAAAAGTCATGGAGAAAATAAAAAGAAAAAAACATTACATTCGAATGATTTGGAATCAAAGCATTAAAACAAAACTTGATATATCGCATTTACCATTTAAAACTCCCTGTATTTGGTGAGAGAATGTGGAACGTTATTTCCGCTCATTTTTTTATTCTGAACCATTATTACCAGAAAACATGATAATTCATCAAAAAAAATGTAAAATGTCAGCTTTAGTATAGCAATCTGTAAGGAAGCAAAACTATAACATAAACTAATAAGGAAGAAGGCAGTATATCTACATTTGTTTGTGCATGATGGAATTGCTTAAAAATAAAATAATTTACAGAGTGTCTCAAAACATAGGAATTAAGAAACAACTTATAATTTAATTTACGTAAAAAATGCACGGAAATCTGAGCAGATATTAAAGTTTCACGCTTATTGGGACACCCTGTAAGACTGAGATTGATGAGATTCCTTGTTTATTGGGACACAATGTAAGACTGAGAGTGATGAGATTCCTTGTTTATTGGGACACCCTGTTAGACTGAGAGTGATGAGATACCTTGTTTATTGGGACACCCTGTAAGACTGAGAGTGATGAGATCCCTTGTTTATTGGGACACCCTGTAAGACTGAGAGTGATGAGATTCCTTGTTTATTGGGACACCCTGTAAGACTGAGAGTGATGAGATTCCTTGTTTATTGGGACACCCTGTAAGACTGAGAGTGATGAGATTCCTTGTTTATTGGGACACCCTGTAAGACTGAGAGTGATGAGATTCCTTGTTTATTGGGACACCCTGTAAGACTGAGAGTGATGAGATTCCTTGTTTATTGGGACACCCTGTAAGACTGAGAGTGATGAGATCCCTTGTTTATTGGGACACCCTGTAAGACTGAGATTGATGAGATCCCTTGTTTATTGGGACACCCTGTATGAGCTGATGGTGATGAATTACCCTCTGTATTGAAACCCTAGTATTGATAGGATTGATAAGATAAGTAGGATTGGTAGGATTGGTAGGATTAGTAGGATTGGTAGGATTGTTAGGATTAGTAGGATTGGTAGGATTGGCAGGATTGGTAGGATTGGAAGGATTGGCAAGATTGGAAGAATTTGTAGAATTTGTAGGATTGGTAGAATTCGTAGGATTGGTAGGATTAGTAGGATTGGTAGGATTGGTATATTGGGAAGATTAGTAGGATTGTTAGGATTGGTAGGATTAGTAGGATTGGTAAGATTGATAAGATTAATAGGATTGGTAGGAATGGTAGGATTAGTAGGATTAGTAGGATTGGTAGGATTGGTAGGATTGGTAGGATTAGTAGGATTGGTAGGATTGGTAGGATTGGTAGGATTGGAAGGATAGGTAAGATTGGTAGAATTTGTAGAATTGGTAGGATTGGTAGGATTAGTAGGATTGGTAGGGTTAGTAGGATTGGTAGGTTTGGTAGATTGGTAGGATTAGTAGGATTGTTAGGATTATTAGGATTGGTAGGATTAGTAGGTTTGGTAGGATTAGTAAGATTGGTGGGATTAGTAGGATTGGCAGGATTGGTAGGATTGATAGGATTGGAAGGAATAGTAGGAATGGTAGGATTGGTAGGATTGGTAGGATTGGTAGGATTGGTAGGATTGGTAGGATTGGTAGGATTGGTATTATTAGTAGGATTGGTAGGATTGGTATTTTTAGTAGAATTGGCAGGATTGGTAGGATTGGTAGGATTAATAGGATTGGTAGGAATGGTAGGATTGGTAGGATTGGTAGGATTAGAAGGATTGGTAGGATTGGTAGGATTGGTAGGATTAGTAGGATTGGTAGGATTGGTATTATTAGTAGAATGAGTAGGATTAGTAGGATTGGTAGGATTAGTAGGATTGGTAGGATTGGTAGGATTGGTAGGATTGGTAGGATTGGTAGGATTGGTAGGATTAGTAGGATTGGTAGAATTGGTGGGATTGGTAGGATTGGTAGGATTGGTAGGATTGGAAGGATTGGTACGATTGGTAGGATTGATAGGAATGATAGGATGGTAGGATAGGTAGGATTAGTAGGATTGGTAGGATTGGCAGGATTGGTAGAATTGGTAGGATTGGTAGGATTGGTAGGATTGGTAGGATTGGTAGGATTGGTAGGATTGGTAGGATTGGTAGGAATGGTAGGATTGGTTTATATTCGAATATCTGGGTACTCATCTAAACACATGATGAGGCAATAGCAGTGTGACAGGAGGAACGGAAGTTAGATCTAAGAGATAAAACAGATATATAAGCATACATACAAATACATAGAGAATAGACAATAGACATACAGATGATGCATCAAGGAGTGATGCAGAAATCTGTTGTACAGAACCACAGAATTATGGAGATACATGATTTTTTAACTCTAAATATTGTTTTCAATTAATGTTTGGTCGCTAATTTAACGTAGCAAAAGTGTTGCATCCTTTTCCTTTTATATTAATACTTATACAAATATATATATATATGTAAATTTATATATATAAATAAATATAACTATCCTTTTCCTTTTATATTAATACTTATACAAATTTATATATAGGTAAATTTATATATATAAATAAATATATAATATAAATAAAGCAATATTCAGAGCAGTCTCAGTTTTTCATATAATTGATACAAATTGTTTCAGATCTCTCGATCCTTATCAGTCAGTAAACATGTTTATACATATATATATATATATATATATCTGATGAATTATATATTCTAGGTTCACCATATATTGAACCATATATTTTCTAGGTTTACTAATCTGATAAATTATATATTCTATGTTTACTAATCTGATAAATTATATTTTCTAGATTTAATAATCTGATGAATTATATATTCTAGGTTTACTAATCTTATGAATTATATATTCTAGGTTTATTAATCTGATGAACAATATATTCTAGGTTTACTAATCTGATGAATTATGTTTTCTAGGTTTACTAATCTGATGAATTATATATTGTAGGTTTACTAATCTGATAAATTATATATTCTAGGTTTACTAATCTGATAAATTATATATTCTAGGTTTACTAATCTGATAAATTATATATTCTAGGTTTATTATTCTGATGAACAATATATTCTAAGTTTACTAATCTGATGAATTATGTTTCCTAGGTTAACTAATCTGATTAATTATATATTCTAGGTTTACTAATCTGATTAATTATATATTCTAGGTTTACTAATCTGATAAATTATATATTCTAGGTTTACTAATCTGTTGAACCATATATTCTAGGTTTACTAATCTGTTTGGATCTGATGTTGAAGATGAACTGAAAAGTGTAGTATCTGATATCCCTGCTCTTCACTGCAGATCTTCCAGTACAGTAAGTTTTCTTCAAAAGTAATTGTTTTTCAAAACGATTTTTTAAAAGATGTTTTTATTACATATTGCATAATGTGCATTGTGCAAACTGGCTTTGTTATAAGATACGAGGCTTTTACAACTTCATTTTAAAACATTTTCTCTTTGTATACATTGTAGAACAAAACAAAAATTTCGCGGGTTTTAAAAAAGAAAAATTGTGGATTTTCAAAATTTTCAAAAATCGAATTTTGTTAGAGGCATATTTTTAAAAATTCAATCTTCCATAAACCTTCCCTGGGGTCAAGTGAGGACCACAAAAAAATTGGGCCCAATCCGTTCAGCCGTTTTGACGTTTATTGGATACAAACAAACAAACAGACACTCAGATAAGCAAAGTATATATATTAAGTTGTCTAGAAATGGTAGAAAATTGAATTTAAATACTGCACAGTTTTGAATCAGTGATAGTTTGTAAAACATAAAATTTCAAACAAATTGAGCAAAGGGACTAATGTTTATATTGAAAAATATGTACTGAAAATTGTGACCCCAAAAAAGGGGGGGGGGGGGGGGGGAGAGAGATTATTACAACAAACGTTTTACAAATCAAAATTTAAATTTTTCGCAAAGGAGATAGCCTTTTAAATTTGCATTTGTCGTATCAACAATGTTGCATTGCATTAAAAATGATTTGCAAAAGGATAGTTTTCAATAACAAGTTGATTTTTCGTAGAACTGTGTGAACGAGGTTGGAGGTAGGCTCCAGGTGTATCGAGGACAAGAGGCTAGGGATGAGGACAACAGGTTGGTGTATAGAGGACGGGAGGACGCAGATGAGGACAACTATTACTATTCAAGGAAATCAGATAAGAAGGAAAATCGTTCAAGGAAACTAGTTAGCAGGAAGGAGGATGACTATCCAAGGAAATTAGACAAGGTTGAGGCAAAAATGATTTCAATCCAGGTAAAAAACTCTTTGTGACAATTTATTCCCGCCCCCTCCTCTCTTCTATTTCAATTTTTTTCACCCCCGTCCCCTTCCCCTTCTTTTCTAATATTGTTTAACCCTCTTACCCCCACCGCCTTCCTTTTCTAATTTCATTCCCTTTATAAACCTTCCTTGCTTAATACATTCAAAAAACTACCTTCTTATTTACTTCTCCCAACACCGGCCTCGTAAATCCAACCAAGACCAATTCCACGTAAATCCCTCCAGGATCAATTCCACATAAATCCCTCTAAAATAAATAAATCCCTCCAGTAAAAATTCCACGTAAACCCCTCCAAAAACAACCCAACATAAATCTCTTCAAGACCAATGCCACGTACGATCATTCAAAAGCAATTCCAATTACAATTCCTAAACCAACAATTCCATATATCCCCCAAGAACAATTCCAAGTAAATCCCTCCTAGAAACTTGGCGTTAATTCCTTTCATCTTAAAAAACATGCTTAAACCCGCATGCATTAATTGTTAAAAACCCAAAGAAAAATACTATCAATTTCTTCCTTTCTGCTACAAAAATTCGCAAATGATTTTAATAAAAAAACCTGCCATTGAAAAGTAATAATTTTCCGAGTATGTGGAATCATGTTTTGTAAGAAAAATAAACTTTAAAACTCGGTTTTCCAGGAATCGTTGAAGAAAGATAAGATTCAGCTGAAGAAAACCAAGGATGATACGAATAAAGGAAAGAGAAGTCAAGAAAGAAACTTGGAAAGGATTCTGGAGAAGAGTCAGGATAGGAGCCAGGACAGGAGCCAGGACAGGAACCAGGACAGGAACCAGGAAAGGAACCAGGACAGGAACCAGGACAGGAACCAGGAAAGGAGCCAAGAGAGGAGCCAGGAGAGGAACCAGGACAGGAACCAGGACAGGAACCAGGACAAGAACAAGGAGAAAGAGGAATTAAAGAACTTAAATCTACAAATTAAAGAAAGAGACGCCCTAATAGCAAGGTAAAATTTTTTTCTAGAACTAACTAAAGTCGTAACTTTTTATTGCTAAATCCGTTAATAGCGAACTAAGTCGATTCAATTCACACTTTGAGGTTAATCCAGATGTTTCTAAGCTATTTGTCTGCTATGTTAGCTGTTCATTACCGGAGCTGCCCCTATAGTTATAAGTCTGACTGGATCTTCTAGCTGCTCCAGATATATAATCAGCTATCTGTAAAAAATTAGCGTCCCCAGTCTCAGGTTTAAGCAGCATCTAATATCTTGAATATCCTAGTTCTCTTCTGTATCCAGGATATTCCAGTAGGTAGTTCAGACGGACTGGTACAAGAGCAATTGGTTCAGTTCTAGAAGCTACATGATATGAATCTCTCGATGAGGTCTACAGATGAGCATGGTGAACCAGTGTGTGTGTCTCTTCTAAACCAGTTGTAGAGTAAAGAGCGTCCTCTGATATCTTCAGTGATGATGAGGACTCCGAGGATGGATATATCTTCTTGTATAATGAGGTGGAAGGAGGTCAATGTCCTCCTTAGTTCCTAGGTCGGCATGGTAAAGATATATCTATCTGTTAGATGTCTGTTAGCTGTGTGTTGTGCAAGCCACCCAGCCTTCCTATATAAACGGGAGATTAAACTCTACGTCTGTATTCTAGAAAGGTTGGTTGTGCACTGATCTTATCCTTCGTGTTCTCTACTTAGCTCAGAGCCGGAGAAAGGGTTGAAGGGTTTTCCAGTATACGATCATACTTTAAATATTACATCATGTTTTGAATATTACAAGATACACATTTTTTATTCTATCTATGTATTGCATACATATTCATTTTGACCTTTTTGAAATACGATCGTTTCGTTTTGTAAATTCGTTGAAAAAAAACGAAACGGTCGTTTAAAAAAGACCGCAATTTTGACAGACAAAGATAGTCTTTTTAAGTTAAAATTTTTTTAGTTCGTCATTTTGTTGACGAAGGTAAGTCGTTTTTATTTTCTAACGATCGTTAACGACGCCCTTCATATATATTGATCGTCTCTTTTGTTGTGTCATCAAATAATTTTATGATATTTTAATAGTATTAACACTTAGTTTTCAATATTAAAACTTATTTAATTTCAACTTAATTTGCACATTTTTGTGGTCTTAGTTCTATCAAAATAATCTATTAATGAAGTTTTTATTATTCAAATCAATATTTGGTTCCAAAATATGTACCATGTACAAATTGTAGGATGAACTATTTTAGACTGCGGAGTAAGGTGAAGGAGCCTGGCCCAGGGAGAAGATTGAAGAACTTAAAGATGAAGAAGGAGAAGAAGGAGAATAGTATTAATGTCAAGAAAGTCCGAATTCAACAGGCAAAACTTCACCAGTAAGTTTAATTATATACATGCTTATCAGGGGTTCTTTTAAACACATCTGAAAAATAAACACAAAAATTGCTTCTTAAAACCAGGTGCTAACAACAAGCGCTTTGTGCTGAAATGTACATGTAAAGGGCTACAGAAAAGCATAAGAGAGTTAGAGCTGTAAAATCAAAGCCCATGGCGTTGCGACAATTCAAAGTCTACCCTGTCTTAAAAAGTAATAAGACGTTTTATAAGCAGGCTGAATCTATGGGGAACTGAACTTGGTTATTTTTGTTTATTAACTACGATATCAATTTACAAATTACAGAAACATGATACAGTATATAATCAATTTTAGGAAAATGTGTAAAAATTTTATTTGATTTTTAGCATGATCGAATTTTTTCTTATTTTCTATATTTTAGGGACCTTGATTCTCGAATAGTGTTGGCTGAGTTAGAATACAGTTTAGAGAGAGATCAGATTGATCTTATGGAATTAACAAATCAAATCAGGTTAATTGATCTTTTAGAACTAACGAATTAAACCTGGTTAATTGAACTTTTAGAACTAACCAATTAAATCAGGTTAATTGATCTTCAAATCAAGTAAGGTTGAATTGATCTTTTTAGCTAACCAATTAAATCAGGTTAAATTGATCTTATTTATCTGACAAATCAAATCAGGTTCAATTGATCTAACAAATCAAATTAGGTTAGATGATTCTTATTGATCTAACAAATCAAATTACGTTAAATTGATTTTATAGAACTAACAAATCAAATTAGATTAAATTGATCATATAGAACTGACAAATCAAATCAGGTTAAATTGATGTAACAAAATTAAATTAGATTAAATTGATCTAATTGATCTAAAAAATCAAATTAGATTAAATTTATCTTATAGAACTAATAAATCAAATTAGGTTAAATTGATCTTATTGATCTTAAAAATCAAATTAGATTAAATTTATCTTATAGAAATAACAAATCAAATTAGGTAAAATTGATCGTATATGTAGAACTATCCAATGAAATTGATCTTATTGATCTAACAAATCAAGTTAGGTTAAATTGATTTATGTAACTAACAAATCAAATTAAGTTAAATTGATCTTATATGTAGAACTAACCAATGAAATTGATCTTATTGATCTAACCAATCAACTCAGGTTAAATTGATCGTATATGTTGAACTAACAAATTAAATCAGATTAAATTGATCCTTATATAAGACTCACAAACCAACTAAAATTGAATTGATCTTATAGATCTCACAAATCAAATCAGGATAAATTGATCATATTTAGCAATCCAATCAAATCAGAGCTGGGAAGTTATGAATAAGTTAAATTGATCTCTAACAAATCAAACGAGGATAAATTGATCTCATAGAAAGCTCACAAACCAAATAAGATTAAATTTATCGTATACAGAACTCTTAAGTCTCAAATCAAATCATTAAAAGTATTATATGAAAACATAACTTCATTAAAAAAAAGAAAATATCTAAATATTAAAATTTAATAAAAAATATTTGATTGTCAGGAACCTGGAGGAGGGGCGAGGTGAACAATCCCTTTATTGTTTGCTTAATCAAGGAACTTTCCAGGTAGGAATATAATATCAATGCAATAAAGACTACTTTTCTTTTTAAGTTTTGATTTCTAAAGGACTTTTTCAAATTACAAGTTTACGAGTAAACCGAAAGAAGCTGTTAATGCATAATTTGTTTCCATGTTCCTATACCATTCTATTTAAAAGCTTGTTATAAATCAAAATTGAAAGCGAAAGTCGTCTTTATTGTATATATTAATGAATTTTTCATCAAAACCCAGTGACTATAGTTTAAAATTTTAGATGACTTAATTTAAGTATTTTGATCAATATCAGTTTTGTGTCTCTACTGGGGCCAGATTTAATTAATCATGTTGAACCATGTATGACGTGACTTAATCACTTCTTTTAGGCTTTACCATCGCACTAGAGTGGTTTAACTACGTCTCAGCGGTTCAGCCACTTCTCACTATTAATTAAATTTGATCCCGTGTAGAATTACTAAATGGCCGCAAACTTTATTTAAGTTGTTTTCTGTGGTAAACTTTTTAGTTACCACATATTGGTTAACACTCAGATGATAAACTTACTACTTTTTTCTTTTCTTTTTTCAGTATTTATAATTCAATACTTAAAAACAAAACACAAATAGATTAATTAAACAAGATAGCTGATCTGACATTTTAAATAAAATTTATTTTGAATACATCACGTTTGCACTTTTTAAAGACGGAATAGTCCAGGAAAGAATTAAGAAATATATAATTATGAAAGAATGCAAATCAAACCCATAAACCCGGAGAAAGGTTAGAATAAACCTTGATATTCCAGGTTGTACTCTGTAAGAGTGTTGATGTGAGTTGTCTAGTTCTAACAGATCGAGGAGTAGAACTCACTGGACTCCATCCTGACGGAGTACTCCAGGATGGAGATATACTCCTAGAGCTGGCGGGGGAGTACATGCCGGATATGGTTGAGCTGGAGTGGGAATCCTTTAGAAAAAAACTTCGAGAACATCAAGATCATAATATAGTTGCTGTCAGGTACAAGGGGGTACAAGGATACGACTGTCAGGTACAAGGGGGTACAAGGATACGACTGTCAGGTACAAGGGGGTACAAGGATACGACTGTCAGGTACAAGGGGATACAAGGATACGACTGTCAGGTACAAGGGGATACAAGGATACGACTGTCAGGTACAAGGGGATACAAGGATACGACTGTCAGGTACAAGGGGGTACAAGGATACGACTGTAAGGTACAAGGGGGTACAAGGATACGACTGTCAGGTACAAGGGGGTACAAGGGGTACAAGGGGGTACAAGGTACACCATATTTCAAGCGACACTCTAGATATCCAGCTAAGTCTTCTAAAGTATGCAAGAGGTTTCCATCATCTTCTCTTTAAAAATTAATCATTTTCGATTGTGGTTTTGCTTTTAAAGCTACATGCGCATTTCTCCTTCAGAAACAATGGGAAGAAATTGTTATAATTAAACACTTTTCTTAAAAACGACGACAGTTTCCACATTATTGAAAACATAAAGGTTTCCAGGGTACCACCATTGTGAATCGGACATACCACTCCTTAATTAAAATAACATCTACAGTCCCTTTAATGACGACCTCAAACTCTGAAGGTTAAAATTTTTCCTTCCTTCAATTTAGATTTTAAAAGAATAAACATCTTTTCGAGTTGTAGGGAACCATCAATATCATAAAAAAAGACTAAATAAACTCAATATGGTCGTCTTTGAAGTCTAACTCTTTGTGGGTTATCATAATTATAGTTTTCACAGTTTCATTCAAAAAGTCGATTTAGAAAGTTTAGTTTCAACCTAAATTCAGGTTTCAGAAAACTCTATGTTGATAATAAATAAACGAAAGGATATAAATTGTGTCTCCCAGAAAGCCAGCTTATATTAAAAAAAACTACATACAGTATTCAAATATTCGAACTAAAAATAAGTTATAATTTTCTAGAAAACTCCTTGATTCAAGTTTGGATTCAAATAAAGATCTCTCTGGACTCAGAGACAATATAGCGCTAATCCAGGTATTAAAAGAATAGACTCACAACCCTACAATTTATTTAACTTTTGACAAAAACATATTGAACCTAGAATCTCCCTAGAAGGAGCTGATTCATTTGATATAATAGGTTTGTCTTAAAAAGTATGTTTGTGTACTGTACTGAAGCAATTGATCTAGTTGTACAGCACTGTACCGTACTTGACATGAACTGGAGTGTACAGTGAGAAGTGTGCAGTACTATTATTTACTAACAATGTTGTAGAACCGGTTGGAGGAAAAACTGGCCTCAAGTAGAGTACTTGGAGAAGAGCTGGAGGAGATGAGCAGAGAGAAGAGGAGCATAGAGGAGGAGAACACCAGGTAGATAGATAGATATATATATAGATAGATAGATAGATAGATAGATTGCTAGATGGATGGATAGATAGATAGATAGATAGATAGATAGATAGATAGATAGATAGATAGATAGATAGATAGATAGATAGATAGATAGATAGATAGATAGATAGATAGATAGATAGATAGATAGATAGATAGAAAGATAGATAGATAGAAGACAGAAAGACAGAAAGACAGATAGACAGACAGACACCTAAACACATAGACAAATAGATAGATAGATAGATAGATAAATAGATAGGCACGTAGGTAAGAGCTAGGTTGGTAGAAATATAAATGGACAAAGAAATGCAACCAAAACAAAATCTTTTTTTATATAAATTATTTTTCAATGAATAATGAAATTGAAAAATACTTTTTAGGCTAAACCATCGAATTCTGTACCTGGAGGATCATGTAACAAATCTTCAAAAAAGTTTTATGCAGGTAACATGAGGAGATAGTTCTATTTAACATTATGAAATAGAATTTAAACAAAAAATACCTAATCTTAAAATATGCTTAGGTCAGGGATTCTCTGTCTAAAACTTTAAATTTTAAAGTTTTAGAAAACTGGGGAAATATAGACCAGAGCAGTGAACATAATTCCGGTAAGGATTCTTTAAATGTCGTCTTTGTTTTCAATTGTTGTTTTTGATATATTGTAACTTAATCAGAGTGTACATTTAAAATAATTTAGTTTAATCTACGTGAACTTCATCTTCATATTTTGGAATATCAATATATTTACAAAACATTTTCGAAATTGTAACATGTGCAACCACCGCAAATAAAAATATCGTGAGAGAGTGAAAGAGCTACGACACATTCATTTCACAGTTTTCTGGAAACTTAAAGTAATTACAGTCTTAGATTTCATAAATGGTGTTCTTAAATGGTTCTAACATGGTTCTAACATGGTTCTAACATTGTTCTAACATGGCTCTAACATGGTTCTAACATGGTTCTAACATGGTTCTAACATGGTTCTAACATGGTTCTAACATGGTTCTAACATGGTTCTAACATGGTTCTATAACATGGTTCTAACATGGTTCTAACATGGTTCTAACATGGTTCTAACATGGTTCTAATATGGTTCTAACATGGTTCTAACATGGTTCTAACTGTGTAACATGGTTCTAACTTTCTAACAATCAAAAGAATGAAACGATTCGATATAAAACAGTTTGGTGTATTTCTACCAGTTTGGTGTATTTCTACCAGTTTGGTGGACCTTTTTACCCGTTTAGTGTATTTCTACCAGTTAGGTGCATCACTACCAGCTTGGTGTATTACTACCAATTTGATGCATTTCTACCAGTTTGTAGTTTGCTGTATTACTACCAGTTTGGTGTATTTCTACCAGTTTGGTGAGTTTCTACCAGTTTGGTGTGTTTCTACACGTTTGGTGTATTTCTACCAGTTTGGTGCATTTCTACCAGTTTGGTGTATTTTATACTCATTTAGTGAACTTCTGCCAGTTTGGTGTATTAATACTACCAGGATGTGCACTTCGAAGAGTTTTTTTTACCAGTTTCGATTCCTCTTTTCAGAATAAAAAGATACATCGGAAGAATTTAAAAAAAATATCGTTTTGAATTTTTTTCAATGGTTTTGCCGCTGAATGATATAACAAGAAGGATAGAATACCTAAATCTCAGTTATTGTCTCAAAATTCCTGGGGTTAACTATAATATTTAACTCGGTTTATAGAGAGAACATCTGGGATATACAGCACTAGTACAGGGAGCAGTTCATCCAGCTCTGGAGGACATCAGATCAGGTACAGGTTTAGAGGTTTAGAAGTTTAGAGGTTTAGGGGTTTAGAGGATAAAAATTTTCGAGATTTTCAGAGGTTTAGAGGTTTAGAAGTTTAGAGGTTTTGAGGTTTTGAGGTTTTGAGGTTTTGAGGTTTTGAGGTTTTGAGGTTTAGAGATTTAGATGTTTAGAGGTTTAGAGGTTTAGAGGTTTATAAGTTTAAAGATTTAGAGGTTTATAGGTTTATAGGTTTATAGGTTTAACGGTTTAGAGGTTAATAGGTTTAGATACAAAATTTAACTTTATACGACCTGCTTTGCACAATGCTTTAATTTTTACATTATTTTGTCTCTTTTGACCTTATATTAAAACCTTTTCTTCCCCCCCCCATCTTATTTTTGCATTTACTTTCCCAACTTATTACTCCTTTCAATTTTCTCTTAGTTCAGCGGCCGGATTTACCTATTTTTAATTTTTTATATATTTTTTTGGTTTGTATTTTATAATTTAATTATTATTTCTATGTTCAATAAAGTTTATAGGAAGAAGTTTAAGATTTTTAGCATTAAACTTTTCCTATTTCTAGGGTAGACACCAGGTCCTATCATCCATGTGCTGACCCGTCTAAATCCTCCCAGCGGCGCTGGCCAGCTGGAGACCTCAACGCTATAAAACCTGGAGAAGAAATAAACATCACACTTCTTTCTACAGACACAGATAAGGTTTCTTGAGCGTTTGTTAATTTAAGGGACTGTAGGACGTAAGGTCCCCTAAATAATAAGTGCCATGTCCAATTCACAATGGTACCATTAAAATCTTTATCTGAGAAACAATGATGAAGAAATGGCCGTTTTTCTACGGATAAACCCTAAATAAGCAATACATCGAAAGAATTCATCAAATGTCGTATTACACGTTTTTCTATCTTATAACACGTTTTTCTATCTTATAACACATTTTGTATTTTGTTAATTTTACATTTGTGTCTATAGTGCATAAATCACTTTTAAAGAGAACACACATTTATCAACTATAAAACAGAAAAATAAGGATTTCAATAACATTTTTGCTATAACGAAAGTTTAAAGGGTCACTTGAAATTAGACCGCCGGTTCTAATGATGAAAAAATTTTGAAATTCCCTTTTCTTAATTTTTAATTACACTTTTGGAGAAAAAAAGGCAGATTTAGATGTTAAATATTTACTTTTGACAGTTGTTTTAAAAAATTAAAACAATTTTTTTGTTTAGGACGTTTACACAAAATATATTGGTCGATCTACATCACGCATAACCGGAAATATTATAAACTGGTCTAGTAGGTAAACATAAACATAAACATAAACATAAACATAAACATAAACATAAACATAAACATAAACATAAACATAAACATAAACATAAACATAAATATAAACATAAACATAAACATAAACATAAACATAAACATAAACATAAACATAAACATAAACATAAACATAATTATATCTTGTTTAGGACCCGAAATGAGAGTCAGATGATCTAGTTTTGAGATAAAAATTTTAAGTTTAAATGATTAAAGAACTATTTTTTTTAATTGTTCCAACCCTTACATTTTTTCCGAAAATTTTTTTCCACGACTTTTTTTCGGACGAATGCGTTTTATAAACGGCTCACTGGCAATGCCTCAAAGCAAAAATTTCAAAGGAAACATAGTTCAGAACTAAAGTTTTATTTTTTTGTTTGTTTTTGGCAAAATTTTGTTGGGCCTGGAAAAGGTCACAATGTTAATTGTTTTGTTTTAAAAAAACTAGATTTTGTCTGTTTTAAAAAAGATAATTTATTCTAGTGTTTTTACTTTATATCCTACAAGAATTTCTAATCACACTTTTACGAAAATGCTGATTTAAGAAATTTAAAAACATTTGAAATAGCTAAATTTAGATTCATAACTTATTAAAATAGATTTTGTAAAAAAAGGCTTTATTCATTTTTATTCTAAATTGTTTTTTTTATTTTTTGGTTAAACAATTTGTTATGATAAATGTTCCTTTGTTATTAATATCTATACACAATACTACATGTCATGATCAAAATACGTCGCTTATAAAAATACTATTTGTAAATATTTTTTACAGTTAACATGTTTAAACGGACTGATTATTATTTTTTATAACGTTATAGTATTTTGATGTATAAATTTCCTTGTCCAATGATTATTATTATTAATGTAATAATTCACCAAAAACATACAAATAAGGCATTTATTAGAGGCATTAAAAAATTGTCATCGAAAAAATTTTAATTGTCATCAAATGTAAAAATGTTGCTTTCGATAAAATGTTATTTTTATTTACCATTTCTTGAATTATGATATATATCATTTAATAAGAGTAATCAAATCGGTAATACTTTTATTAATACTAGTCTTATAGGGCGCTTCGCGCCCATCTTCTAAATTAATTGTGAACATGTTCTCTTTGTGTACATCGTAAAACAAAACAAAAATAATTTGCGGATTTTCACAAAAAATTTCTTGGATTTTCAAAATTTTCAAACATTTAATGAAGATCGAATTTTGATGGAGACAAATATTTGAAATTTTGATGATTCATAAACCTTCCCTGGGGTCCCTAGATGTCCCACAAAAAATTTGGGCCCGATCGGTTCAGCCGTTTTACGTTTATTGGATACAAACAAACAGACAAACAAACAGACAAGCCAAATTTATATATAGATATTATTTTATTTATATCTTTTGTTAATGTAAAAACACATCTTTATCAATTAGATATTTATTAAATGTTTTCTTTTGCATATTTCATAAATATTACAAAAACAAAATGAAATTTCATTGTTTCCCTCGATATTTTCGCAAAGGAATTGAGTTTTTGCCACAAACATAACGTTTCCAATTCATAAATCTCAAAAACCTTTGATTTTTCAAACTTACACTTCCTGATCTAACAGTATTTGTAGTTTGAAATATCAAAAGGTCTACGAAATAGGGTTATAAAGATAAAGGATTAGAAATCAGAGTTTGTGGCAAAAACTCAATTCCGTTGAATAATTCATACTTATTACTTAATTAAGATTGTACCAGGGTGCACTTTAACTAAGTACTAACGTTTGCACTGAATTTCATAATCTTATAGTTTCTTTGTATTTTAAACTCTTTACTCTGTATTATAATCTAGTTACTCTGTATTCTAACCTCTTAAGTCTGTGTTTTAATCTAGTTTCTCTGTATTCTAACCTCTTTACTCTGTAACTAATCTAGTTACTCTGTATTCTAACCAAGTTACTCTGTATTCTAATCTAGACACTCTATATTATAACCTAGTTACTCTGTATTCTAACCTTGTTACTCTGTATTCTAACCTATTTACTCTGTATTCTAACCTATTTACTCTGTAGACTGTATTCTAACCTATTTACTCTGTATTATAATCTAGATACTCTGTATTCTAACCTCTTTACTCTGTATTCTAATCTAGTTACTCCGTATTCTAACCTATTTACTCTGTATTCTAACTTATTTACTCTGTATTATTACCTAGTTATGATTCGTACTCAAACCTCGATGCTATGTATTCTAACCTTGGTGCTTTGTATTGTAACCTCAGCTCTCTGTATTCTAATCTAGTTTCTCTGTATTCTAACCTCTTTACTCTGTATTCTAATCTAGTTACTCTGTATTCTAACCTATTTACTCTGTATTCTTTTCTAGTTATGATCTGTACTCAAACCTCAATGCTATGTATTCTAACCTGAAGGTGCTCTGTATTGTAACCTCAGCTCTCTGTATTCTAATTTAGTTTCTCTGTATTCTAACCTCTTTACTCTGTATTCTAATCTAGTTACTCTGTATTCTAACCAAGTTACTCTGTATTCTAACCTCTTTACTCTGTATTATAGACTAGTTACTCTGTATTTTAACCTAATTACTCTTTATTCTAATCTAGTTACTCTGTATGCTAACCTCTTTACTTTGTATTCTTATCTAGTTACTCTGTATTCTAACCTATTTACTCTGTATTCTAACCTTGTTACTCTGTATTCTAACCTTTTTACTCTGTATTCTAACCTATTTACTCTGTATTCTAACCTAATTACTCTGTATTCTAACCTTGTTGCTCTGTATTCTAACCTATTTACTCTGTATTCTAACTTATTTACTCTGTATTCTTACCTAGTTATGATCTGTACTCAAACCTCGATGCTATGTATTCTAACCTTGGTGCTCTGTATTGTAACCTCAGCTCTCTGTATTCTAATCTCGATGCTCTGTATTGTAACCTCAATGCTCTAACCTATTTACTCTGTATTCTAACCTTGTTACTCCATGTTTTAATCTTGTTACTCTGTATTCTAACCTTGTTACTCTGTATTCTAACCCATTTACTCTATATTTTTACCTCGATGGTAGTATCTTCTTCTCTTTAAACCAGTTTTATCCGGTTTCAGAGAACGAGGGCCGACAACCTCTCCCCTCTTATCCTTCCTCCCTCTCCTACATAGATCCAGACTATTATAAAAAGTTGCATCAATTTTAAACATTGTGTTCAATTTGAAGTGTCACAACGCCTTGGTCTTTGCTTTTACCTCACACACTCATTTCAACCTAATGTATCCCCAGGTGTACTTTTTTAAGTTTTGTTTTTAGCTTTATTGTTTTAATAAGCTATTGCTAAAAATCACAAAGATTTTTGAGTGAGTGCTTGAAACCTTTGGATCGCTGTGTGCACACTGTGCATCACCTCCTCCCTCTCTTGCATCCTCCATATTAAGTATATATATATATATAAACAAACCCAAACCGTTCTCTCGGACATTTGCTCCAGAACCAGAGGCCACATAACTGCAGCTATATATTAAGTGAAAAGGAACTTGTATTCACTGTAATTTCTAATCATTTTATCTTTTTAACCTAAGCTGGGAACTCATGTGTTGGATACTCTCTATATCCTCTGTGGGCACTTTTATTTTGAGGACCCGGGATATCTTGATTTCAGTTTTTCCTTCAGGGGACAATTGCACTGCGGATATTGATTAAGATTAAATCAATCTTCAGATTATCAAAAATCAAGATCAAGCATTGATCTCGATATCCACATTGCAAGAGTTCCCAGCTCTGATGTCATTAACTTTTCATATAATACAAACTTATCATTTTACAATAAGTTAGAAAATACCATTAGTTTGCAAAGAAATATGAGATTTAAAAATTAGAGGTTTTGGCAAGTACTGAGTTCCTTAGTGAGGATTCTGAAAACAGTGAAAAATACTGTGACCCTCTCTGCAAGTAGGGTTGGCAATGTGACCCTCTATGCAAAGAATATCAGAACATAAAAGTCAGAAAAACGACGTTATCTTCCACATTTTTGATCAGATTAAGGTTTCAAGGGTACCGTTGTAAATCGGACATTGTCATCTTAACATAGAGAGTCACTTTAAACAAAATTCAATGCTAATATTGTTCGAAAATCTGAAATTTAATATGGTGGTTTTCTTGGAAAAATGAAGAAGTAGCAATATTAAATTATTTAAATACGCACCAAATTTTCCAGTATATTTTCGATGAAAGCATTTGCTAATTATTAAGTAAACACTGGCAGCCGTAGTACATTTGAATTTCCGAGTCGGGTCAACCTTTTCGGTCCAAGTTTGTACTGTATCTCCCGGACATTGGGTAAATAAAGCAGACACTCAATAGGACTAGCCGGTGCAACAAGGTTGACGCGGTCAGACTTTAGGTTGAATTTACTTTTACTAAAGGGTCATATGTGCGAGTAAACTAAACTTCACCAACGTTTAACATAAAATTATTCATATTTTTTTATAAAAAAAGTATTGTGTAAATATTTACAGATTTAAATTATATAAATAAATATATTTCAACAACAACAAATTACAAATAAACAATGATTAAGCTTAATAACAAAATAACAATTAAGTTTAAGAAAAAAATAAATCTTCTTTTTAACCTCCAATGCACTCGGCTTAGACATTTCTTATTATTTGTTATAAAAGTAAAAATTAATATCGAATCCGACATTTGTTCGAATTTAAAATTGTTCATTAAATATTTGGTAGTTATCAGAACTTCTGACCAAGAAACGAAAAAATTAAAAAAATGTCATTATTATTTGATATAATAATTTTTAAGAATAATTTGTAAATTTTTGGTAACTGCTACCTCTTCCATGTTGCACACCTACACTGTACCCAGACACTAAATAATATTAATAATTAATCAATTATTAAATTAATTATTAAATTAATTATTAAATTAATTATTAATTGTTGCCATAACTTTCACCGTCGTAAAAGTCAAAAACAAATGAGAACAAGGAAAACTATCTTGAGTTAGGATAAACACATTCAATAGTTTTTCAGATATAACTTTGAAAATTGAACCTGCTTCGAAAATTGAGAACTTTTATGAAAAAGTATGTGAAATGTGTAAAAACCAGGACAACTAAACCATTTCATTTCTAGCGAAAATATTTTTAGAAAATGCCACATTAAAAGATACAATCAAAGTGGAAGCAAAACGCCCTGGAAGCTTAGTATTATATGTATCAACATTTGTTATACATACAAACATATTATTAAAAATATCTTAAAGAATGTTGATTAAATTAAAAATTTTAAAGTTTTGCCTATTTTATCAGTCAATCTTATAATATCTCATTCAACCCCCCCCCCCCCTCAAAACTCTAATCTATAAATAATTCCTACCTATATAAATGCTTATTTTATTAATTACAATACGCGTCTATTTAATTATATATATTTTTACCTAATGATAAAAATGTTTAATTCTCCTCAAAGTAATTATTTTTGATTATGTTATAATAACTTTAAAAACAACATTAGGAAAAATTAATGACATGAAATTATTTCTTGTTACGAACATAAAAACTAATCTATATTATTATAATCAAATAAAAAGGCTTAAAGATGTTATTTACAGAAATGACAAGGCTCTCTAAATATAAAATATAAAAATTGATCTCAACTGTATAATCACTCTTTTTTTAATGAAATCTAATGAAATAAAATAATCAAATATTTAACTCAGACAACATGATCTCCTGGGGATTTTTTGGACATTTCAGTAAACTTTGAAGTATTGTATCATTTGCAGAAAATACAGGGTTATTTCAGTATTTTGTCCGTATTTTAACATTAAAGCTTGCAAATAATTCAATCTGATATAGGACGTAACCCCCCTGTAGGAAGTAAGAGGAAGTATTTAATTGATAAATAAAAGGATGATTAAAGTGTCAAAAAAATGCCTCCAATAAATCCGCGAAGGTGAAAAATTATTGCAATTGCGGGAAGTGTTCAGCAGTCTGTGACATACTTTAGGGAAGTTCCAGTCAACCAAACCAAACCATAATTATTTACTTTTACCTGGGTTTGTGAAGGATTTATCTCCAGCCAATTTAGAGTTGGACCTGGAGTACGGTTTAGAATTGAGTAAGTGTTTCTCAGAACTGGAGTATGTGTCCGCTGTACTATCCGTATATGGAGTTGGGGCAGGAGAAGGATAGGGGGTTGTGTTAGAAGCAGGGTAGACGGATATGGGATTTGAAGACTCCGGAATGGATCTAGGATAGGAAGCATATGTCGGGGACGGATAGGAGTGAGGATTGGGAGCGGGGTAGATACCGGTGAGTTGGTTTAAAGTATTAATATCTGAACCTTGGTTGGGTTGGTTGTAAGGACTCAAGGTTGGACCAGATATGGATGATGGAGTGCGTTGAAAAGGAGAATTAAACCGTTCATCGTACTGAGGGTCGGAGTTTATATGATTGTAGGGTACAGGAGTAGGATACAAAGCTGGGACAATTGCTTGCGATGATTCGAAGGATTTCTCAGTGTTTGAGTAGGACCTGGAGGATCTGGTCGATTCCCGTAGAGGTTTTGTATCTTCTCCTGGTGGTTCAGGATACTTACTTGAATAGCCAGGTTCTGGAGAAGTATCTATGTAGGCCTCGAGATTATTATTGGATAAATAGAATGAATGAGGAGTAGGTCGGGTTGGAAAAGAAGAAGGAGGAGAAGGAAGAGAAGGATATGTTTCACCTGGAATAGGAGAAGGATGAGGGGGGTGAGAAAATGAAAAATGGGGAGAAGGAGATTTTTCTGTTGGTTCAATAGACAGGTCTTTTGTTAGCTCCGTGTATGACTGTGAGTAAGGGTGGGACGGATACTGATTAGGATGATTGTATTCGGGAGTTTGATGTTCGGAGAATGAGTATTTTTGCTCCGGGTTGGTTGAATAAATTGGAGATCTGTATGCCCGGATATAGCTGTTATCCGGGTTGTGTCTCCTGGGTAGGTTGGATAAGGCTTCTCCGAGTCCTGGAGCTCTACTCTGGTATCGAAACTTTTGAGGATTAAAAATATACTCCTTGCTATATCTTTCTTTATCCCCTCCTAGAAGAAACACATGAAAACAAAAATGAATGTCTAACAATTAAAATTTATCCCTATACGTATAGTTTTACAGGTTGTTAACAAAATAAATTCATGATCTTTCAGCATCAAATATCTTTTTTATTTTAATCTGTGATATAACAATTTCTTTCAAAATCTCTCTATCTGTAGTACATAAATCAATAACATAGTGGATAGAAACCTGTGAAAAGCAATCAGAAATCTTTAACTTAAAGGTACTGTAAATATAAGTATGGATATAATTTTGACACAGTTTTATATTAATTTCTCGAGACAAAAACATCAGATAGAACTCTTATAGGTCTAGATCAACCCCCAAAGTTCTTAGGTTTTACCCTTCCGCCTTTCTTTTTTCATTTACAGTCCCTTTAAAAAAAATTTGAATTGTTAAATTATTTTCCGAAACTTTGTGGTTAATTTTGAACTTTTTCATTTGAAAATCCGCCATGTGTTTTGAATTTAAAATCCGCCATGTGTTTTGAATCCACCATGTGTTTTGAATCAGTCACGTGTTTTAATCCGCCATGTGTTTTGAATCCGCCATGTGTTTTGAATCCGCCATGTGTTTTGAATCCGCCATGTGTTTTGAATCCGCCATGTGTTTTGAATCCGCCATGTGTTTTGAATCCGCCATGTGTTTTGAATCCGCCATGTGTTTTGAATCCGCCATGTGCTTTGAATCCGCCATGTGGTTTGAATCCGCCATGTGTTTTTGAAACCGCCATGTGTTTTGAATCTACCATGTGTTTTGAATTGTGTTTTTAAATATGTTTTGAATTGTATTTTAAATTGTGTTTTGAATTGTATTTTAAATTGTGTTTTGAATTGTATTTTAAATTGTGTTTTGAATTGTATTTTAAATTGTGTTTTGAAGTATTTTTTTAATTGTGTTTTGAATTATTTTTTGAATTGTGTTTTGAATTGTATTTTAAATTGTGTTTTGAATTATTTTTTTAATTGTGTTTTAGTTGTGTTTTGAATTATTTTTGAATTGTGTTTTTAATTGTGTTTTAATTATTTTTAGAATTGTGCTTTGAATTGTGTTTTGAAATATGTTTTGAGTTGTGTTTTGAATTGTGTTTTGAATTAGTTTTGAATTGTGTTTTTAATTGTGTTTTTAATTATTTTTTGAATTGTTTTTGAATTATTTTTGAATTTTGTTTTTAATTGTGTTTTAACTTATTTTTTGAATTGTGTTTTGAATTATTTTTGAATTGTGTTTTTAATTGTGTTTTTGATTATTTTTTGAATTGTGTTTTGAATTATTTTTGAATTTCGTTTTTAATTGTGTTTTGAATTATTTTTTGAATTGTGTTTTTAATTGTGTTTTGAATTATTTTTTTGAATTGTGTTTTGAATTATTTTTTGAATTGTGTTTTGAATTATTTTTTGAATTGTGTTTGAATTGTGTTTTGAATTATTTTTGAATTGTGTTTTTAATTGTGTTTTTAATTATTTTTAGAATTTTGCTTTGAATTGTGTTTTGAACTATATTTTGAGTTGTGTTTTGAATTGTGTTTTGAATTATTTTTGAATTGTGTTTTTAATTGTGTTTTTAATTATTTTTTTAATTGTTTTTTGAATTATTTTTGAATTTTGTTTTTAATTGTGTTTTTAATTATTTTTTGAATTGTGTTTTGAATTGTGTTTTGAATTATTTTTTGAATTGTGTTTTGAATTGTATTTTAAATTTTTGTGTTTTGAATTGTGTTTTGAATTATTTTTGAATTGTGTTTTTAATTGTGTTTTTGATTATTTTTTGAATTGTTTTTTGAATTATCTTTGAGTTTTGTTTTTAATTGTGTTTTGAATTATTTTTTGAATTGTGTTTTGAATTGTGTTTTGAATTGTGTTTTGAATTGTGTTTTGAATTGTGTTTTGAATTGTGTTTTGAATTGTGTTTTGAATTATTTTTGAATTGGTTCATTTTAGAACGTTTTAAAACCAGAATTAAGCAAACTTTGCCATAAACTGTGATCTTTTAATTCCTTGTACAATGCAGTTTACCTTAGATATTTCAAATTATGAATTCTGTTAGATCTATCAATCCAAGTTTGAAATATCAAAGATTTACACCATCAGGTTATACAGATTATAGGAACTAGAACATGTGTGTTTGTGGGTAAAAATTTATTTCTGCTTATCAATTTTGCATTTTACCAGAGGGTTAGATATGTTTAAAATGGTTTTAAATGCAAGTGAACAAAGCTTTTTTGGACAATTACTATGACTAGATTTACCTTTTGAATAGAATTTTTGGTCTATTTCTTCCTGAAGTTTTATACCATAACCAGAGGGTTCAGTTACCTCGTTCACATTTTCAAAACTAAAATGAATAAAGAAAAATTAAAAATGTATTTTTAATGTTAAAGATAAACAGTAAAAGAGGGGGAGTCCAGGTTAGGTTATGTTTAGATAGAAAGCAGTGCTATGATGTCAAAGAAGAGAGGTGGGTGGGGTGTTTTGAGATTTTACCCATTTTTGTGTTTTTACCTTTTATAGTTTTCCTCTTCAACATATGAATCCTTTCCTGCATCTAAATTCAGAGTTAAAATATTTTATTTAAAAAATTATGAATGGTTGTTTTCTCAAAGTCTAATTACTTAACCTTTGACAGCGAAGAGAAAAAAGTTGGTTGCTCTTAAAAGCAACCAAACGTTACGTGATTCTAAACCTACCCTTGTCAGTTTTGAGTTTTTAAATTTAAAATAGCTTGACTTAAGTTCTATCTGAGCGTGTTTTTAACTCCAGACTCAGTTTAGCTGATTCGGTTTCACACTTTACTATTTTCTGGTTCATTTCGCTTTCAGATTTAATTATACAGAAGAATAAATGTATTTGGACAGAAACGTCAGGAGACATTATAATTATTAAAAATTTAGATCTAAAATTCTAATCTATAAAAGTAAATTTATATTGGACATTGTTTTTTTTTGTAGCTTAAAACGCTCAATGTAAGTATGTACAGGGTGTCCCACGAAACATGACAGTAGGAAGACGACTTGAAAGTCGTCTTTGGTATTTGAATTTAATTGTGACATTTAGTCTTCTATCTACTTTAACATGCATGATTCTTGAAACAATTATCACATAATTCTCCTAGCCCTGGCATTTCCAAAAAGTGGTCTGCGTTTTTTGTGCTTTCAATATTACCTGATTATATAAAGAGTTTGGTTCAGATTTCAATTTTGTTAAATAAAAGCAAAATTGTCGAAATCTGAACGAAATTCTTCATATCTCGGGCAATATTGAAAGCACAAAAAAGGCAGACCACATTTTGGAAATGGCAGGACAAGGGAAATTTGGTGATTATTATCTCTAGAAATTTACTTCTAAAATTAGGTTGACAAATAAACGCAGCAAATTATATCAAAAATCAAGACGACATTCAAGTCGTCCTGCATACTGTCATGTTTCGTGGGACACCCTGTATGCACATTGTATTCATGTATTACACTTTTGCACTGTGCATCCTGCATAAGCGTAAATACTGCGTTCTCAACCTGCGTCCTTACTTTGGTTCCTTATTATCAGTGTACTGTATCCTAATCATAAATGGGCCTGAATAAGTGTGTTTGCCGTAGAAAAATCTTCCCAAGTGCCGGCTAATGTAATGGACACTCTAATTTCCCCATTGTTATTTCCTTTAAGAGGGGGGGTGGGTGATAATGAATTATGCAAGTAAAATCAATCCTAAAGACACCTAGAGAAGAGAAGCGCCTTAAAAGTATTTGAAAATGCGGTAAAGAGTATTTTAGTAAATTCACCTTCATAATAAGATCCATGATCTCTATGTGTGACCCCACTTAATAAATCCTGAAAATTAAGTTTTAAAAATAATTTTGAAAAATGGTTTTTATTTTATTAGTTTGTATATAACCTGGACAAATGAACTTGGATCAGTGTTAGAATTCGATGCAAAACTTTGCCGTTCATGTTGTTTGTAATCCTGGTTCGGTTCTCTCCGGGAATACGAATGGGACGGAGCAGTAGGATGGGTCGGAGCAGGATTGGTCGGAGCAGGAGTAGGATAGATCGGAGCAGGAGTAGGATAGGTCGGAGCAGGAGTTGGATAGATCGGAGAAGGAGTAGGATAGGACGGAGAAGGAGTAGAATAGGATGGAGACGGAGTAGGGTAGGATGGAGAAGGAGTAGAATAGGTCGGAGAAGGATGAGGATAGGACGGAGAATGAGTAGGAGAGGACGGAGAATGAGAAGGATAGGATGGTGAAGGAGTATGAAAGGACGGAGAAGGAGTAGGATAGGACGGAGAAGGGGTGGGATAGGACAAAGCAGGCTCGGGATAGGAAGGAGCAGAAGCAGGAGTAGGATAAGACAGTCGAAGGTTGGATCGGTCCGGAAAAGACTGGAAAGGTCTGGATTTCTCTGGATAAGACGGGAAAGGTAGGGAAGGATTAGGTGGGGACGGATTATGGTCGGAATGATCTGGAGATAACTGTGAGTATTGAGAAGGAAGAGAATAAGTTGGACTAGGAGAGGGTGGAGGGACCAAGGATGAGGATGCTTGATAATCCTGGTTTTCATTTCGATAAGGTTTATCCTCATCATAATCTGTAGACGGGAAGCGTTCAGGATCCAAGATTTCAGGTTCAATGAAATCCATCTTGTAACCAGGAGAAAGAAGGAGCTGCGGAGAGAATTCCTTCCTCTTCTCATCTTTATCTTGCACAAGATTATTTCCATTGAAGTAAATTGGAGTTTTTCGAGGTATTCGTTGACTAGCGTAGTGAGATCTTTCCTTACGCCGTAGATCCTGTTCTGCCAGGTTCAGTTCTGTAGTTGAAGGTTTGGCTAGATCATAATATACTTCTTTTGGAAGAACAGTCTCAGACAACCGTGATCCAACCTGTCCGACACGGTCCAGCAGTGGAGACTTGATACCTACAGAAACAGAGTCTTAAAATCAATAACAAAATGGTGGATATTGGACACATTTCCGTTTTTGTTGTATTCATGTAAGATTACAGGGATATCAAAAAGTTAACTTATTTTTTTGGTTTGATCTCTGTTACGTTATAGATATTCTTAAGTAACTATTTACAGAGATTTTTTTACAGTTTTGCCCATCTTTTCGCTCTAAACTGTATTAAATAAAAATGTATAAAATTTAGCATGTTATATAAAGAGATAGTTTCTATTTAAATATTATTTTAAACTAACTGAAAAATCACATTAATTGGTTTAATTCCTAACCTTTATAAGTTGTAGACCCATGATCCTGATCTTCTAATTCAAAATGATCATCTATAGATCTTGCCTTAATTATAATCAAATGTAAGAGGCTTTAATTAAGGATTAAAAAAAAAAAATTGTAGCTTTAAAATTTAAAGATTTTGGACAAGTTACATTAAACAAATGAATTACTTGATATCCGAGTTCCTCTTGATATCCAAGTTCTTCTTGATATCCAGGTTCTGCTTTATATCCGGGTTCAGCTTGATACCCTGGTTCCCTTCCGAACTCTGATTGTTCTAACTCTCGAATAAATTGTGAGATCCGATCTTGTTTCTCTGGCATTGGTTGCAACGCACCCGGAGTTTCCTCTGGAGACTTGAACGCGGTCTTGTATTTATATAATGGGTCACTAGGGTAGCTGGACCGGTCACTAGGGTAGCTGGAACGGTCACTAGGGTAGCTGGAACGGTCACTAGGGTAGCTGGAACGGTCACTAGGGTAGCTGGACCGGTCACTAGGGTAGCTGGACCAGTCACCATTAAAAGGAAAGTTGAATGAAGGAGTTTGATAATTTGATAAATTACTCTCCGCCGATGTTAACGGGTCTTTTTTTCCTTCTAATAAATCTTCCAATCTTGGTAAAGGAAGGTCGTCTTTCTTTATTTGCTTTCTTTCATGGTGATCCTAAAAAATATGAACATGAGAATATTTTCAAAATTTCTTTGGTGTGAAAATTTAGGGAGTTTAACAACAACTTAAAATTCATACTATTATTGGATTTTTATGATTGGAATTTTTCAAACTTTTTTCATTCTTAAAAACTGTCTAAAAATAAATGATTCTCACCTGTTCTTTTGAAAGGTAATCTTGTATATAACTATAAAGATAGTAAAATTCATCCTGATATTGAAAATATTAAATGTACGCATTAAAGAGAAGATTATTGCGTACGGGTCTAAGGGAAATGTTTGCGAAAATGTACAAGAGGGTGTTAAGGCTGATTCATAATCCCAGTAGTCATCGGTATCAAAAATTGGTTTATTTTGATATTTTTGTAAAGAGATATTAATAGACCTGTTTTCAGCGACATTAAATTCTCCTAAATAGAGGGAGTTGAAACAAACTTACGGCTGAAATTATTAAAAAAATACTAAAATAATTCTATATATATATAGAATTTAGAAAAAAACAATGAATAGGGTTCCCCAAACCGCAAACCATGTTTAACTAAAGCGTAATAAACTTTGGGTTAATGTGAAAAAAAAAGAATTAAATTTTTGAATTTTACTAATTTTTCCTTGTTTGGAGGTTTGATGGTTTCTTCTGAAACCCCTGTTTACTGCTAGAATCACTTTTCAAACTTTTTTTGAATTTGTTTTTTATTCTTTCTTCCTTATTTTTAGCTTCATCTTTTTCCACCGTTCCCACACCATTCTGTCCTTGAACCCCCTTATTTACGATTTTGTATTTTTCTTCTTCAGTTTTCCAGGGCAATTGAGATAAAGTTTCTGCCTGGTCATTGACCCTATAAAACATAATAGCCTTGTGTTATCATAAAGGATAAGACTTGAAACTTTTTATAATATTAGATGAGAACCAGAAAACTCTGGAATTGGAAGACGACTTTTAGACTCAAAGCATGACTTTAAAAAGTCTGATGAACATGAGACACTGCAATCACTGCAATTTTGCAGTGTTAACAGACCCATTTCAGTCAAAAAGTGCTTTAATAAGTTTCTGGTGAAATTTTTTGCTTTCTGATAGCATTAATACACTTAATTATTGCTTTAATTGCTTTAAAAAGTTTAGCAAAAAAAGTAGATGTGCAGGGAGCTTGAAATGTATGTAAGAAATCGGACAGTCGTCTTCAAGGTCTTATCCTTTGAGGTAACCTTGTTTAAGGTCAATCATGTCCTGCTTGAGTATAGAAATTGCAGTCATTGCTATCTAAATCTGATTTTATAATCCCTATATCTTTGCAACCTTATGTCATAGACCTTAAATATTTCAAACTATGAATTTTGTTGGATTAAAAATCTTATTTTGAAATATCAAAGGTTTAGTACATCAGGCTGCAAAGATAAAGTGATTTAAAAAATTGAATTTGCAGCAAAGATTCAATTCCTTTAGATTTGGTTGAATATTTGAAACAATTCATGACGGGATTAAATTATTTTTTAATCAATAATGTGTGTTTTCTAATTTCTGTTTTCTGGACATAATGATAAAATAAAAAATTAAATCAAATAAGATCGGCCAATCAATATCAAATTGTACATACAAAAAATCCTATTTACTAATAGTTTTCGGCAGATTTAAATCAAGATTATAAAGTGGTGTTAACAAAGCATCAGGAGTTCAAAATTGTTTTACAAAAAAAAAGGTGCAAGATGATTAATTATATACGTATAGAATTATTCAACCAACTAGAAAAAAGCTTCCGTAATTTGCAAAATTAATAATCTGAAAATTACATAATTAGATCACCTGGTATTCCCCTCCTGGTTGCCAACTGTATCAAAATTCGGCATATTCAAGCCAAACACCTTTTCAACTTGTTTGTGTAAATAATTGGAGATTTCAACAAACTTCGGACTTGAGCCGCTAGATGGGGTTGGGGGCGGGAGAAAGCTGTTCAGCCTCGTATTAAATCTGGCGTTAAGTTCTCCAGGAATTAGAATTATCAGCAAGATGTGTAAACTCGTCTAAACAAATCAATGAAAACAATAATGGGCGTTAACAGGACATTTAAATCATATATTTAAGCACAATTCTGGGCCGATTTTTTATTCTTATTATTTATTATTATTATTTATTATAGATAATATATGGAATGATTCAAGGCCGGGTAGAAGGTCAGGACTTCAAAATGAATCGAGTTTTTGTCGCAAACTTTGCAACCCAATGTTTTAGAGCATTAATATTTCAGACTAAGAATGTACACCATTGATATTAGTACTAAAAAACTTCCTTAATATTTTGAGTGTACAGTACACACACTACTGTAAAAAGCATATGTATTTACAGTCCGTTTTGAGACAAATATTCGTATTAGTATTATTATTATTGTTATTATTATAATTACAGGCGCGAATACACGACTTTAGCAAGGGGGGGGGGGCAACAAATTATTTTCACCCCCCTGGCCTTAAAAATCCTGTTATTTTATACTGAGTCTACTACATGTCCCCTATGTAACTCATTGTAGTCCAAATTCAAGGACTATATAATATAATGTATCTCTCTGTACAGTTCTGTATTACTCTCTGAAGTCCTGAGTAGTCTCCTAAGGACTTTCATTAGTCCACCGTCCTCTTTATTCTCCCTTAACCCTTCTCTCTTACTGTAATTTCCCCCTGACCTTGATGATGGGTTGAGAGAAGGTACATGCCAAACACTTGCATAATTCTTATAGCTGTACTTGTTTATGACAGGGGGGGAGGGGGGGATTTTATAGATGAAGGTACGTTCTTTGCCAAAATTTGAAAAGAAATGGCGAAAAGCGCCAAGAAAATTTTTAACTACTTTTTAAAGGAGAAAAAACCACTGTGAGTATAGGGGAAAACTTACTTTTTACCCACCTCACCTGATTTTAACCCTTGCCCATAAATCCCAGGGGGGGGTAAGAGGATTATTGCCCCCCCCCCCAAGTCTACGCGCAGCTGTATAATTATAATCAATATAATAATATCAAACTATTAACAAAAATATACAAATTATCGAAAATTACCATTTTACTGTTTTGAACCTATCTCGTTGATATTCTAAACATCACTGAACATAACTAATATTTTGAGAAAATCAAATATGAAATTTAGGGATACATCGATATTACAATCGATCCATCGGAAATCAAATCTAAATCAAAATCGAAAATCCAAAATATGTTTATGACAGGGAATTTGAGGGTAAATTTTTGAATAAAATTATGATCGTGCAGTAAGAAGAGAATCGGTTGAACCCTAAACCGGTTGCACGGTTGACAATCAAACTGCATTTAGTAAAAACTCCGCGCATTTTTAGTAATTATCATCCGGAGTTCATAAACTCAACGGGAAGTGTAATAAGTGTACAATTTATGGAATGATTTTATTTAGAAAAATGTAGCGCACAATAAAACAATAAAAAACAGTAACTACCACAAATAAGATATACTATGTTGCAGCATTTAATCTGTAAATAAATGCATAAAAAACATTAACTAACCCCTCCCCTCTCCCCCTCAGCACATCCTACCCCCCCCCCCCCCCCCTCAGCACATCCTCCCCCCCCCCCTCTGGGCACATATGCACTAAATATCCCAGTAGTTTTTTCTTGTTTTGCTTCACCTTGAAACTTCTTAATTTTCAAGAGACAAATCTTATAATTTTTTATACCTCTCTCCAAAATCATAAGTTTAATTTATAAATACATACATATATAACATATCATTTATAACAATACTAAAATTTCATAAAAAATGCCCTTAAATAAATATTTTATTTAAAATGATTTCAAGATAATTGGTATACATTTTCCTTATATACTTCATAATTTTTTACATTTTTCAAAATTCATGTTTATTGTTTTCTGCATATTTTGTCATTGCATTGAGTCAAAATTAAGTATCAAATTCATACAATATCAAATAAAACAATCAACACCAAAAAGAAGGGTGTCCCACATCATATTGGATTGTATAATGTACAGGGTGTCCCAAAAAGAAGGGTGTCCCACATCATATTGGATTGTATAATGTACAGGGTGTCCCAAAAAGAAGGGTGTCCCACATCATATTGGATTGTATAATGTACAGGGTGTCCCAAAAAGAAGGGTGTCCCACATCATATTGGATTGTATAATGTACAGGGTGTCCCAAAAAGAAGGGTGTCCCACATCATATTGGATTGTATAATGTATATGGCTCTAACTGAAGATTTCCGGGACTAAACAGAAAATTAAAAAAAATATGAATCATTTTATGAAATTGCTAAATGCTAATATAAACATTAGCATACAGAAAATACCAGGGTTTATGAGTATCATGTGCGTATTTTGGCGTTAATGCTTGGAGATAATCTAATATTATATAGGACGCTCTGTATATGAACAAAACATGCAAGAAAAGAAAAAGAATATGGTGGGATACTGGTTTGATTTTAAAAAGTTAGATTATTTAAAATCCCGCTATAGTCACTGGGTTTATGCCAAACTAATTGCATGACGCCAACGGAAGCATTTTTCGGATTAATTGATATATTTATCATATCCTATATATATATATATATATATATATATATATAAAATTAAAAAAGATATGAATCATCTTATAAAATTGCTATAATGCTAATATAAACATTAGCATACAGAAAAAATATATACATTTATATATATATATTATATTTATCATACCCTATATATATATTAAAAATTATTAGTCAAAGCACCATAAAAGATTTAAAAGATTTATTGTTTTATTAGTTTAAATATTTATGTATTTTTAATTTACGCAAAAGGGGGAGGGGACAGGGCCATATGTCCCCGTTTCCCCTGAAGGTAGGGGGGGAAAGGGGGCACATTTTCTGAGACAATAAAGAAGAAAATGAAATAACAAAAGTACTTTGACATTTCTAAAAAGAACATTAGGCAATATTTTGCTAATATGAAAATACGTCACTTCTTGCTAGCTTGCAAGAGAGAATGAAGACATAATTTTAAAACAATCTAATTATCTATAATATAGAGCGAAGAGCTTTTTTTAAAAATAGATTTTTGTATGTATTTTCTTAGGTTAGCTAATATGCTATACAGCTGGTCAAACTGCTGGACCGAATTGGCTAAATTTTTTTGAGGAAACTCATGGGTACCCTAGGCCGGGGCAACAGAGGCTAAACAAAATTCTAGTGTTTTACTTCTAAATCCAAGGTTTTTTAAATTGAGATTCTTTTTCTTTTAAAATTCAATTTTCTCAAGTGTTTCTAAAATTCCATGGCCAACGCCGGGCACTTTAACATTAATCTATACACCCCCCCCGTCCCCCTTGTTTCCTCTCCTTCTTCACCCTTTCAAACTGTCTTTGCCATCCCCCTCCTTCAATTCCCCTTCAAGCACCCCCCCTAACAAAAAAAAACGATTTCGGTTATACCGCCTCGTAGTAGTATATACGACAGGCTTCGCCAGACGGAGCTACGATCAACATGTCTTATGAAGGTCCTGGCAGTATACTGAATGTTTTGTCCCTTTTTTACCCCCCCCCCCCCTCCTTCTACACCGAGACTACGCCCTTTTAATTCCTTGTCTTTTAATGTACAGTATAACCTTTTTCACTGTACGTTCAAGTTCGATTAGAACTGGTTTTGTGTAATAAACAAAAAAATATCACTGTACAGATGTACTCAATAGTAATGCAATCAGTTGGTTGAGGAACTTGAGGCTTTAATTGAAGACCTGAAATACTTCATTGATTCATTGAATTTAGTACAGTTTTGTGATGGTATATTCCTAGAGAACGATTTTTGGCCCCACCCCCTCCTATCAATTTTGTACATGGGTCTGACAGGAACCTAATCCGTGGCCGCAGCGCTCGGCCCCCTAGCCGCAGCGTTCGGCCAGAAAGTGTCTTAACTAACCTAACCTGTGGTGATTTCAAGGAGAAATTCTGTAGTGATTGCAATCAAAATATTTTTATTGTTTGTATTTCGAATTTTACAGCTATTTATAACATAAAAATCTTATTTTTCAGTAATAGAGATAATTAAAAAAAATTTTAAGATTCGATATACCCCTCGAAAATATTTCTACGCTAAACCTGCCGATTAAGCATAAGTGCAGTCTAAGAAATTAATTAGTGGAACAAAATACCCATATTCAGAGACCAACTACCTCCTTTTGTTTGCTTCAGATTTTGGGTCTAAGATCATGGAAATATGATAAAAAGATATTAAAATATTTTTGGACAAAAAATCTGCGAGAACAATTTTCTGGGAAAAAAATCTTTAAAAATTTATTGGAAATTGTTTATTCTATTGTATNGGGTTATGTGCGTGTTCTACGGCCAAATATAGAGATAAACATCATGGCGCCTTGTTAACCGTCTCAGAGCAATCTGACCGAACGAATTTCTGACCTTTTTTAAATTTTGAGTAAATAACTCAACTTGTTTTTAAATCTTATCAAATTTTGTTTAAAAGTAAAAGAATTGTTAAGAAAATTAATGTTTTGGGCGTAAAGCGCCAGTTTCAGAGGTAACGAAAACCGATAGCTCCGTTGCTTCTAGATCAGGCGAGAATGCTAAATGTACTACGACTTTGTGTTTAATGGGGTTAGGGGGGGGTGGGGGGCGTCTATTATGGAAGATTCCATGATAAGAGATAAAAAGGGATTTCATGAAGAAATATTTATTTAAAATTACTGAAAAAGCGCATTGAATACGGTTTCAAAGAGGGGCGGGTAAAAAGGGTATAAGAATTGTAACCCCCTCCCTTTGGAAGTACTAGAAGTACATTTTTAAGACATTTATGTAAATGTCGTGATTAGGATGACAAATTATTTACAGTTTTGAATGAGTTACTATAAACAAATTTTAAGCTTGCAGCCCATGAAGCTTATTTTTAATAAATGAGTCGGCTCAGCTTTTTGGTCAAATTAAAATAGAAAATTGAAAAGTGAGATAACAAAATTTGCAGTCGTAAAACCTTTTAGATTTAGATACACTCCCTGATTTATTTTATGACAATAGTGGCTGTGGTCACCTTTAAGGCCCCATTGCACCCTAAAGTCCACCCTTAATACTATTGGTTGAGATTATATGAGCACACACATATATCTGACTATCAAGATTCAAGATTTCAAACCCTACCCCAGTTGCATTCGGACACTTGAAGGGAAAACATCATCCATATACATACACAGAATTCGGCAGGAATTTCTCAACCTTACTTACTTAGATATAGACAGGCATATAATATCTTCTTCTCGGGGGGGGGGGGGGGGATATTCAACCTTCAGCTCATTTCCCCAATAATAATGTTCACTATTACAAACATTTTTAATGTTTGACGCTGAAACGTGAGTTGTGCCCCCCCCTACAACCCCATCCCCTTCTATCAATTTTTCAAAAATTTTCAACAAAATTAGTATACATATTTAGGGTTTGGTAAAAACACTTTCTGGGCCGAGCGCTGCGGCTTATAGGACAGGCTAGGGTACCAAATTCAGCGGTTAGGACATGACTAATTTAATCCTTGTGTTAAATACGAGTTGCATGTACAAAATTGTAAGGAGGGGGCTTTTAAAATCTTTCTGTAGAAAAATTACCCCATATTTTTGTGCGTGCGGTTTCAACTGAATTTTACATTATTACGCATGTTTATTTTTTTAATTAGATATTTTGTCTGTTTTAAAGCATGTCTTCGAGTTCTTTGAAAGATATTGAGAGGATACATAATAACAAAAATTTGCCTTTCAATAATTAATTCATAGTTCATGAAACTCGTCAGAATAGATATTATTTATGGTAAAGAGACCTTTTTATGTTTTTCTGTGTTAGAACTGATTCTAAACCTAACAATAACATTTTCACTTAAGATTAATACCAAAGATCATTAATATGTAGGAAGACAATTTTTTTACTTGAAAAATGACCTGCGAACTAAGCTCTTAGCTAGGAATTTTTGAAGGGGGAGCAGAAAAGTAAAAAATAGGAGAGATAAGTAAGGGCCTTGCCGCAGGGGGGAAAATGCTACCTGAAAAAAAACTTAAAAAGGGACAAAATTAACGATTTCGAAGATTTTGGTAACCAAAATTTAGATTTTATGCGAATTTTCTCCCCCGTTTTCCTTCTTTCTTTCTATCTTTTTTCGTTTCCTTCTCATTTTTTCATTTCTTCTTTTTTGTCTCAGAATGTGTGCCCCCCTTCAGGAGAAAAAGGGGGGCACGTGCCCCTGTGCCCCCTAGCTACGGGCCAGCTGCAAAGCTCATACTATTGGTAATTACAATAGATTTCTTCCCACTGTTTCTCTTTTTCTCACTTTTCGCCCCCACCCCCCTCTTTATATTGCAAGGTTTAAAATCAAATTATTTCATATTTAGTTAAATTTTGATATCTCCCTATAAGAAAACTTTAGAAATCATGTTCTGTATAACCTCAGATTAAGATCTGCAAATCCGTCAAAAGTAAACACTATATAAACGCAAGGGCGTATACAGAAGTAAATCTAGGTGGGGGGCAAGAAATTTTTTTTGCCCCCCCCCCCCTAGGAGCTCTTAGGTAGGGGGGCAAAATTTTAACTGTAAATTCAAAACGTTTGGCTTTATAAGATACCTTTATAGTAAAAGATACTGAAGGTACACATGCAGTCCAATTACCTTGCAAGTACTACTTTATCTCTCCTTCAAAAAAAAACTAGCAGAAAAAAATCACTTTTCTAAAATATCGACATTTTATTATTCTGTTATGTATGTAATAATTAGTATTCAAACTAGAGATAGTTAAAGACATTTTTGAAAATAAAAAACTCAACTTAAACTTTAATGAGATGAAATTAAGGACGAAGGTCCAAAAAATAATTATGACTTGTAAAAGTTTTTTAAAAAATGAGTACAAATGTAATCTATATAATAAAGTAAATTAAATCCAAAGAAAAAAATGGTCTTTTACTACTTTCAAACTTAAGCCTTTGTGGCTTGACATTCAAAAATAATTGTTTTACTTCGCTATCCCTGATAGCGCCTATCCGATTAGGATAGATTTTTCATTCGGACTTCTTTCATGGACCATGGTGGCACTGAATGAACAGCAAACTAATTTTTTTATGTTCTTAACTCTTCAGTTTAAGATTTGAAAAGTGTGAAATCTCTGCGTCCTTTACAGGTATAGGGGGGCACTGCCCCCCCCCCCTGTATACGCCCTTGATTAAACGGGTTTTAAATCTTACTTAAAACGGAATTATAATCCGCAAGGGGGTTGGGCAGTGGTATAAACTGCCTCGGCAACAATGTTTTTAAAATGTACTTTCTGTGTTAGGTTTATACAAGTTCTCAGGCCGGGGGGGTTGAGTTGTGCCCACCCCTACAACCCCATCACTGAAACCTTAGTTGTATTTTAAGTTTCTAATTCTATTTCACAGCACCCATCTTTCTTACTTCTCATTTCTTAGCAATATGAACATAAAAAAGGCAAGTGGTCAATAAACCCTGAGATATTTTTCTATTGCCTATTGTCAAATCTTATTAAAGAAAGTTCTTTTCCCAGTTCCTGGATTGCAACATAATATTCCACGCACAAATAGATATAATTTTTTCTTGATCATATAGAAGCACTTAATTAAAAAAATCGGATTTAAAAGAAAAGAATAATTTGTAAGATTTTTAATTTGTTTATCAGTAAAACAAAACTTGACATAAATTTTATCCATAAAAAAACTTCATAAATAATAAGGAACTGAGACTTCGTCTCAAATCTGATGTATAAAAATATATGCTTATTTTTACTTCTCAAATCTTTAATATTAAAATTAAAGTATGATTATTTTGAAGTAAAATGTGTTTACATCCTAAAGATGCCTGGACAGGGGGAACGAAAAAAGCAACTCTTATTTTGGAGGTAAAAAAAAAAACATTTGATTCGCAGAAAATATAATTATCATCTTAAATTAATCGACATCCATATTTGTATGTTCAATGCGACATATTTATAGTATTTAAGATTTAAGTTTAAACAAGTTTCTTCAATGTTTACACTCACCCCACACACAATGTAAATAAACATTTAGTAGATTCCGTCTTTTTCTCTCTCACACTCCAGGTATAGTTTCAAAAGATTATTTTCACTATTTGCAAATTTCTGCACAGAGTGAAACAAAATTGGCCAATTTAAGACAAGATGTTCATTTCTTTTTGCAAGGATGGAACCAAATTTGTGGGAACGAGCTTTGGAAGTGAGACTAGTATTGCAGGAGAAATAGGTTTGATAAACCTTCCATTTAACAATACTTTTTTGAACTAAACTTTCTAGACTAAACCTTCCAGACTAAACCCTCTGGGCTAAACTTTCTAGACTAAACCTTCCAGACTAAACCCTCTGGGCTAAACTTTTTAGACTAAACCTTCTGTACTAAACCTTTGTACTAATGAAACTGAACTAAGCCTTCTGGAATAAACATTTTAGACTAAACCTTCCGGACTAACCCCTCTGTGCTAAATCTTCTGGACTAAACCTTCTGGACTAAACCTTCTGGACTAAACCTTCTAGACTAAACCTTCTAGACTAAACCTTCTAGACTAAACCTTCTGGACTAAACCTTCTGGACTAAACCTTCTAGACTAAACCTTCTAGACTAAACCTTCTAAACTAAAAACCTTAGTTTATTCTCAACTTGAACATTCTGAACTTCATCGTTTTAAATAATGGATGTGAAATCTACCTGAACGCCCATTAATCTCTGATTGTTTAGTGTTCCAGACTGGTATGGTGGGGTACCCGGAGTCCTTGACTGATCCGTCTTACCGGAGACAACTCCTCGTTCTAACCTACCCTCTCATAGGAACTTAATTCAAACTAATGACAACTAAACGTTTAAATGATAAAAAGATTATGGTGTACGCGGCAATATTTTGAATTGTGCACGCGGCAACATTTTGAATTGTGTATGCGGCATTTAGGAAACTATGGCGTGGACGGAGAAGCTTTAGAGAAATGGGCAGAATCCTACAGAATATGGGCAGGTATAGAGATTGCTTAGCTTCATCAAGATTTATATGTATATTGATGCATGACAATGCAGATTGTAATGTACATGGCACTTATGGTTCATTGACCTTAGCTCTAATACTAAATTGTGTTTGTTCAAAAGTAACACTGCAATAAATGGCAAGGAATTATATTTGTTTTCTCATTTCCTGTCGACAAATTTTTTCTCCTAAGAATTTGTTGCAATTCTTTCTTTTTGTAAAATATATTTTCTTAAAATTATTTATTATTCCAGGAGCACTGATTGTTGGAGAGTTATGTACTTCTCCGTCCCACTGGAACTCAGGTTAAAATCAAAAACGAAAAATAATGTTTTTAGTTTAATTTTATGTCAATCTTTTAAATTACTAAAATCAATTTACTGGATGTTACAGGACTCAAGGGTGGTATGTGAACTTTATCTTTTAGGTCAAGACCTGGACTTCTGGTTGAAGGACTCCAGGGTGATATGTGAACTTTATCTTTTAGGTCGAGTTATGGACTTCTGGTTAAAGGAGGGAGTACCAGGACTCCCATGGTGGTATTTCAACTCCTTGCAGTGACTTTGACTTCTGGTTGAAGGGTACGGAGTACTAGGGCTCCATGGTGTTATATCAACTCCATATTCTAGGTCGAGACCTGGACTCCTGGTTGAAAGAGGAGGGAATCCCTGGACTCCAGGGTATAGATACAAGAGCACTAACTAAGGTAGAGCCTGAATAGTGAATAGACTGTTCGAACAGGACTATTTTTTAGTTATAAATATTAAAAACATTAGTTTTGAAACTTAAATTATTCAGTATATGGGAGAAGTTGGACAAACTGAATTCTAAGTGTTTATTTTTATCCCTATTTAGATAATTCGAGAGAAAGGAACTATGCTGGGAAAGATAATAGTTGAAGGAGACAAGGAAGAAACCTTCCCGTTCTATAATCCCAACTCCATGAACCTCGTCGAAGAAGTCTCAACCAAGGTGAGGTTCGTGCAGGGTGGCAGGGATATTGAAGAAAGGTTTCAGGGAGATTGAAGAAAGGTTTCAGAGAGATTGAAGAAAGGTTTCAGGGAGATTGAAGAAAGGTTTCGGGATATTGAAGAAAGGTTTCGGGAGATTGAAGAAGGGTTTCTGAAAGATTGAAGAAGGGTTTCTGGAAGATTGAAGAAAGGTTTCTGGGAGATTGAAGACAATTTTCAGGGAGATTGAAGAAAGGTTTCAGGTAGATCGAAGAAAGGTTTCAGGTAGATCGAAGAAGCTTTCATGAAGAGATTTTTAGGAAGAGAATGTTTTACGGAGAAAAGTTTTATGGATAAAGGTTTTCAGTGAGAGACGGTTTCAGAGAGAGAAGGTTTTCAGGGAGATAAGGTTTTCAGGGAGAGAGGGGGTTTTCAGGGAGAGGAAGTCTTTATGGAGAGAAGGTTTCCATAGGGAAAAGGTTTTCAGAGAGAAAAGGTTTTCATAGAGAAATAGTTTTCAGAGAGAAAAGGTTTTCAGGGAGACAAGGTTTTCAGAGAGAAAAGGTTTCCATAGAGAAAAGGTTTTCAGAGAGAAAAAGTTTTCAGAGAGAAAAGGTTTTCAGAGAGAAAAGGTTTCCATAGCGAAAAGGTTTCCATATAGAAAAGGTTTCCCTAGCGAAAAGGTTTCCATAGCGAAAAGGTTTCCATAGAGAAAAGGTTCCCATAGAGAAAAGGTTTCCATAGAGAAAAGGTTTCCATAGAGAAAAGGTTTCCATAGAGAAAAGGTTTCCATAGAGAAAAGGTTTCCATAGAGAAAAGGTTTCCATGGAGAAAAGGTTTCCATGGAGAAAAGGTTTTTATGGAGAAAAGGTTTTTATGGAGAAAAGGTTTTTATGGAGAAAAGGTTTTTATGGAGAAAAGGTTTTTATGGTGAAAAGGTTTCCATGGAGAGGATGGTTTCCAGGGAGAGGAGTGTTTCTAGGGAGAGGAGTGTTTCCAGGGAGAGGAGTATTTCCAGAGAGAGAAGGGTTTCCAGGGAGAGAAGGGTTTCCAGGGAGAGAAGGGTTTCCAGGAAGAGAAGGGTTTCCAGGGAGATAAGGGTTTCTAGGGAGAGAAGGGTTTCCAGGGAAAGAAGGGTTTCCTGTGAGAGAGGATTTTCGTAAGAAGATTTTCATTTTGGGAAGGATTTCAGGGAGAGAAATTTTTCAGTGAGAGAAGCCAGGTTTCAGGGAGGGAAGGTTTTTAGGGAGAGAAAGTTATAGATAGAACCTTCAATTAGGTTTCAGAAGAAAGGGTTCAGAGAGTTTCTATAGAACTGTAACATAAAGGGATAAAATATTTTTTTTTTTTTTCAAATTCTCGTTTATTTCATTGTTAGAAAACCTTGAATTATTTCAGGTTAAAAAAACCTATAATCCTAACGGAAGTCCTAGGATCTGTATGGTCGACTGTGGGCTCAAACAGAACCAGGTGACTTATCATTGCTTAAATTTTTTTATAAAAGTATTTAAGGTTTTGAGATCTTAAACGGATTGTCAAGTTATAAAGGGGTATATCACAATCATGATTAGCACAGTTAAAAGCTACATCATATTTATATGATCAACTTTGAAGATTGATTATTTCTGCACTGTTGTTTCTAAGTAAAAGTAACTTGGAGATTTTAATATAGAAACTAATGAGGAAATAGTCAGAAGCAACACTTACCTAAAAAAAATGACGATTTCTCTCACATTTTTATTAGAAAGGTGTTAAGTTTACTGACTATATATTAGTCCTGCCCAAAGACTTTGCTAATTAAAGATAGCGCATCAGAAAATCTACGCAAATTTGACGCATTTTCTCGGGTTACCATAGATAGTAAGTAATGTCGTCTTCTCCAGAAATCCGGTATATATTTACCCTGTTGACGTTTCATAATTTCGTCTTTTGTAATGAATTAAATAGATATTTAAAAGGAAAACAAGGAAACCACTTTAGTTTATTTATTTTGAAATATTTAATTTGTCCCTAGTCCATAAAAATACCGTAGTTTTTAGAACCTTTAATGGGTTGGTAACTTGAAATTACAACTATAATCATTCCCTGAGAACATTTACTTTTGGTTTGAAGTATTAATTGTTTATAAAAAAAATAACCTACAAGATCTTGGTATTTAAATTTCAACCATACACCAATCAAGTCTTATATCTTTTATGCAATTGTAACCTTGTACTTTTTAACAGTAATCAATTATCTCATTTTTTTCAAGAAGGAATTCTCTCTCCACCTAATTTAAATGAATTACCAAATTAACGTCGTAATATTTATTATACTATAAATTACTTTTAATTTGAAATGTTTGAAATGTTTTTCACATACTCTTGGATCTTTTACTGTGATATACTCTTGATTTAAATGAAGGGCCTTCAGCCACAGTTTTTTTCTTGCTGGAAATCTAAACCGTGATCCTCATACTCTTGGATTGCAGCTCTGTATTATACATGTTGGAGCTTTGATTGGCACTGACAGACCTGAATTTATCAGAATTATTCAAAGAATTTGTAAACATAAAACTATGGAATTTGAAAATGCTGACATAATTTATAATTAGACAATCTACTTGTTATCTGCTCAAAAGAGGTATTTTAACGTTCATTAAACTATTTAATCGTAAATTTAGTCTATAAGTCGTCTTCGTATTCCTTAGGTTTTTTTTCACCAATGTATTAATTTTTTTCCATCTTTAAACTACTCCAATAATTAATGCCTCAAAACTAGTGTAATCAATTTTAAAAGACTTCTAAGTAAAAGGTCGTCCTTTAATTCGCATTTTTAAAGAAACTTTCTGTGATAGATTTTCTTTAATGGTATTATTTTTGAAACAAAATCCCCATAAATCAATTGAAGAATAAGATTAACACATTAATTTATGCAATATTTTTTCTTTGCCTAAGATTAAACAGAAGACGACATTTACACCAAATTTATTTACCGTTTATAATATATTGGACATTTCTGGTCCCCTCTCTTCTTCATCGCCTAAAATTCCATTCCATAGTACCTCAGAAAAAATTATTGACATCTGAAAATTTTCACAAACAATTATCGACTATTTTTGATACAAAATAGATGCGTAACTTTATCACAAATTCAGCTATAATTCACCAGATGATCCTCATATCCAACAAATGATTAAATAGATTTTAAAATAGAAATTAATATCATTAATTTTAGATAAATTTTAGCACAAAACATTCACAATTGCGTTAAATATCTAAGGTTTTAATGTCGATCGTTCGACTCTCAAGCAACCAAAATAACCAATGACGTCAAAATACAGCTGTACTGGCGTACACAATATTCGGAGAAATTTCCAACGCCTTGTCTTTATAATTAGCAAAGTCTTTGGTCCTGCCCCTCTTTAATTGATGGGGGGGGGGGGGCGGGTCTTGTGAAACTAAAATGACGGTCAGCTCAACTTCATGTTATCCAATGATTTTTTCTCTCCTGAATTTAACCTCAATTTTGTTTTAGTTGCGTTGTTTAATGAAGCGCGGAGCACGTGTTGATGTTGTCCCATGGGACTCCAAGCTAGACCCGGAGCAATACGACGCACTCTTCCTTTCAAACGGTCCTGGTGATCCACAGGTAGAATACGGGGCTGGGGTCAGGGGAGATATGTCAACCTGATATAGGGGGGAGAGAGAAGAAGAGGCAGTTTATCCCCAAACCGTATGATCGAAAATCTGGTTGTTAACCAATAATTTTTAGGTTTGTAAGAATACAGTTGACGAGATAAGACGAGTTATCTCCCTGCCCAACCCGAAACCAGTTTTTGGAATTTGTCTTGGACATCAACTTCTCTCCGTTGCGGCCGGCTGCAGTACATACAAGCTCAAGTAATCAAAATTAAAAAATTTAGGATAAGGTTTTGGCAAACGCCCAAAATGCATTTCAAAAAATTCACCTGTACATATTAACTTAACCTATATAGTAAGAAAGATCAATCATGTCTCAAATTTCCAAGTTCTTCATTATAGGTATGGTAATAGAGGGCACAATCAGCCCTGCAGGCTCGAGGGTACTCAAAGGTAAAATTATTTAGCTGAAGACGACATTTAAGAAAGGAACGTTTCTTAAACATATCTTCTTTCTTAGGTGTTATATGACCTCACAGAACCATGGGTTTGCGGTCAGCACAGAGCAGATACCTCAAGGCTGGAGCAAACTCTTTACAAATGAGAATGATGGATCAAATGAAGGTAGTTTCACTGAACAAATGTTCAGTTTATAAGACTTTTACATTTTATAATTGCCATTTTATAAATGTATTTGTAAGAATACCAACATTATAACTTAAACTGAAGTAAATCGGTTGTTTCCATTGTTGTATTGAGCGACTTGAGATGATTTAGTTGATTTAGACATTTTTGAGCAAAAGTTTTTGAATGATTCTCTTTAATTTATTGATTGAATTTTAAGGGATAGTTCATCAAACGAAACCGTTCTTCTCTGTACAATTTCACCCGGAGCACACTGCTGGACCTGAGGATTTAGGAACAGATTAAATGTCGTCTTCTGATCAGTTCTTAATTTGTTTTTATATACAGGGTTACCCACAAAGGATGAAACTATAAAGACCACCTGAAACTCGAATGGTGTATTCAATGATTTGGCAAAGAAAGAAAGAAACCAGTTTACAGTTGCAGAGAATCATGAATACAAGAAACTTACCGTATAAATACCGTACGGTCGTCTCTGAAATCTTTGCCTGTAACCCTGTATCATAACACACGATTTGGAAAGGACATTTTTATATAATTTTTCCTGAACTTAACCCCCCCCCCCCCAATAAAAAATAGAATAGCTTAAACAAATTAACAGTTTTTGTTGACGACGAACTTACTCTGTAGAAAGCTTGTTCGACGTGTTTATTAATATGGCAACCAAGAAATCTGAGGAAAATTCCCCATCTTAATCTTGAAACTTTTTTGTGTTTACATCTCAAGACTCAGTGCAGTTAAGACTGCATAAGAGTTAACTTTTTGCACATGTTTTAAGAATTTCATCAGGTTTTGTGAATTAACTTACAATTACAATACTTGGATGTTTGGTTCTCTGCTGTTTTGTTGCAAATTCCAACATATTTTTGTAAATCGATTATTTTGTTTTATGATTTTATATAAAAAGTTTGTAGATTTTTAATCCTATGCTGCTAGTTTGGACTACTTTAAAATCGCGTAGTTTGGTTTAATTTTCAAAATGGCGTGGTTTGGTTTGGGTTTCAAGATGGTGGATTAAACAGGTGAACGTGAAGCAAGCCATCATGGAGACACTGAAGATCCAACCGGTCAGCGTGGAGGAGATTGTCAGACCAAGAAAGGTTAAACTATTTTCATCATTTCCAGATTAGAATTTTTAATTTTTAATTAGTGTCAATTTATTTTTGTTTTTATTTTAGGTTCTGATTCTTGGGTCTGGAGGACTATCTATTGGGCAAGCCGGAGAATTCGACTATTCTGGGACTCAAGCAATCAAGGAACCTACATTCAACTTTATTTTTCTATTTTTGAAAATTTAATTCGTAACGGCTTAAAAGATGATAAAAAATAAAATTCTAATATTTTGAATGTGTGTTTGGTTTAGGCATTAAAAGAAGAAGGGATTGATACCATTGTAATTAATCCCAATATTGCTACTGTACAGGTATATCAACCTTTTTTTATTTAATTTTTATTTTAAACTTAACGTGAAAAAAAAATCCTAACATTTTTATTTAGACTAGTAAGGGCCTAGCCAACAAGTGCTATCTTCTCCCAGTCACTCCTGAGTTCGTAGAACAGGTAAATTTGTGGTGAAATGTCGTCTTGGGTTGATTAAATGTCGTCTTCTGTAGTCGAAATGTGGCTTGGTTCTCGTGATTCATTTGATTTTAATTGTATATAAGAGTATTTGAACTTCAATTTTGTATATGCTCTTTAAAAGAATTTAAATTTAACTGTTATATTTTGTGTTTTACAAACAAAATTTTGAATCTGAAGCCCAGAAATCATAATGTGTACGGATCTAATAGCAGTTCTGAGTTATAAAACTCGTTCAAATGGTTAAGCTTTCAACAATAATTTTAAGGTTATAAAAGCAGAAAGACCGGACGGTATTCTTCTAACATTCGGTGGTCAGACTGCACTCAATTGTGGCGTTGTCATGAACAAGGTTAGTAAAGTATAAACTAGTTGAAAAGCAGGAACTACAATTTTTTTTGAAGAAAAATTTTTTTTCATCCCTTTCAAAATGTTTTCAGCATTTTTAATTTTTACTTCAGTTTTGGTCGAGTTCTAAATGAGGATATAATTTTATATCATCTCAAATAACAAAAAAAAAAGAAAAATGTTGGTTTATCAGTTGAATTAAAAAAATATGAAAATTCAATGGAATTTTTATTTTTTTATCTGTACCCGGGTATATTTTTTCAGTTCCAAGAAACTGAATTAAAGGCACAAACTCAAAAATCCCTTATTTTTTTCAACCTTATGAAGTAGACCTTTTAGATTTTAAACTCTGCAATCTGCATTCTGTTACATTAAAAATTCTAAGTTTGAAATTGGATCAAAAGTTTGCACCAGAAGATTTAGAGATTAGAAAATTTGAGTTAGTGGCAAAAACTCAGGTTCGTTAACATTAAATTGAAATCTAGAAATAATTTAATAAATTGAAAGTTCCTTTAAATGCACACAAACCCTATACCCCTTACCAAGCCGTGAAAAATTGATTGTTTAGGCCGGAACCTTTGAGAAGTATGGAGTAAAGATATTGGGAACTCCCATCAAATCTATCATAGAGTCGGAGGATCGAAAACTTTTTGCGGAGAAGATCGCAGAGATCGGAGAACAGGTAGGAGCAGATTTAAATAATTAAAGGGGGGGGGGGCAAAATTCCCCTCTCCCCTTCTTAAAATCTCCTATATTATGTACATTTGGGTTGATTGTCATAATGTTACTAATTCAAGAATTGTATCAGGATTTGAACAAAACCTTTAAGTTTCTATATTGCATCATTACTCTTTAAGTGGTGCTATGCAATTAACTATGAACTTCACTTTTGGTTAGTACTATACTATTAGCTATGTACTGCACAATTGATTATATTCTGTACTGTGTATTGCACCATTAACCATGTACTGTATTCCAGGTTGCTCCTAGTATGATTGTAGAGAACATAGAAGAAGCTCTCCAAGCAGCTGAGAAGCTGGGGTATCCTGTACTCGCTAGAGCTGCTTATGCGCTGGGAGGACTTGGATCAGGGTTTGCAGGTAAGTCAACTTTCTAAATTAGCGGGTAGGGGCTCAAGTTCGGACCCCTCTCCTCACATATAGAAGTATTCTTGTTTATAATGGAATAAACAGTGAACACTGAACAGGTGTTTGTTACACGAGATAAATAAACGATACGAGCTTGAGAACCCAGCGTTGCCCAGGGTACTCATAGTTACTCCCGCCGTTTACCCGCGCTTGGTCGTAAATTACGATTTTAGCTATTTTTCTCGATAAAGTCTTACGCAATTTAGAATCTCAAAACCAATCTAATATCTATTACTTATTATCGAGAAAAATAGCTTGAATCGTAATTTACGATCAAGCGCGGGTAAACGGCGGGAGTAGCTATGAGTAACCTGGGCAACGCTGGGTTCCCAAGCTAGTATACCAAAGACTATCTACGATAGATTGTTGTATACCAAAAGATCACAGGTCTTTATCTAAGTCTCCTCTTTTGTGGATAGTATGCATTAAATGTAATATAATATTAAATACATCCAGAGAACCCTACTGAGCTGAAGAACCTGGCCAAAACATCGTTCGCTCACTCCACACAGGTCATCATCGACAAGAGCTTGAAGGGCTGGAAGGAGGTCGAGTATGAGGTGGTCAGGGATGCCTACGACAACTGTATCACGGTAAGTGGAGTTAATGTTTTTAAATGCTCATCATGATTATTTGATTTTTTTTGGTGAAGGAGGCAAAATTTGTAATATCCTTAATTTTATTTATTTTCAATGGCATGTACTTAATAATGGCTAGAAAAAGTCAGCTAAATATTTCTTAAATTAAAAAAGATCATGTCACGGTTTAACCTAATCATTAATTTAAAAAATTAATCCTACATCTTTTTTATTTTTTTGCTGTCAAATAGACTTAGTTTTTGTCATCATTTAGGCTTTAGCTTCTTGATGTATTTTTGGTCTCTAGGTTTGCAACATGGAGAACTTGGATCCTTTAGGGATTCATACTGGAGAGAGTATAGTGGTCGCTCCCAGTCAAACACTTACTAATAGGTTAGTTAACTCTTATATATTGCGCCTCAACTAATTTGTACCAAAAAAAAACTCGAATCTCTCTCTAAAAATCTACAATTATTTAGCAAAATATTTAAACTCTGGAACAACTAAGGTCGACTAACTCAACACGAGCAAGAGTTTATAATATTAATAGCTTACAATATGGATTGAATGTGAATTTATTATTAACTATTTAAAGATTAACTATGTTGAATATGTAATTATATATTCTTTGATGTACGCATGTCTTAATTTATTATATTTTTAGTGAATATAACAAGCTGAGAACTACGGCTATCAGCGTTATTAGGTCAGAAATATTTTTTAACAATAATAATTTATACTTAATTTTAAACTAAATTCTTAAAAAAAATTAAAAATACAATTTTACGCTGTAGGAAACTCAATATATATATGTTTCTCTTTGAAATAAAAATGAAAGTGTAAAAGTTCAGAAAATATTTTATGTTGCAGTAAAATGCAATTTTTATGTTAATATATTTTTTGGAGATTGCTATTTTCTTGTTCAGACATCTGGGAGTTGTTGGAGAATGCAACATTCAGTATGCATTGGATCCAGAATCCGAGAAATATTACATAATTGAGGAACAAAATCTGTCAAAACCTAAAATAAAATTAACGTGTTAAAGATGCTGAAAACGCTAATAAAATTGTTAGATAATTTATGCTAAGGTCATGATTAACATCCCTATAAAAATGATGTTCTTGGTGGGTCGCTTAAAGAACCATTTTTCTCCGCTTTTACTATCCAGACTTCAGAGGAATATTTTGTTTCCTGAAAATATAATTTTAGTTAAGTTGAATGTTTATCAGTTTTTGAAACTTTTTAATTTCACGTTTTGACAATTTTGATTGGTTTAGGTGAATGCTAGATTATCTCGTAGCTCAGCATTGGCTAGCAAAGCGACAGGATTTCCCTTAGGTAAAAAATAGAAGTTTCACTGTAGGAAGACTTGGTAAAAGTGATCATTAAATTATTGAAATTGGACTAAACATAAACCAGAACAAGGATGATACTGAGAGATTCTTTTATGACTGGAAAAATGCTGATGTATCTGAAATGAACAAGTACATAGAAAGACAAGATTGGAAAAACAATTTATCCCAGTTGTCAACTGAAGAGGCATGGTTAAAACTTAAAATTGAGTTACTTGAAGCTTTTCACAGTTTTGTTCCAAGGAAGATAAGTAAGAAAGGCAACAGACCTGACTGGATGGATACAAATACCCTGAGAATGATCAGAAAAAAGAGAAGATTATGGAGTAGATTTAAAAGCACAAGATCTCCAGAGGACCTGACTGAATACAATGAAATGGAAAAACTAACTAAGAAAACCATCAGAAAAGCTAAACGTAGATATGAGGTTAAACTGTCTAAGAAAACAGACTTTCGGAATGCTCAGTTTAGAAACTATATTAAAGGTAAAACTGTTTCTACAAATGTAATTACAGGCCAGTGTCCCTTACATCAATAGTCTGTAAAATCATGGAGAAATTATTAAAGGAGAAAATCGTCAAACATCTGTCTACTAACAATCTAATAAACCCCAGCCAGCATGGATTTACTAAACATAAGTCTTGCTCCACTAACTTATTGGAGTTCTTTGAATTTGTAACTTATCAGGTAGACAGGGGAAACCCGGTAGATGTGGTCTACTTGGACTTTGCAAAAGCTTTCGATAAAGTGCCCAAGTTAAGGTTGCTAGAGAAGATAAAATCAATGTCAATAACAGGAAACATTCTTGTTTGGATAGGAAACTGGCTTACAGATCGAAGACAGAGAGTAAAGGTTGGGAACAGTCTCTCGGAGTGGTTGCCAGTGGAGTCTGGAGTCCCACAAGGCAGCGTTTTTGGCCCAGAAGCTTTTAGAATCTACATAAATGACCTGGATGATGCAGTCAAGACCTTGGATTGTATTAATAAGTTTGCTGATGATTCTAAAGGAGCCAAGATAGTTAAGTCAGCTCAGGATCAAATTCTAATGCAAACAGCACTGAATAACCTCTATGACTGGTCAGTCAAGTGGGGGATGAAATTCAATGTGAGTAAATGCAAAATTATTCACATGGGAAAAAATAATCCATGCTATGAATACCACATTGGAGGGGAAAAACTCCAATCAGATACAAAGGAAAAGGACATTGGCGTGCTAATTAGTGATAACTTAAAACCGAGTATGCAGTGTCAGAAAGCAGCAAACACAGCTATGGCCGTTCTGAACCAGATCCTGAGGGCTTTCACCTATAGAGATAGAACTACATATATAAATCTGTACAAGACATATGTAAGACCTCATCTTGAGTTCTCCTCTCCAGTCTGGAATCCATGGTTAACTTCAGATGTTGAAAGGTTAGAAAATGTCCAGAAAAAAGCTCTAAAACAGGTTTATGGATTACAAGAAACCGATTATCTAACAAGGGTAAAAGAACTTGGTCTGACTACACTGGAGGAGAGAAGAACTTACACCGATCTTGTACAAACCTACAAAATCATTCATGGAATAGATGATGTGGACAGAAAGATTTGGTTTGAGCTGTATGGTGACACTGAAAGGAGAGTAACCAGAACAAGTGAACAGTCCCTTTGTATAGTAGCTTCCAGACCCAATTTGGATATAAGAAAACACTTCTTCTCTAATAGAATAGTTCAGCAGTGGAATGCACTACCTAATAACATCAAAAATGCAAGAAATGTCAAACATTTTAAAAACATGTATTTGAGCCAAGTGCCCCTACCCTGATGAAGTAATCTATCAAACCTCTGCTCTCGGAAATGGTATGGGTCACCAGTAAAGCTGACACTTCTTCCTTGGATCAAGATGGTCCCTTAGAAGTTCCTCTTCAAGTAAACAAGTAAACACTTTTACTGGATTAGAGCACCAGAGGCGAGAACTTTGAATATCATTGATTCGATCATACAAAGCTTTTAAGGGAACCATTATAAATCGGGCATTTCCATTTATGCTTGGAGAGTCACTTGAATATATTATTGTATTAATTCCATTAATTTTAGCTTACATTGCCGCCAAGTTGGCTTTGGGGACTGCCCTTCCAGATCTCAAGAATACTGTCACAGGTTAGAAAATTGTCCCTTTTATTTATTAAATCAAACCATTTTGATTTTAATTATTTTAACCTTTCATTTGTTTTGTTTTTAATAAGTTTTTATGTATATTTAGGTGTGACAACAGCATGCTTTGAACCAAGTTTGGATTACTGTGTTGTTAAAATTCCCAGGTTAACTTTTGTCAAGATAAATTCAATTGAACTGTAAATGATAGTAAAGCACTGCTTAATTTCGATCAGATCTCATCAAACGTTTGAGAATTATTATAATTTTTAATCCTTCCCTTAATCCTTACTCTATTTTTGTAATATTTTTTCTTCCCTCAGAGCTGGAAACTATTGTGTTGGATGCTCTTAATTCCGATCCACAGATCTCGATATCCACTCCGGGGCACTTTTAATTTGAGAATCAATGATTAATCTCTTCTTTTCATTTATTTCTCCCCTGGCTCCACTTAAGCCCGGACATGGTACGATTTCTATGCGGGGGTATTGAATAAATATTTATTTAATCTGCAGCATCGGAACTACAGATAATAGAATTTACTGATCAATATTGATTATTCCTGATCAAAAATGTGATCAGTGCTTTTATTCCTTACCTTAATATTATTTTTCTAACCTTTTTCTTCCATTAGGACCATATGCACTTTTCTATATCATCAATATGTTTTAAATTATCTGACCCAATTTATTTTCAGATGCTTCCTTCCCAACCTTACCAACCTAAAGCATATTCATTCTTTTCAGACCTAGTTGTATCCTTATTTTTACTACACCATGTATACTGTATAGGTGGGACTTGAGTAACACCATGTATACTGTATAGGTGGGACTTGAGTAAGTTCAGTCAAGTGAGTACTAAGATTGGGAGCAGTATGAAAAGTGTAGGAGAAGTCATGGGAATCGGCCGGTAAGTTAATAGAACTGGGTAAGTTTAGAAAACTGAGTAAGTTCAGAGAACTGAGTAAGCTATAAAAAATTGAAGAACTTTAAATTGTTATCTAATTATTTAATCCGTTTTTTTACGAACCATTTCTTCATTTTTTTTAACAAAAAATGCAAGATCTTGTTTTTAATGTTAAAATTAAACTATTTGATCAGGAAGTTCGAGGAAGCGTTCCAGAAAGCTCTTCGAATGGTTGACGAGTCAGTTACTGGATTCGATCCAACACGGAACAAGGTCATCGAGAACGAACTGAGGTGGGATTTTTTCCTATATTAAAGAAATTATCACTTTAAGATAACATAAGAAACTTCTAAATTCAGAATCAGAATATTTTTTTCTAAATAAAGATAATATGATTAATGTTTATAGTATTTTGAATATTTATGATTAAAACGTGCCAGCATTTACTGCATTAAAATGCAAATAAAAGCATTTATTCCAGTCAAACGACTTTCTGAATATATTAAAGTTTTCAGCTAAAAAATATATATTCAATCTTCATACATGCAACTTTTATATTTAAAAGAGAACAATCGAGATTTTTTTCTTGAATTTTTCATGAAACGAAATTACAATTTCAAGTTTGGGGTCTAGGTTTGAGGTTTATTATTTTGTTCGCATTCTCGGATTTTACCTTTCTGGGGAAGACGACATTTTTATTCCATTCCCTGAAATATTGCAGTGAGCCGACAGATAAGCGAATATTTGTGGTGGCTGCTGCCTTGAAGCAAGGATATACTGTTGAGAAACTATACGAACTTACTAAGGAATTCATTATTTTCTTCTACATAGTCATTTTTTATACTACCTTCATTCTTTTCTTTATTTATCCTTTATTCATCATTCATACCTTATTCATCCCTTATTCATGCCTTTATTTATCCGTTAGTCTTCCTTTATTCATCCTTTATTCAAGCCTTTACTTATCATTCATACTTCATTCATCCTTTATTCATTATTTATTTTTACTTTATTTATCCTTAATTCATCCTTTCTTCATCCTTTCTTCATCTTTAATTCATACTTTATTCATCTTTAATTCATCCTCTATTCATCCTTTATTCATCTTTTATTCATCTTTTATTCATACTTTTTTCATTCTTTTTTCATACTTTATTCTTCCTTTATTCATGCTTTATTCATGCTTTATTCATTTTTTATTCTTTCTTTATTCTTTCTTTATTCTTTTTTGTTCATACTTTATTTATCCTTTATTCATTTTTTATTCTTTTATTCATCCTTTATTCATAATACTTTCTTATTCATCCTGTATTGTTGATTTGGTTTATTTGTATGACTGGATAGGATCCAGAAATAAGAATGGTTTATAGATTGATCCTTGGTTTCTAAACAAGATGAAGAACATAATAAACTGCTACAACACTCTAGGTATAAATATTATTGGGAGCCTCAAACTTTTGGTTATTGAGTTATTCCGTTGACTTTTGGTTGAGGTTTTAATTTTGTAAACCTCTTTTAAAAAATAGTTCTCCAATTGATGAGATACGAATAAACAACTATTTTGAGGGACAAAGATGATTTTTAAACGGAAAATTAAAATTATTTGAGTGATACTCCATTTAAGAGTTACTAAGCCTTCAAACATGTATCTGTGTAACAATGAGGAAATAGCTTGAACTTGAAATCTGTGCTCCATAATTTTAATATATCAATTTTCAGGTTTAAAACTAGAATATTTTCATTACTTCGCTCAGATAATGATTAAAGAACCAGCTTTGTAAATTGTACATGTAACTCTTCAAACAGAGGGGCACTTTAAACTATGTCGCCACTGATCAACCATGTTTGAAAACAAGTTCAACTCTTTTCGTTAATATCTAAGCTTCCGGCCAGGCGCATATACAGAGGGGCCAAGAGTATCTTTTGACCCTCCTTTTTCTAGAGGAACTTAAGAGTTTACTGAAACGTTTTCCAGCATATAATTTATGGTGCTTTGACAAAACATTTCTTGAACCCTCTTTTCTTGTAGCTGTATCCGATCCTCCTCCCGGCTACAAGAAAACTTGAGGCTTATAAACACAAAGAGTTTGATTTATTACCTTTCTTTATATCTAGAAAAGAGCAGTGTAACTGTATCTGAGAAGGATATGTTGACCGCTAAACAGCTTGGATTCTGTGACCTGCAGATCGCCCAGCTAGTCGGCAGCACTGATACAGCTATTAGAGCTCTGCGGATAGATATGGGTATAATGCCCTGGGTCAAGCAGATAGATACTGTGGCGGCTGAATGGCCGGCTACGACCAACTATCTTTATCTGACCTACAACGGGTCAACTCATGATATAGAGTTTAACGTAAGATTTAAATATTAATTAATAACGGATCAGAGCTGAAAACTTTAGAATGGTGGATATCGAGATCAATGCTTGATTTTTTTGCTAATATCGAGACCAATTTAGTCTTAATTACTTTATTAGCAAGAAGTAGTTAAACTGCGAAGACTTGAAAGTAGAATTATCTTCTCAAATTGATCCGACCGAAAAGAGATAGTTCAACTCAATGCTTTTTAGAAGATATGAGCTGAAATCTTTACAATTGGACACTTAACACCGATCACTTAATCTAAATTCATCCACTGTGGACACTTGATTTCTGCTTAATCCGCTTTTTTACCTCTTTTTGGATATCACTACTTTGTTCCGACCTATAGAGTTCAATCATAGAGTGCGCGTCAAAATTTCTCTGCGTCTGATTGGCTGTTCGGGTTTCTCCAAACACCCCTCTGATTGGTTGAACTTTATACACTTTCCTGGTAAATAACTAAAGATTAAATTAATTTTGAGATTAATAAGAAAGATGAGGTCAAGCATAGATCTTAATATCTCCAATACTGAGTTCACAGCTCAGCTCCCTGAATACTAATTTGTGACCTTATGTTTTAAAGATGGACAATCTTTACTCTTTCTTACTTTTGATTAGAATTTTTTTGAGAAAATAAATTATTTTTAAACCTGTAATTTCTAATTTATTCTATATATCCAGGTTGAGGAGCATATTATGGTTCTTGGATCCGGAGTTTACAGGATTGGAAGCTCGGTTGAGTTTGATTGGTGTGCAGTCAGATCTATTCAGGTCATCCTTTAACTCCATCTTTATCTTCAAATTTATTCTGAGTATAATTTAGGCTATTTAACTATATCTAAACTTTGGTATAGGTAATCTCTAACAGCTTACTTTATTTGAACTCTAAAATTAAAACCATAACTTTATCTGAACTCTGGTGTTTTTTAACTTTACTTGGAATATAACGTTATCTGTTCTCTTATTTTCTCATGTGCAACCCTAACATAGATTGCCAATCTTTTCAACCAAGCATATACCTAGGGTTAAAACTTTCAAGTCCGGCTTTAGATCCTGGTTTTAGACTTAAATACCAGATTTAAACCTCGGACTTAATCTTGGTTTTATTACGTTGATCCCGACCTTAAACTTTGTTTTCCTTGATACAGGAAATGATCCCGACCTTAAACTTTGTTTTTCTTTGATACAGGAGTTGATCCCGACTTTAAACTTTGTTTTCCTTGATACAGGAGTTGATCCCGACCATAAACTTTGTTTTCTTTGATACAGGAGTTGATCCCGACCTTACACTTTGTTCTCTTTGATACAGGAGTTGATCCCGACCTTACACTTTGTTCTCTTTGATACAGGAGTTGATCCCGACCTTACACTTTGTTCTCTTTGATACAGGAGTTGATCCCGACCTTAAACTTTGTTCTCTTTGATACAGGAGTTGATCCCAACCTTAAACTTTGTTCTCTTTGAGACAGGAGTTGATCCCAACCTTAAACTTTGTTCTCTTGATACAGGAGTTGATCCCGACCTTAAACTTTGTTTTCTTTGCTACAGGAGTTGATCCCGACCTTAAACTTTGTTTTCTTTGATACAGGAGTTGATCCCGACCTTAAACTTTATTTTTATACAGGAGTTGATCCCGACCTTAAGCAAATTTGTTATCTTTAATACAGGAGTTGATGCCAACCTTAAACTTTGTTCTCTTTGATACAGGGGTTGATCCCAACCTAAAACTTTGTTCTATTTAATACAGGACATGACCCCGACCTTAAACTTTGTTTTCTTTGATACAGGAGTTGATCCCAACCTTAAACTTTGTTTTCTTTGATACAGGAGTTGATCCCAACCTTAAACTTTGTTCTCTTTGATACAGGAGTTGATCCCGACCTTAAACTTTGTTTTTATACAGGAGTTGATCCCGACCTTAAACAAATTTGTTATCTTTAATACAGGAGTTGATGCCAACCATAAACTTTGTTCTCTTTGGTACAGGGGTTGATCCCAACCTAAAACTTTGTTCTATTTGATACAGGACATGACCCCGACCTTAAACTTTGTTCTCTTTGCTACAGGAGTTGAGAAGGCTGGGAAAGAAAACGATTATGCTGAATTATAATCCTGAAACTGTCTCTACTGATTATGATATGTGTAGCAGGTAGTATTTTTATTTTTAGTAAAAGTATTTAAGTCATTGGTATATCTCTACACCTTATTTGATTTTGATGCGGATCCGGATCCTGGATCTGCACTGGAAAATAATGGATTCATATTCACGTCATGAAAATTGTTTAAAATTTACTGACTTTTAGAACAGAGAAAAATTTCAACTGTACTTTTTTTCGTTATTTTTATGTTAAAACTTAAACCATGGGGAAATTTTTGATTATCTCTTTTCATCAGTTAAGACTTGGTTTTTGAGATCAAACGATTTTTGTGTGTAGTTTTTGGTTGATATTTTGCCCTTTGGATCTGGATCCTAAGCACTGATCTTAAGATTATTAATTTATCCAACTTTTAGATTGTATTTTGATGAAATATCTTTTGAAGTTGTGATGGATGTTTATCAGCTTGAAACCCCGGAGGTATAAAACATTTATGTTTAATTTTGTGAACCTGCTGAAGAATCAAGTTTATGCAAAAGTGTGATGTGATTTGGTTTGGATTTTTGTGCGTGAATTCAAGAAACTTGTCCATTCCTGAATTGATAGTTCGCCGAATTAAAAATTTAAGAATGCCCAAATTTACGGACACCATTAAAGAGGGTTTTTTGTAAAATGTGTGATGTTCAAAGGGATTGTCTATTTAATTTCAAGTAATCCTTCGTTTAAAGAAGGACATGCCAGACTCGAGAAGTTTCCCTTGAAACCATTATTAGATCATTAATTTGGAAAAAAAATGGCATTTTCTATCTGAAGAAAGTTACTCCTGAAAGATCCGCCATTGTTCCTAAATAGCAAAAATCCGCAAGTTTCTTTTGCATTACTATTGAAAATAATCAATTTTTAAAGTAAAAAACAGGAATATCTCATCTATGATACCGTTGTGTGGCCCTTCTGAAGTTTAAATCGAGGGTCAAAAGAAAACCCTGTTTTTCAGTCGAAAGCTTTGAATGGTTTTGTTCAGGGAGTGATATTGAGTATGGGCGGTCAGCTTCCTAACAACATTGCCATGGATTTATACAGGTGAGTTAGGATTCATTTTTTATCAGGTTTAGAAGAAGTTTTGAAAATATGCTTTTGGTTAAACGAAATCATTAATAATCTGTCTGTCTTAAACATCATAGTTCTAGATTTTTATATTATTTTTTAGTGTGATTTTACAATTTTTAAGGTTTAAATTCTATAAATTTGAATTCAGAATAAAATACTAAATTTAAATTTAATGATTATTTGATTTAGGAGCAATGTGAAGGTTCTAGGAACTTCTCCTGAAAGTATTGATAACGCTGAGAATAGGTTCAAGTTCTCCAGGATGTTGGACAGGTACTAAAGACTAGGTTTAATAGGTTCAAGTTCTTCAGGATTTTGGACAGGCACTAGAGAATAGGTTTAATAGGTTTAAGTTCTTCAGGATGTTGGACAGGCACTAGAGAATAGGTTTAATAGGTTCAAGTTCTCCAGGATGCTGGACAAGTACTAAAGAATAGATCCAAGTTCTCCAGGATGTTGTACAGGTTCTAGAGAATAGGTTTATAGGTTTGAGCTCTCCAGGATGTTTGACAGGTACTATAGAATAGGTTCAAGTTCTCCAGGATGTTGGACAGGTACTGGAGAATAGGTTTAATAGGTTCAAGTTCTCCAGGATGTTGGGCAGGTACTAGAGAATAGGTTTATATGTTAAGATCTTCAGGATGTTGGACAGGTACTAGAGAATATGTTTAAGTTCTCCAGGATGCTGGACAGATACTAGAGAATAGGTTTAATAGGTTAAAGTTCTCCAGGATGTTGGACAGGTACTATAGGATATGTTCAAGTTCTCCAGGATGCTGGACAGATACTAGAGAATAGGTTTATAGGTTCAAGTTCTCCAGGATGTTGGACAGGTACTATAGGATATGTTCAAGTTCTCCAGGATGCTGGACAGATACTAGAGAATAGGTTTATAGGTTCAAGTTATCCAGGATGTTGGACAGGTACTATAGGTTTGGTTTAAGTTCTCCAAGATGTTGGACAGGTACTGGAGAATATGTTTAAAAGGTTCAAGTTCTCCAGGATGTTGGACAGGTACTAGAGAATAGATTTAATAGGTTCAAGTTCTCCAGGCTGTTGGAAAAGTATTAGAGAATAGGTTTTATAGGCTAAGTTCTCCATGATCTTGGATAGGTACAAGAGAATAGGTTTTATAGGTTCAAGTTATCCAGGATGTTGGACAGGTACTATAGGTTAGGTTTAAGTTCTCCAAGATGTTGGACAGGTACAGGAGAATATGTTTAATAGGTTCAAGTTCTCCAGGATGTTGGACAGGTACTAGAGAATAGATTTAATAGGTTCAAGTTCTCCAGGCTGTTGGACAAGTATTAGAGAATAGGTTTTATAGGTTAAGTTGTCCATGATCTTGGATAGGTACAAGAGAATAGGTTTTATAGGTTCAAGTTCTCCAGGATGTTGGACAGGTACTAGAGAAAAGGTTTATAGGGTTGAGCTCTCCAGGATGTTGGACAGGTACTATAGAATAGGTTCAAGTTCTCCAGGATGTTCTACAGGTACTAGAAGATAGGTTTCATAGGTTCAAGTTCTCCAGGATGTTGGACAGGTACTAAAATCCGGGGCGATGGATAGGGTTCTGGTAGTTCTACGGAGATATTAGCAGCTTCATAATAGATAGTTAGATAGATTCAAGTCTCCAGGATGTTGGGACAGTTTTTTACGTATATCTGTAAGGGAGAGACTGCCTAGAAATGGTATTCGAGCTGAGAGTTCAGTATTGTAGAAAATTTTCTTATGAAACCTACGGTGTACAATTGTTCAGCAAGAGCAAAGTTTTATCTTTAAATCCTCTTGGATTTCCATTCTGAAAAATTCCCATGTTGTCTAACCGGTCTCTCTCTTGAAGAAGATTAAGAACTAAGGAGAGGGGGATAGAATATTTTTAAACATTTCTGTTTGTTTAAGTAATAACCACAATATTTTGTGGAATAGTGTTCACCTAAATTGTTTTTAATAAATTCATTTTTTTCTCAATTAAAAAAAAATTATTCAAGCAGTCCTTATATATATCTCAGCAAATTATAAATAAAATTTATCCTCCTGACCTTAGTCATATTTGTGTAAGTTTGTAAGTTGGCCTCAAGAGTAATGACGACATTAGAAGATAAATACTCTCTTATATCTAGGATTGGAATAAAGCAACCCAAGTGGAAGGAGTTGACAAATCTTGAGTCTGCAAAGGAGTTCTGCGATGAGGTTTGTAGAAGCCTAATTTTTTACATGTTATTTTCAACAATTTCTGATTTGATTTGATTTTGCACGTTTAAATTGTTTACATTTGATGATTTTTACAATTTCAAACAAATAATTTAAAATTTCCCAAATAAAAAGTTGCAGGTCTTCAAAGTTTAAACTCAATTTTAAATGGTCAGCTTAATTTTATATTGTAATTTCATCACCAACTCCAAATTCACCAAATAATATATGTACTGCATAGGTTGGATATCCTTGCCTTGTCCGGCCCTCCTATGTCCTTAGCGGTGCTGCCATGAACGTAGCGGACTGTCACCAGGACTTAGAGCGTTACTTGAAGCAGGCCAGTGATGTCAGTAAAGAGCACCCCGTTGTCATCTCCAAGTTTATCCTGGATGCTAAAGAGATTGATGTAGATGCTGTTGCTTGTGATGGAGAGGTTATCTGTATGGCAGTATCAGAGCATGTGGAAAATGCCGGAGTTCATTCAGGTATAAAGTTTAAATTGTGATAGTGCGCAAACATTTTTTTTATTTTGGAATATAGACTAATTGATCTTGTAATTAAAAGGAGACGCAACCCTTGTGACCCCACCAGGAGATGTCAACTCTGAGACGCTAGCCCAGATTAAGCAGATCACCAGCGCTATTGCAAAAGCTCTTGTTGTTTCCGGACCTTTCAACATGCAACTCATTGCAAAGGAGAACAAGCTGAAGGTCATCGAGTGCAATCTTAGGGTGTCAAGATCCTTTCCATTTGTGTCTAAAACTCTGGGGCATGATTTTATTGCAACTGCTACACAAATTATCATTGGTCAGAGAGTAGAACCAATAGATGTTATGTTTGGTGAGGGTAAAGTAGGAGTGAAAGTTCCAGTTTTCTCCTTTTCTCGTCTCTCTGGAGCTGACATAAAGCTTGGAGTTGAAATGTCGTCTACCGGTGAGGTTGCCTGCTTTGGCGAGGACAGGTATGAGGCGTACCTGAAGGCTATGATTGGGACTGGGTTCACAATGCCCAAGAAGACAATTCTACTGTCTGTTGGAAGTTACAAACACAAGGTTGAAATGATGGCTAGTGTTGAAGCCCTTCATGAGATGGGGTATAAACTCTACGGAAGTTCTGGAACTAGTGACTACTATAGAGAACACGGAGTTCCTGTTGAAACAGTTGAATGGCTTTTTGAATCTATTGGCGATGAAACAGACATTGACAAAATGGCAGGTCAAATGGTTAGCATGGCTGACTATCTCTCAAACAAGCACTTTGATCTGGTCATTAATCTACCCATGAGGAATACTGGAGCCAGGAGAGTTTCTTCCTTTGTACCAACCTATGGTTACAAGACCCGTAGGATGGCAGTTGATTATGGTGTTCCACTTATTACTGATGTTAAATGTGCCAAGTTGCTTGTGGAAGCTATTCAAAAGACTAAGGGTAAACTAACCTGCAAGTTTGTAGATTGCATCACTGCAAAAAAGATTGTTCGACTTCCAGGTCTTATTGATACTCATGTACATATGAGAGAGCCTGGAGCAACTCACAAGGAGGACTTCAGCAGTGGAACAGCTGCAGCTTTGGCTGGAGGAGTTACCATGGTCTGTGCAATGCCTAATACAATTCCACCAGTTACAGATGAGACCGTGTTTAACCTCTGCCAGAAACTAGCATCTGAGAAGGCATATTGTGATTATGCTTTGATGGTTGGAGCAACCTCAACCAACTATGCTTGTATTCCTAAACTTGCATCACAGGCATCAGGACTAAAGATGTATCTGAACAGAACATTCACTGATTTAATGATGGAATCAACAACGGACTGGTTGCATCACTTCCAGCACTGGCCACGAAATGCCCCAATCTGTGTTCATGCTGAAGGAAGAACAGTTGCTGCTGTTATCCTAATGGCATCTCTGTTTGACAGACCGCTTCATATCTGCCATGTGAGCAGCAAAGATGAAATTGAAATAGTCAAAGCAGCTAAGATTAAAGGACTTCCAATAACCTGTGAAGTCTGCCCCCACCATCTCTTCCTTACAGAACAGGAAATACATGAACTCGGAGATAACATGAGTGATGTTCGACCTAGAGTTGGTAGGCAGGAGGACCAAGAAGCTCTTTGGGAGAACATGGATTATATTGATAGTATTGTGACGGATCATGCTCCTCATACACTGGAAGAGAAGAAGAGTTCTGTAGATAGTCCAGGATTCTCAGGACTAGAGACCATGCTTCCTCTCATGCTAACAGCTGTGAATGAAGGAAAAATCACCTTACAGGAACTAGAGGAAAAGATGTATCACAGTCCCAGAAGGATTTTTGGACTTCCAGAGCAGCCAGACACGTACATTGAGATAGATATGGACCATGAGTGGACTATTCCCGACAAATTGACTCATAGTAAGGCAGGTTGGACTCCATTTGCTGGAAGAAAGGTAAAAGGTATTGTGCGCCGAGTAATTCTTAGAGGGGAAGTAGCCTTTGTTGACGGGAAAGTTTTAGTTGAACCAGGTTATGGACAGGACGTGAAGACATGGAGCTCGACTAACCAAGTTCAGTTCAAAACCCTGCCAGCTGTGAAAAAGAGCTCGCTGATGGATGCTGAGATTGCACCCAACAGAATTAGAGCAGAAGGCGAAAGACATGAATCTGACATAACCTGTGAGCGCCAAAGAAAGGAGAGTGGGCACCAAGGAATTCGATCGACATCTCCCATCTTTGATGGACTTGAGCATCCTCATTATGAACCCTACAAAAGATATCATGGCTCTCCAACCAAAACTGACCGGCCTGACAAAGCTGAGCCAGAAATGCTCCCCTCAAACTTTCTCATTCCAATTGGCCTTCCAATTCAAGAGAGTAGCCTTAGCCTGGCCGGTAAGCACATCATTAAGGCCGGTATGTTCAAGAAGGAACAGCTTAATGCCATCTTTGACCTGGCCTTCACCTTCCATACCTGCGTTGTTAACGAGAGGCCGATAGATCACATCCTCAAGGGTAAAGTGATGGCGAGTGTGTTTTATGAGGTGAGTACAAGGACAGCATGTAGTTTCTCTGCTGCTATGCAGAGGCTGGGAGGAAAAGTTATCTATTCTGATGAGACCTCGTCCTCCAGCAAGAAAGGAGAGACTATTGAGGACAGTGTCCAGGTAAAAACTAGATAATTTTACTAAAGCTTTTTTAAATGACAATTTTTCAAATGTTAATTTTTCAAATGTTAATTTTTCAAATGTTAATTTGTTTATTTTTAAGGTTCTGTCAAGCTACACTGATGTTGTCATAATGAGACATCCAGCTACAGGTAACAATTATATTGCTATTTTGTTATCTTCTAGTGTTCATTTAACCTGATGGATTCATTTTTCTTAAACATAGAAGTTTTCTTGGTAAACACGTATACAGTATAAGGTGTGAAAGCACTTTGTTCACAAATAATCGGGTGTTCTAAATTGTATGAACACTAGATGTCATAATGATGGTATGATTGTCCAAGAACCTTGGAACATGTGTCTAACATGTGTTAACGATGGTATGTTCAGGAACCGTGGAACGAGTGTCTAACGTGTTTAAACACTAGTTTTCTTAACGATTTTATATTTTATATTTAGGAACTATTGAACTTGTGTCTAACGTGTGTAAACATGGTTCCTTATCAATGATATGTTTAGGAACTGTAGAACTTACATCTAACGTGGGTAAACAAAGAAGTTTCCTTCACAATGTTATGTGTAGGAACTAAAGAACGTGTCTTTAATGTGTGTAAGCACTAGTTTTTTTAACAAATGTGTTTTCAGGAACTGTAGAACGTGTCTCTCACGTGTGTAAGCGTCCTGTGATCAATGCTGGAGATGGAGTAGGGGAACACCCAACCCAGGCTCTACTTGATGTTTACACTATCAGGTGATGATTGTTATATGCAGTTATTCGTAATATACAGGTTTATCTACAAGGTACAAGACTTACATGACTACTTGATGGGACTGTCTAAGCGTCATTTCAAGTGACCCTCCATGCAAAAATGGCAATGCCCGATTTATAACGGTACTCTAGAAACCTTCTTCGGATCAAGTATGAATTAGATATAAATGTTTTTGTTTATTTAAACTGTTTGTTTTCATTTCTTCTTTATTTGCGAAAGAAAGCTTGCGTATTTCTTGATTTTAAGAAGCAATGATGAGATTAAGGTTTCAAGTGTACCGTTGTAAATCGGGCATTGTCATCTCTGCATGTAGGCCATTGTAGGGTCACTTCAAATTACGCTTACAGTCTCTTTAATAAAACAAAACGTTTAAAGATGTAGGAAACCAGGAAAAAGACTGAATGAGGTCCGTACTGTCGTCTGTGAAGTCTCATCCTTGGTGGGTAATAACCAGGAAAAAGACTGAATGAGGTCCGTACTGTAGTCTGTGAAGTCTCATCCCTGGTGGGTAATCCAGTAGACTTTATCAACCTAGCTTTATAAAAAAACTTGTGTTCTATGGAATTTCGTTTCGTTTTGATGTACACCAATCATTTAACGTCTTAAATGCTTCTGACCTATGTTTTAGTTGAATTATATAAACTTTGTTTCTTTTACAGAGAGGAAATCGGAACTGTGAACGGTCTGACGATCACTATGGTCGGAGATCTCAAGCATGGTAGGACTGTTCATTCACTGGCCAAGGTTCTCACCAAGTACAACGTTTCACTCAGGTATAGGATGAGGGACATCTTTAGTTGGGTCCAAGGGGGGGGGTAACATCTTTGTATGAAGTAACTTTTTAAGCAGTTTCATTTCACAAAATAACGCTCCAAGACTTTACTAAATTATTTACTTGAAGGTACGTGTCTCCCGCACACCTGAAAATGCCTGAAGACGTTCAGCAGTTTGTCAAGAGCCAGGGAATTCAACAGGTACAGGGTTCATTATGCTTTCTGTACAGTGTAGGTACAAAGAAACAGTTCACAGTTAACAGTGAACACTGGACGGAATTCAAAGAATAAAACAAATCAATCCACTCTCATTATTTCATCTTTTACGATTATAAATTTTTTTTAGGTTGAGTACACCGATATGGATGAAGCCATAGCAGACGCTGATGTACTGTACATGACAAGGTACAGGATGTTTATATAAAAGTTTGCTTTAATCTCGAAAGAATTTAATTTTAGTTCTTATTTTTTTTTCATCCTAAATAAATAACCAATTTATTTCTGTTTAATTTTAAGGATTCAAAAGGAGAGGTTCGAGTGTACAAAGGATTACGAAGACGCCCTGGGACAATTTGTCCTCACGCCTGCGCACATGACAAAGGCTAAAAAGAAGATGGCCGTTCTTCATCCTTTGCCGCGGTAAATTTTCAAATTTTTATAATTTCTCTTCCGTGGGTAATCTTGTACGATAAAAGAGTTGCTAGCTTGCTAGTTTCAAAAAAAAAATACTGAACGTCGTCGTTTATTTTTAGAAACTTTGAGTTAAGCCCAGAAGTTGACATAGATCCAAGAGCAGCTTACTTCAGGTAAACTTGTTACAGTGATAGCCAGAAAACTGTAGAATGGGAAGACGACATTAAACAATACTGTAGTGGAATTGGTGGGGTTCAAAGCAAAAAGCTTTACTACATTGTTCCTCACAAAAGATGAGACTTCAGAGACGATTGTACGGAATTTGTTTAGTCAGTTTTCTTGAATTCGGGGTTCCTTGTAGGCCAAAACTGTGCTTAATCATTCTATATTGAATGCAAAAACCTAAAATAAAGCTTCAAATCGTCATATGTTTTGAGTTTTGGGTCGTCTTTACAGTCTCATCCTTTGTGGGTAACCCTGTATTAAGTTATTATCTAAGATGGCTTTGTTGTTGTTGCTGTCCCTCATGTACATTATTCCAGAGTTTTCTTGCCATCACTAATTTTTAAAAAATCCTTGTGAAAAGAACCTGTCAAATCATTCGTTGGGATGTTTAGAAAGATGAAAATTTCCCTGTATGATAATTGAAGGACTGTACTGCAGTCCTTCAATTATCATACAGGGAAATTTTCATCTTTCTAAACATCCCAACGAATGATTTGACAGGTTCTTTTTTTAATCTATATTTGTACAGGCAAGCTGAGAACGGAATGTATGTCAGAATGGCCCTGCTTGCCATGGTTCTCGGAAAATGTTGATTCCTGCTGCACTTACTTCGATGAGTGTACAGTATTCAGTGTACAGTTTACAGTGTACACTGTGCGGTTTATAGTGTACACCGTGCACCCAAAATTCGATGAGTGTACAGTATTCAGTGGACAGTTTATAGTGTACACTGTAAACCCAAAATTACTCAAAAAATATTAAGGATTACTGATATCTGAATTTTATAATTAATTCGATTCTCTTAATGCTACATATCTAATATTGCATTTAACTATATAACTTTCCCATCAATATATCTTAATGAATGAATTAATAAAAAATATACAAATTAATTGTTCATCTTTAAAAAATATCATGATCATCATTGTATTCACTTACTTCTATAGTCATATTCTCTATAATAACAGATCTATCCTTTAAATAAATATTTATTGCTTATCAAAATAACCATTGTACAATTATAGTTCGCAATAAATAAACAATAAATAGATATGCTGAATGTAGAGATATTTCAGAAGTTAAGATTTGTCTTGTTTGCTGAAGTTTGTAAATTACCAAATTCGCAAAATTCACATTCACATTCACATTCACATTGGAGTAGAGTTGAGTTTAAATTTGCAATAGAGTTTTTAATTATTTTTATTTCTGCGTTCCTTGAGATTAGTACACAAGGGTGTAATGCAAGGAAAGTTAATTGCGGTCGTGTATACTCTGCGTACATATTGAAACCAGTTCTCTTTGGGCGGAATTTGTAAACAAGAATAGATGCATCAGGAGCGGGGGAAGGCAGGCGGCCTTGAGTCACCACTATTTCCCCTTCCGTACCACCACATTTGACTCTTCCGGGGAAAACTACTTTTTTAATTGGTATATTTAGGGCCTTTAAAGAGTGATTTTAAAAAATCCAGCCGCATCACGCAAAAAAGGATAACTCAAACCTTTTTTATTCTACATAAGATTAATATTTTGTGTGTTGAATTCTTAAACTGTTTTACAATGAAATTTTTGACAAATTTGACTGAGTACTGCATCTTGAAATATCATAAAGTCTAATGAATATTGGTTAATGAGTGATTTTAAGATGGATTTAGTATAATGAGTACTGGTAGATTTGATGTTGATATTTAAAAAATTGGACTCTGTACTAGTAGATTTGATTATCCTAATGGNTGTACTGGTAGATTTGACGTTGATATTTGATAAATTGGACTCTGTACTGGTAGATTTGACGTTGATATTTGATAAATCGAATTCTGTACTGGTTGATTTTAGTGTTTTAAGTGGAAAACTACTTAAATTGTATTCACAATTAAGTGACTAAGTAGAACAAAGACGATATATATATGTCGTCACTTAACTTTTCATTTAAATGAGGACACCCTGTATGCTAGTAATTTAATGTTAAAAATAGACTGAGACCAAATGCCCGTGTAAACGTTACGAATTCTACCGATTGCATTCCTTCTTTCTGATAAACAAATCCTAGTCCCCTTTTTCTATAGAAAACCCATAATTGAAAAAAGAATACAGGGTGTCCCACGAAACATGACAGTTGGTGAATAGTTTTAAATGTCTTCTTCCATTTATTGTATTGGATATTAAAGACCTTTTGCAGTTTATTCCGTTAAATAACTTTTTCCTCGAGCATATTTTACTTTGAAATCAATTTTACTGTAATATGATTGCCATATCATATTTTTTACCATTCTCTTTCGTATGAAACAACTTAACTAATCATGGAAGAAGACACCAACTGTCATGTTTCGTAGGACACCCTGTATCTCCGTAATTTTGTTTCTGAACGAAGGTTTATCTAGTGCTTTCGTTAATCGGACATGGTCCTCTGTTAGTGTATAGGGTCACATGAAATAACATCTCTAAAGGACGCTTTAAGTCAAATACTTGTACCTCATGCCTTTCTGTTTATTAGGCAAGGAATCGGCCTGAAAGCATTGCCCCTGAGTCTACTCCCCGACCCCTCCTAGTCCCTCTATACTGATTTATTTACTACTCTGAGTCTTGAGTCAGTATATCCCAGACCTGCAGACAAACTGCTTATCCGCCTAGATTCTCAGGCAGTGTTTGTATTCTCTCTACACCTGTACAGCATTAACCCATCCTTGGCTTGGCCCAGTCAGTAAATTTATTTTAAGAAAACCCGCGAGTTACGCAGCAGGAAATCGCAAAAAAAGGTGAAAATACGCAAAATTCCGATGGTGTTCCTGGTTTACGCAGTGATTTACGCGGGTTGGTACAGAGTGAAAACGGTCCAGGTGTCTTCAGATACCCCCCCCCCCACACCGGTAATTCATGAGATATACAATACACATGGGAACCAGTAGTATATATATGTATTGTATACTTCTGGAGTTTTAATTTCATATTTTCACATACATGGGATTATAGGATATCATTTCTAAGTGAGAGTGCTTATCAATAATTTTCTATTCGGTTTGTAAAAATAGTGATTATAAATTATCTTCAAATTTATGGATTATCATTAATTGGTTGGTTATTATCATCATTATTATTAATTAACCTAAAGACCCTTGGCGAAGGGGTGTTCATCAAAAACAGTAAATCCCAAAAACTTTTGTATTTTTAGTGTCTAGTGATTTTGTAAAAAAAAATGAAAACACCGGGTAGTTAATATTTTGAACTTTAGCGTAACAATTTACTGGTTGGATGGAATACTAGTTTAGGTGAAAATGTCAAGATAATGTTTACAAGTTTGCAGTAAAGAATAAATGTTTCCTGATGATATCCCGTTCCTATAGGAAAGAGATACGGAAACATATCAAGATGTTATTTTTTACACAATTTTTCTTTCTTGGTGAAAATATTGAATTGAGTAATTGTATTTTTTTCTAGTAAAAACTTGGGCACATAATATTAAGAAAAGAGTATTTGTGCACATGCCAAAAAGAAAGGAATATTTGTGCACATAATATTAAGAAAAGAGTATTTGTGCACATGTGCACATGATATGATTAAAAGAAATCTGCTATACTGCTTGGCATGTCATATTTCTTTATATAAATGTATTTAATATTCCTGCCAGATGTTTGAGTTTTACAGAATAATAATTCAACCTTTCATCACTTCTTGTTTAAGAAAACATGCCCCGTAATTCCCTCATGATTATATATATATATATATATATAACGATGATGTAACCGGGTGAAAGTTTATTTACCTCTTAATGATTTTACAAGTTTTAAGAATGAAAATTAAACATGTTCCAAAACTTTTAAGTTGTCAATTACCCGTCAAAATTATGCGAATGACATATTTTTCATATTTAGGTTCTGTTGGTCTTATAGTAGCTTTTGAGTTATTTTTCACTTTCCCTTAATTTTTATTAATTTAATATTTATCATCTATCATTAAAGTGTTGACATTGTGAATATACGTAGCTCCTTGTAATAATCCTTCCTTTAGCTTTCAGGGAAATTTTTCTATAATTCAATTTAGAAGGTTTTTTAACAGCTCAAAGTTTTCATATGCTCGAGTTTTTCTTGAGCTCCTATACAGACACTTGCATCCTTTTTGATGCAATTTTACCTGTTGTAAAAATAACTTTTGGCTTTAATAACTTAACTGTGTAGGGAAAGAATAAATGTTCAGTAATCTAAATTTATTTATCTCAAATCTCAACATAATACCTTTTCTGAACAAAGATTTCTGATGTATTACATCATTATTCCTTCAGTTAAAATAGAAATATTGAAAAGTTTTTTTGTTTGTTTTACTGCAAATAGCTTCTCAATCGCTGAGCTCGTACGGGAAAGAAAGCATATTTCATGAACAGGCAAAATATCTATCTGAAATAAACTATAAAGTTGAAATACCAATTTTTTAGTCTTGAGTCATTAATTTTAACATTTTCTAAGGTTTTCAGATAAAAAATCCTAGCTATGCGGGCCTGGGACAAAGTGTCGGTTAAATTACAACATTTTAGTCATTCTAAAAAATACTTGCTCTGATGATATTTTTGTCTTTTGTTTTTAATACAAAAATATAATTGTTTGATCTAATATTGAGATTTGTTTTACATGATTCAAGGCAATCCATAATCTGAAAAAAAAACTAATTTCGGGGAAAATCCGGAAGAAGAGGTCGAGAAAGGCTGAAAATGTCTTGAAAAATTTGTGAAGAAAAGTAATTTGCCGAATTCACCTTGAAAATTCAAAAACAGATTTAAAAATAGATAGATAGATAGATAGATAGATATAAATATAGATAGATAGATAGATATATTGAAAGATATACGGGTAGATATGACGTCAGCAAAAAGTGGGCGGGGGGAAAGCAAGAGGAAGTGAACGAAAAAATGCGAAAGATTTTAAAAATATATTTTAAAAGTATCATTTTAAGTTTAAATAAAGCAGAGTCTTTTTTGTTTTTTTTTTGTTTTTAAAGATAGAATTCAAATCTTTACAAAGAATATACATTTTTCATACACCACGAAAAAACTCATGAATATATGTTTTTATGTATATCTGTGTGTGAATACAACTTTAAATATATATTTTTTTAAAAATAAATAGATAATATGGTGATATAATCTTTTCTTAAAGCGCCCTCGTTTTTAGAGCCAGCAAGAAACTATAATTTTTTGTTTTAAATATGATTTTTTTTACATGTTGTCTTATTGCAGGGTTCGATAATTTTTACCCTTTCTACATACAATTTACAGTCTACACTGTACACAAGTTTTTATTGTTTATTTTCAGGTGAATATGTTAATGTTGAGAGAGATTTGAAGGTCTCCTACTCCTACTCATATACGGAGCAAAAACGTTCTTGTAAGCAGAATATGATTTGAGAGGATAAAAATGCAAGCAAAAACTCAGTTGAGCTTGAAATAGAACCTAGTTTCACGCTAAACTAAGCTTGAAATAAAACCTATGGTTTCACGCTAAGCTAAGCTTGAAATAGAACCTAGTCTCACGCTAAACTAAGCTTGAAATAGAACCTAATTTCACGTTAAACTAAGCTTGAAATAGAACCCACGTAGAACCATAGTTTTACGCTAAACTAAACTTGAAATAGAACCTAGTGTCACGGTAAGCTAAGCTTGAGATAGAACCTCACGTAGAACCTACTCTCACGCTGATCTAAACACCATGATAAACGATTCTTGAAGTTATACTTTTACCGAGTGATATGGACAGTTTTGGAAACACCTGAAGATTATTTTGTGCTACAATTCGATTTTTGTAAACCTGTAATTGATAAACATTAGTGTGAAAATAGTTCTCACAAAAGAACGGAACCCTGTGGTACTCCATCAATCTGAACTAGATAAAAGATTCAAACAGTGTCTTCTCAGGACAAAGAGCTTAAACTTTGATAAAAAATAAAAAAACCAAAGGTTCTAAAATGGCATCCTGGGTCCTTAGCCGCAGTGCTCTCTCCCTCCGCACGTATTCTAGCCGCAGTTTCAACCTAGCCTATCCTAACCTAGCACAGAGAATGTCGTTAAAGAAAAACACTGTGGTCGGTGGGGGGGTGGGGGTAGGGGATGTGACTGAAAGTGATGCGTTTAGTTAAATCAAGGATCAAGAAACACTCTTAGAATTCTGACTATAAAAAGATTGAAGACAAAATTTGCCTAAATTCTTTAAATATTTTACAAAATATATTGTTTAATGTTTCGCTTAGATTACGTGAGTGAAGATAATTGTTTCTTAGATTAAAAACAAAATTTAAGTGTTTTTAATTAAAATTTGTCTCCTCTGGCATGTTTTTAATTAGACCTTAGGTAAAATTATAAATTATTTTTCACAGCTTCTAACCTTCGTTTTTAAACCCAGAATAGAGTTGAAATATTAGCCATTGTTTCTCTCTTCTTTGTTCTTTAACGGCCATGGAAATGTCGGGAAAATAGTAAAATAATAGATTCTTCTTTGTTCAGGATCCTGCAGAGATTATTGTGGCCCGGGTCGTCTTTGCTTTACTAATTTCTATTTCATTAGGTAAAATATAGAGGAAACAAAACATGCAGATTTAGCTGTAGACATAATTTCAAGTTATTTCAGTTATCCTCTTTTTATAGAATGGGATGTACGATTTACAACGATACGCTTTAAACCTTGGTCTGATCAAAGATAAATGAGATATGGTTTCTCTTTATTTAAACCTAGGTCTGATCAAGGATAAATGAGATATGGTTTCTCTTTATTTAAACCTTGGACTGATCAAGGATCAATGAATTGTGGTTTCTCTTTATTTGAACCTTGGACTGATCAAGGATAAATGAAATATGGTTTCTCTTTATTTGAACCTTGGACTCGTCAAGGATAAATGAGATGTGGTTTCTCTTTATTTAAACCTTGGACGGATCAAAGATAAATGAGATATGGTTTCTCTTTATTTAAACCTTGGACTGATCAAAGATAAATGAGATATGGTTTCTCTTTATTTAAACCTTGGACTCGTCAAGGATAAATGAGATGTGGTTTCTCTTTATTTAAACCTTGGACGATCAAAGATAAATGAGATATGGTTTCTCTTTATTTAAACCTTGGACTGATCAAAGATAAATGAGATATGGTTTCTCTTTATTTAAACCTTGGTCTGATCAAGGATAAATGAGATATGGTTTCTCTTGGACTGATCAAGGATAAATGAGATATGGTTTCTCTTTATTTAAACCTTGGACTGATCAAAGATAAATGAGATGTGGTTTCTCTTTATTTAAACCTTGGACTGATCAAAGATAAATAAGATATGGATTCTCTGTAAAATAACTGACTCGCGTGCAGAAAGGGAGCGTTCGCAAAATATGAAAGCATGATTTATTTCTATCCGATGTTTGTGTAAAGGGGCGAACATTAGATTTGGTTGCACCAAGGAAATATTGGATACCTAGTTGTCGTTGAATATATTAGTCAATTTTAATTTATGTCAAGGTTTCATACTTTTAAAAACGGCATTGAAACACAAAAACTCAGAAATAAAGAGAAGCTAAAAATGTTTTTCGCCTACCATCGTATCTAATTCATACTTGACCAGACAAAGCTTTTGATGGTACCGTTGTAAATCAGATATATTTGTTATAAATCCTAGATTCTATGAATGTAAAAACTATTTTTATTTCAGTTATAAACCTACTTCTCATAATAGCGATACTTCGGTGTAAGGGAAAGGTACGACAATTTTATTTAAGAAGGGGTAAAGTAGGTCATAATAAAATGGCAGCAAAAATTTTAAAATATATATAATTGAATTATGAATAAAATAATAAATGTTGTCGAATATAGAATGTTTAAAAAGCCTCCAATTCTTAATTAGATATTCAATGTAACCTCATAATTTCGTAAACTAATTCATTTTTATTATTATAATTAAAGAAAAAAAATTAATTTTTATTATTTTTTTTCTTCAATTATATTGAAAAAAAAAATATTTTTTAACATTATAATTGAAGAAAAAAAATTGGAAACATAAAGTTCAATTTTTTGTAAAAACAAGAATTTCCAAGACTGTTTAAGTTATTACGAGTTAACAAAAATTTGGAAACATTTTATTCACTCTGTTTACAATTATATAGGATCAAAATATAATATTCAAACACTAAGACGACATTTAGTAAAATATATGTTGGCTCCATTCATCCATATCCTCTTTGGTCAGTTTTCATTCAATACTTTTGAAACAGAAAACTTGAGCTTGAGGAAGATTAAAGACACGAGACCTGACTTATGTTTAATAACTTTCACTGCCAAAAAAAAAAAAATACTTAATTTTTAAGTTTTCTATTCCTAAACATGCTTTTTAGAGAACTGCAGTTGATATCCATTATTGCAGTTATATGCAGAGCTGAGTATCCAAGTAGTAGTCCAATATATCCACCTAAACATATAGATATCTTTGTACTAGTCCCGAATACCCATTCTAACATGAAGATATCCTAGTAGGAGTCCTATGTATCCACCTAAATNAACACTACCGTGCACTCCTTTATATCCCCCTAAACATATTGATATCCTTGCAGTAGTCCCATATATCCACCTAAACATATATATAACTTAGCAGTAGTCCTATATATCCTCCTAAACATATAGATATCCAAGCAGTAGTCCTATATATCCACCTAAACATATTGATATCCTTGTAGTAGTCCCATATATCCACCTAAACACATAGATATCCTAGTAGAAGTCCAATATATCCACCTAAACATATAGATATCCTAGTAGTAGTCCCATATATCCAATTAAACATATAGATATCCATGTACTTGTCCAATATATCCACCTAAACATATAGATATTCTAGTAGTAGTCCAATATATTCACCTTAAACATATAGATATCCATGTACTAGTCCCATATATCCACATAAACATATTGATATTATTGTACTAGTCCCAAATATCCACCGAAAAATATGGATTATGGATATCCTATGGTAGGAGTCCTATATATCCCCCTAAACATATTGATATCCTTGTACTAGTCCTATATATCCACCTAAACATATAGATATCCTAGTAGAAGTTCCATATATCCAATGGTACAAAAAGAATTTATTGTACGAATATAACGCTAGTTTTCTTTTTATTTTCCTAAACTTTATAAATTCCTTCCAAAAAAGCCGAAGATCGCTTAAACTCTTTTTTTTTGTCTATTCATTTGGCGTAACACAAAATATGTTATATTCTACATTTTGTACTGTTTACAAAAAACTACGTTCTATTGTTGACCTGTTGCAGCAAAGAAGTCAAAAATCCCGAATGCCTCTTGTTGTTCAATGATACGGACTAAATCAATTATTTTTTTCGGAATGGGGGTTTTCTGCAATTTTGAAATGGCTACATATTGATCGTAATTGCATAAACCCAACACATATTAAGGAAAAGGTCGTTAAAGCAAAAAATACGGCAAACAATTAATTTGGATTTTAGAATTATAATTATAATTTTGGTTTTCTAATTCCAATATCTTTAGACCTTAGATATTTCAAATTATGATTAGCTGTCTAAGTTAGAAATATTTTAAAGGTTTACATCATCAAGTTGCAAAGATATAGGGATTAGAAAATTTTGACACAAGTTTGACACAAGCAACAAAAAAACACTGTTAAAAAATTCAACAAGCCTCTTAATTTGGAAAAAAGTATTTCTTAAGAAAATAATTGAATGTTGTTCCTGTAGACTGGAGTTCAAATATTGCACTTCCTCCTGAATAATTCAAAAATCAAACGTTAAATTATTTTTAAACAATTCTTATTCTTATCAAATCATATGATACAGAAAACGATTGCACCCACGCACCTCTGTCCCTATAGTAAAAGTAAATTCAACCTATATGAAGCATAAAGTCTGACCGGGTCAACCTTATTGCATCAGCTAGTCCTGTCCATAGAGCTAGGTACAGTACAAAGTGGGACCGGAAGGTTGACCGGGCTCGGAAATTCAAATGTACCACGGCTGCCCGTGCACCGTACATTAGTCGAAACTTTTTTTTGATAAACGAAATGTAAGTTCAAATAACTGTTCCTGATTTTAGAGTTTCAAAAAAGAGTTAAAATTTGAATTGAATAGTAAATCTAACTTGGTTAAAGTCTGAATAAAAAGTTTACTTTTGTTCTTATAAAAACAATTTATATTTATTGTATTTAGCACTAAAGTCTAAAAAAGTGTAAAAACTCATAAGACGTAAAAACATAAATATAATTACCGGAGAATATTTCATATTTCTTCAAAACCACTAGCGATTTTATCTGTTGACACGGGGGAGGGATTTCTCTGCAATTAAAATAATTATTTACAACATTGTTATTTTGGTTCGCAGTGTTATAGCGTTTTTGGACAGAAATTCTCTCCTTATCGAGAAGGCGAGAAACTTTGAGCTATAGAGAAAGTGAAAGTCCATAAACTTTATAGCACGTCCTGCCAAAATAATTTTATGAAACGGTTGTACCCATAGAGAATAGAATATATAGAGAGGAATTTACTTTCATACCGAGAGATTCTTTTAATTCCTCTCTATATATTCTATTCTCTATGGTTGTCACCTTGTCTTATTTCAATGGCTCTTTTAAATTTTAAATTTTGAAAAAAATCAGAAGTCAAAATATAAAGTTGATTTCAATTTTATTTTCATTTCAATTGAACACAAATATTTTGGAAATATCCTAAATTTTTGGAGAAAATCCGGGAACCAATCAAAACAGCTAATTTAACATTATAGCACGATGATTACTTTATAGCACGATGATTACTTTATAGCACGTTCATTTTGAAATTCACAATGAAGTGAGTAAGAATGATAAAGTACACTATAGTTTCATAAAATCATATAATAGCATCGCAATAGTATTATTTATTCATTAACGTCCAGTAATAAAAAACTTAAAATAATTTGTCTTTGTTTAACTCTATACACAGTACACAGTACACAGTAAGCGGCACACAGGATGAACTTTAATATTTGTATCGATTGGTACAGTTCGTACAGTACGTGCAGTAAACAAAACTTCTATACATAAATTTAGCTTGTCTGTCTGGGTGTTTGTTTGTTTGTTTGTATCCAATAAACGTCAAAACGGCTGAACCGATCGGGCCCAAATTTTTTGTGGGACATCACGTGACCACAGGGAAGGTTTATGAATGATAAAAAAATGTGTTTTAAAGGTTTTCAATTTTGTAAAAAAAATTTAAATTCTTGAAAATCCGTGAATTTGTTTTTTAAAAATCCGCAACATTTTTTTCTTCTTTGTTTTAAAATGTAAACAAAAAAAATATGTTCACAATTTAAATAGAAGATGGGCGCGAAGCGCCCAAAAAGCCTAGTATTACAATATTTTCTTGTCCTCACTGGATCTAGAGCATTAATAATTCCACATGTATGATTAGTCGTTAGAGGAGGGAAATAGTTTTTTCTTTCTTTCAGATATTTGAAACATATTGATGAACACACCAACGAGATTTAAACATACCTTTGCATTTTAAAACGGTTACAATTAAAATTCAATATCTAAAAAGTTTAATATCAACATCAAAATTAAAATGGTTCTGTCAAGTCATGCATCTTCCCCCCCNCCCCCCCCCAATCTTGATCAAAAGTTTTGCCTTCTGATTAATCCTAATAAAAATGACCTGGTCAAAATGCCTGCTTTTATCAGCTCATTTGAGTAGATGACACCAACCTCTCTACAACAACTCTTAATCATTCAGAAGAAGCTACACAAATTTTTAAGTCCTTAAAAACTTAGAATTTGTGTTGGCCTAATATACATGTGCATATTCAAACTAAACGAAAACAAGCTTTTTAAGCTTTATTTTAAAAGAAGCAGATGGCCAAATTCAGATTTACTTCAAGTTACTTTTTATACAGATTACACTAAAGAACAAGATATAGTTTTCATGTTGCTAGGAAACAACTTTGGCATGTACAAATTTAAAACACAAATAATTTGCGGCGTAACAAGTTTTAAAAACATTTTGCCAAAAACCTGAGCAAACTTTAAGTTGCTTCATTTATGAACTTTCTGTCCACCATATTAAGAATTGTGTGTTTTCCTTGTCCTGTTCCGGGTTTCGCATATCCTCTCCTCCGGGTTCCGGGGAATATACGGAACCAAACATCCAACCTTCTAATTTTAATTCACTGATCAAAATATATTTTCATTTAATTTTTTTGTTTTTTTTCTTTTACCTTCATCATTTTTTCCTTCACATTTTTATAAATCGCCTGGTCATAGTTTCCTACAGTACAAGGTGAGAGTTTTCTATCTCGAAGCTGAACAATTTGGAGTAATTAGTAAATTTCGTTCAAGAAATTGTTATGTTTGGGTTAAAGGGACTGTACAAGAAATTAATATGTTTGGGTTAAAGGGACTGTACAAGAAATTAATATGTTTGGGTTAAAGGGACTGTACAAGAAATTAATATGTTTGGGTTAAAGGGACTGTACAAGAAATTAATATGTTTGGGTTAAAGGGACTGTACAAGAAATTAATATGTTTGGGTTAAAGAGACTGTACAAGAAATTATTATGTTTGGATTAAAGGGACTGTACTACAAATTGTTATGTTTGGGTTACAGGGACTTTACAAGTAACTGTTATGTACACTCCAGTTGTGTTTAGTTTACTTTACACTGTACAGTAAACACTACCGTACACTCCAGTTGTGTTTAGTTTACTTTACACTGTACAGTGAACACTACCGTACACTCCAGTTGTGTTTAGTTTACTTTACATTGTACAGTGAACACACTTTACACTCCAGTTGTGTTTAGTTTACTTTACACTTTACAGTGAACACTACCGTACACTCCAGTTTGTTCATAATTTTTAGCACACAAATACTGATCCGACAAGATTTCCAAGGGTACCGTTGTATATCGGATATACCATATATATAAATGGAGGTTAATTAAAAATCTAGTCTCTGCTCTCTAGTCCCTTTAAAATGTTCGATAACAAATTCAAACTCAAGGATTATTGTTTAACAAATTAATTGACATAATTCTAGTGCATCAAATTGATTTTTGATGATTGACGAAAAAACAAGTGAAAAGCTGCAAAATGTGAAACATTTTTTAAAAGGACTGAAGAGGAATTTTTACTTTGTCTTTGTGCCGAGGTTTTTACCTTTATTATTTCAATTGAAGCGGTGAACGTATTTTCGTAATCTTTGAACACGTCAACTTTTGAAGATAATTCAGGATCACTGTACTTACAAAGAAAAAACTAATTTTTCATATCTATAATATAAAACAAGACATTCGTATATATATATATATGTTCCCTATAGCCGGCCAAACGGCTGGACCGATTGGGCTAAAATTTTTGTGGACACTCATGGATGGCCGGGGGGGGGGGGGGCTAAAAAAGGATTTTTTTGTTCAAAATATTTTTTTTTTATTTTCTAAATATTTAAATGTTTAGCTAGCTGGTATTCAAATAAATAAAAACTGGCCATTGGACTTGAATTTTAAAATTGTGAAGGTTACAAAGTACCAGTAACAAAAATGCACTGTACACTATTTTGAGACTTGGAATACATGTGAAATTGCGTAGAATTCCTAAATTGATGAAGTTAAAAAGAAAATAATTTAAATTCTCTTTTATATAAATATTTTCTTAATGATTCCTTGTTTGTCCCCGCTCATGAACAAGAACATACATAGAGCCGGTCACTCCGATCTGGAATTCAAAATCTTAAAATCGTTTTTTATTTACGCAGAATTCATTCGTTGCAATTTTAATATCTCGTGTGTTTATAAAAAAAGTAAAGGATTCAATAAAAAACAAGAAGTAGTTCTTCTATATGTAATAACTACATCTTGTTTGTATTCATTAATATCAACCTCAGGAGTCGTACTATTATATGCAAAATGTTTTCTTTCGTAAATGTCAAAGCTTTCCCCTGAGTTGGAAATTTATGAATGGATAGAGTTTAAACTAAACGGCTGGTTGAACTACCCATTTTTTCAAAAATGTTCATCTCCGAACGGCTATGATAAGATCATCATGATATTTGTTTATTGACATGAAATTACAGTTATTCTGTTTCTTAGGAAATACTTCATTGAGCTTTTAAATAAATAAATCAAATATTAGTTAAAAAATAATTATTTGATTTAAACTTACCAATCCAAGACGTTTAATTCCGTTGTCTAAATAAATAAAAAATAGTATAAAGGAGGGGAAAAATCAACTATATATTGAAATGTATGGCTTAAATGCGTTTTTCTAAAAAAAATTTACTAACACCAACACATCTAATAGAACATTGTTATAATACAATAAATACTATCCCTAGTTTTCTGTTAGCGAGGTCTAGTGTATAACATCTTCCTAAAAAATTAATTTTCATTATTTGATCATCATCTAAAAACAGGTGCTTTTCTGTATTTGATTTTATAGCATAAGTATTTTAACCTGAATATTCATTTGGATTTACAGATGTCCAAAAAGAACTCCAGTTTCCCATACTTGGCCTTAAAACATAATTTTTAAACAGCGTTTTTTTAAAATAAAAATATGAATTTAATAAAATAAAAAGAGACCTAGTTGAAATTGTGTTTCCGTATACATCTTCAAACCTAAGGCAAAAGAAAAAGAAAAATTAAGCTTTGAATAAACATGTCTTTTTGTGTCTTATATGGAGGGACTAATTTTAGATTAATTTCTCCATTTAAAGAGCGCCATTTTACTGAAGTAAAAGTCTAAAAGTCACTTCAATAAAGAAACAATATTTAAAAATAATCCATTTTCCCACGGAAAGAAGATTTTTTTATTAATCTTTCATCCTACAAAGAATTGAATAGGACATAACACTCTATTAAGAGAGGGTCTTGAATCGCTTTTAAAAAGCAAAACTAAACAACTAACCTCATACTCAGTACCCCAACTTTCTCTCAAACATATTAATTTTAAGGTATACAAAAAGTTTTACAAAACTTAACTATTATTAATTTAAAAATTATAAAAGACTTACCAGAATGCTTGGACGATATCTTCTAGTTTCCAAACAGCTGCTTCATAAATAGTTTCAGCTGTAGCATTTAAATCAGGTCTTTGAGTGTTATCACCCTTAACCAACAAGTATGGATTGGTGAAAATGATGTTTAGGGGAAAAATATTAATTTTTTTGTAAATAGTATCAAAAAGTATTAAAAAATTTCCTTTTTGATGTCCNCCCCCCCACCCGATATCCAAAATGATTTCCTCTATTCATGCATTTTGAACATCCCTGGTGTGAGAGAGGGGGGACATCTACGTAATGTCACCTTATATTGTTCATATGTTAGCCCATAGTTGATGAGAACTGTTTCATTGTACTCCTGGGGACGATTTTAATGAATTTGTGCTATGTCACTCAACTCCCCACTGCCGGTTCAAATTTGAACCACCGATTCAAAGTTTAAGATTCAGGAAGGATTTAAATCGGTTATTCAAATTTGAGGCGGTGGAAGGCAGTTGAAATTCATTATTTTCGGTCCCTGGGGTTTTCCAATCTTATTCAATATATTGGAGCAGACGGTGAAAACTGGTTCAGTCTCTTTACTGAAATACAGAAGCATGTTTTTAGATCAAATTAACTAAAAAAGTTATTAAACACCGCCCCATCAAACTACTGTAAATTGAACCTGAGATTCAAATCACAACTCATCTTATTGAAGAGCTAAGAAGAAGAAAAAAGATGTTTTGAATTTCTAATATATATATATAACTGGTTAAAAACATAAAATCCAATCTAGAGGAGGTACGAGAACAGAAAGTCGTAGCAGTATTGTCCTATAAATATTACCATTTGTCTAGTTTACATTGAGAACGAGACTTTATAAAATACTGTATTTATAATTATAACTTTGATAGGAAATTACAATTAACAGTGTTTACAGGGACTAACTTTTTGAATAACAACAAGTAGTTGAACTTTGTGGACTAAGTTCAACCACAAAAGGAATTGAGTCTATCCAACAAACTCTGATTTTCTATGAAATCTACTTGATCAAATAATATAAGTTTGAAATATCAAAGTTTTACTCCATAAGATGCAAAGATTAGAAGATTTGAGTTTGTGGCAAAGACTCAATTCCTTTTATTATTTTATTTACCATTATATTCACCTGAATTTAGCAATGTATATATTAGTATTGGCAGGTTCAGACATGTAGGTTTCCACGCAATAGATTATCTAGATATAATCTTTAATACAATTAAAGAGACTTTGGCCGTACTTTTAAGTGAGCCTCTATACAAAAGAGGAGTATGCCCGATCTACAAGGGTACCCTTGAACCCTTCATCAATAATTTGGAATATAATGTTTTTTTTCAACTCTAATAATTTTTCCAATGTTTCTTAAGCAAGAAATGCGCAAGTCACTAAGGACTTAAGTCTTTGCCACAATTCAATTTTTCTAATCTCTATATCTTTGCAACCTGATGGTGTACACTATTGATATTTCAAACTTTGATTATTTGATCTCATAGAATTCATAGTTTGAAATAACTAAGGTCTAAGACACTGTGTTGCAAAGATATAGGTTTTAGAACATCAGAGTTTGTGGCAAAGACTTAATTCCTTTGTAGAAAAACCCAAAATAAAAATATGGATATCTTATTCATGGTTGATTTTTAAAGTGTATTCGACTTTAAAAATGATTTTCATTATGATTAGAAAAACAGGTTGGATGTCAACGCTTTTAATTCGAAAAAATCCTCCCCCCCCCCCTGGCCCTCACAACATAACCAGCTACACCTCTACATGTAAGAGGGAAGAAAACATCAGTTTGTTAAGATATTTTAAAAATGCAAAAATTAGAATAAAGTATACAAAAATAAGAATATACTATTCAAAACTTAGAATATTTTAAACAAAAATTAGAATATATTATACAAAAATTAGAATATATTATACAAAAATTAGAATATATTATACAAAAATTAGAATATTTTAAACAAAAATTAGAATATATTATACAAAAATAACTTTAAATGTATAAGTTTTTTAATTCAAATACGTAAGGGAAAAAATGTTTAACGTTTTACGTTAAACTATTTTTTTTAATTAAAAAAAACTTCATTACCTAAATTGCAAAAAGTCCCTGAAATACCGGATTATGAAAGGGGTATACAACCTGTTTTATGAGAAGAACAAGGCAGAGGATGAACCAGGCCAGCTTTACGATCTTTTTTATCATTGAACACGCTGTTACACCTTTAATCTTCCTTACAGTCTTCATCTTATTCATCTTCAAAAAGAAACCCTTGCTTATAGATTAAGTTGCGTATTTAGGCAATGAGAAAAGCTCAACTTTTCATTTTGAAATTTCATAAAAACTGGCTTCAAAAGTTGATGTTCATAAAAGTTCTGAAAAATAGTGTAAAAAAAAACTTGATCATATTTTGAAAAAATATTTGTGACTAATAAGTAAAAACCCTATTTAAAAATAAAACGTGTTTTTTTATTTTAAAAGTTTGAAAATTACAGATATTTGATGTTTTAGTGCAAACAACCTGAAACTTGAATTATCTATCGTTGAATTTTTCATGTTTCTAACATAATAAATTTTTAAAAAGGCAATGTCCATTGTGCAATGAGCATGAAAACTTCGCGAAACATTTTTTTTTACTTTTTTTACTTTTTACATAATTTTTCCGAAAGATTCAAAGATTTTTTTTTAGTTAAATAAATAAATAAAATTTTATGAAAAAGGTGATGAGCCCCGGACAGTCATGGTTGAATACTGTTGTTTGTAATTTGTTAAATTGACAAGAAAATTGTTCAACAATGGAGGACACTGCACACATGATTATAGGTTTATTGAAAAAGTTCCGAATTTGAACGCATTAAATGGTTAAAGTCTCTCTGTAATATTCTTATACATATAAAAGTACGTAAAGAACGTATTAACTACCTTCACGTTGTGTAAAATTATGCTTTTTAACCCTGCATTTAAATAATTAAAGCTAGAAACCTTCCAGAGGTTTTCCATAACAGAAGAGACCTCATGTCTCCAAAGCCCTTCTCCCTCTGTATAAAGCCATGGGACTCTTTTATATATTTCAAAAACTTAAAGGGACTGTAAGCGTAAATTCAAGTGAACCTCCATGGAAATATTGCAATGCTCGATTCACAACGGTACCCTAAACACCTTATCTGATCAATAATGTAAAAGACATATTCGTTATTCTAGGTTTAAAAGTGTGTAATTTTGCGATAATTCCAGTAAGTTTTCCTGCAGTAGAAAAGTCAGTTTTGTAGAGAACTTTTATTTCAAAATAATAAGTTTTCGAAATTATTAACGTTGATATATAATTTATACGTGATTAGACAAAGCTTATTGTTATAAATCAGGCATTGCCATCTTTGCATGGAGGGTCACTTTAAACTACGCTTACAGCAATAAAAAGAAGAACTTTTAAATTTCTATTTTTTTATTTTAGGTAGGAGTTATTTACCTCCTCTCCTCCTGCATGATTCTTCCAGATCTTATTTTCTATATCAAAGTCATAGGGAGCAAAAAACATTATCACTAAATTGGAAGAAAAAATTATTTTCGAGGCAGATTAAAAACAAGAATAGGATTAGTTTTCTGCTTATGCTTATAATATGATTTTAAATAGTGCAATAAACATGAAACACAGCTATTATGCAGTGTACAGTTTACACAGACCAATTTCATTTACTTGAAATTTTACTGAAATCTTGCTTACAATTACACATTTTTATGGACCCCACAATACATATGTTTAATAGGCTTTCTGAACTTTTTTTAGGCGATACGACATCTGCTCTAATTCCATTTGCTTTACTTTTCAATTTGAATTTAAATTGCATAATTAAATCATGTTTTGCATAAAGTTGAGTTAACTGACTGGGGGAATCATGTTCCTAACTGGGCCACCAATGACAAGGTAAAAAAAAATAATAAAATTTTTAAAAATTTTATTTTCAAATAAGTATTTTTTAGTGTACTTTAATATCTAAGTTCAACCCCATGAGAGATAAGAAAAAGTATTTGAACTGCGTTGACATAGTTAAACCACTTCACTTGTGCACCGGTTCAAGTTGGGGAGAGGTGTTTCAACTAACTCTGCAAAGTTCCAACTATAACATCTCGTCTTCTGATATAAGACTTCTCTGAACTTTAAAAAAATTGAAAACTTATTTTTTACTTTTTACATTTTTTAAATTATAATTTACACTGTAATAAAAATATTTAATCTTTAATTTGTTAGTGGTGTGGAATTTGGCAGTTTGCTGGTCACGTGTACCCCCTGATGTACTCCTTTATGCTTACCTCCATCGTCTACCACGCCTTCATCATCCTCTTCCTTGATCAGTCCGGCAAATATGAGATCAGGTCAGGACAAACATAAATATAATGATATGCAATTAAAGATTAATTTCAAGACCAATCAGAAATCTAGAAAGGAATTCGACATTTGCCGGAAACTCTAATTTGCTGTGAAACTTTAATTTTCTAGTTATAATACCATTACGTTGCAAAGATACAGAAAATGTTGAGTTATTCAGTTTCTTTCTAGATTTTTCTTTAAAAATTATTTTATCTGAAAAACTATTGGTTTGAGGAATTTAAAATTTAATGAATAAATTCTATGTGAATTAGAAATATTGACTTGGATCATTATTGTTGATTTTCTCTCATGCCGCGTAAAACTTTGAATTTTGTTTAGGTCATGTCGTCTTCTTCCTCTGATCATCTTTGGCATGATTTTCTTTATTTCTGTTATCAGTGCTCCTTCAGGTTTCTATGCTAGGTAATATTCGAGTCGAAGATATTTTTTAGTGGATGAACTCAATTGTAAATCTGTTAGTTTTTTAATTAATTGTGAAGGCTTTCAGTTCTATCCGATAATCAACATTTAATAAGCATGTTCAGGTTCTTGTAATTTTTCGATTTAACTTTCGTCATTATACAATATTCAATACAATAATGCATATCATAATGCATCATTATTTTTTTCTTTTAGACTTTAAATTAACTTTTTTTAGGAGTTTGTTATCTGAGAATTTAGGAATGGCGCCTTTTACTCGACAATACTGCCATCTTGTGGTTCCTTCAATAACAGGCTCGATATCCCAGGAGGTTCAAGAACAATCATATGTAACATACAGGTAATATTTAGGCACCAGGTGTGAAAGACACAGTTGATCAGTTCGTTGTTAATTTGTGGACGTAATTTCAAGTGAACTTACAGCTGGTGTTTCACCAAACATGACAGTAGGTAAATAGTTTTGAATGTCGTTGTCCATACACTGTATTAGATATTAAAGGCTGTTTTCAATTTATTTCGTTTAAAAAATCTTTTGTTAATTTTACTATAATATGACTCCTATATAATATTTCTATTATTGTCTTTGGTACAACTTAAAAAATTATGGAAGAAGACATTCTAAACTATCTACCAACTGTGATGTTTCGTGAGACACCCTGTTTATTATAAATTTAAAATGGTCCCCTTGAAACCTAATTATCTGAGAAACATTCCGCTCGTCACTGTAATTAAGGAACTATTTAATGCTCAATCAGTCTGTCAGACAAATGTGTAATGGGTACCGTTGTGAATCGGCATGGTACTCTATAAGTGGCCAGGTAAAGTTAGAAAGGTTTAATCTAGGGAAATCTTTAAATCTTTAATCTGTAAAGCGTATTCCTTGTTTCTTATGTCCTGCTTCGCGTGGATTTAACGGTTCTGTCAATAATCCAGAAAACTGTAACTTTCGATCACAATTTGTCCTAATAAACATCATTTTTTACTTTTTAGCCTTTTTTTAAAGTACTTTTTTGTCGGCATATACATTTTGAATAAAAAGTATTAAACAAACAAATTCGTAAGTTTAAAGATTGTTTAATTATAAACCAAAACGCGTATGATTTCAAATAGAAGAAAGCGAATGCGAACTCTGGTTAGTCCGATGTGGCTTGTAAAGATAATAACCTTGTTTTCAGATTGGTTTATGAATTAATACTTCCCTATCTTCTACCTCTTGCTCTATTTTTCTTCCCATACGTCTGTCTTCTAGGTAAGAATTGATATTAGTTAATATTGGTCTAAAGTCGTCGTCCTATATATAAATATTACTTTTGGTTTTTACATTTTGATTTCTACCAAGCTTTCAAACAGCATTGATACACATTATACACATAAACATGGAAACAAAGAGAAGCTGTCAAATAATATAGGAATCAACAGACGACATCAAAGTTGTCTTTGTATCAATTACGCAGTTGTTATAATGACAATTTCGGTTATATTATTTAATAAATTTAAACTAGGGTACAAAAGTGACAAACCCCATTCGGAAATCCCAAAATTTTGGTTACATGTTTATCAAAGTTTTAAGTAAACTGGTAGGAAATTATATCAATACAATGAAGACGATTATTTTATTTATGTTTTGATTTTTTCGAATTACAAGTTTACAAGTATACAATCGACAGCTTCTCTTGACTTCTTTGTTTATGTGTATCAAATATCCATGCTGTTTAACAAATATGAAATCAAATATATCAAAATTATAATCAAAAGGCGTCTTCATTGTATTGATATAATCGCCTATACCACTGTAATATAACACTAATATTGCAAAATTTACAAATGAATTTCTCGAAGATCGAAGACGATTTAGATGTCGTTACTTCAGGGACACCCACGTATTTAAAAAGTATATTTTTCCAAGTTTAATTCTGGTTTCTATTTAGTTGGTTTAATGAAATCCTTAGCTGCCACAGATCATTCAGAACATTCAACAAAAATGACAGGTTTATTTTTATGTCGTCTTTGTAATTTAGTTTTTATGTGGATCGTATTTTTATCTGGGTCACCAACAAAGAATGAAACTTAAATATTGACATTTTTACTACAACGTTGAAGGTTGAATTTATATAACGATATATATGTAAATGATAAACAGTGAGTTTAATCAAGTTTATCCAAAGGTCGTCTTACAAATTTTGTACTTTCATACATGGCCGGCACAAACAAAGAATATGAGCCTTCAGAAACATAAATTTCCCAGTCTATTTTTAATTCTTTAATTCCTCGCAAGTCACAACTGTATTAAGTATTTATTTTTATTGCGAAATCATTAAGTATTATTGCAATAAAAGACCATATTAGATAAAGAACTCCAAATTTCATATTCACGTCGCCGTTATACAGTTAAACCCTAAATAAGCCACACATCGAAAAAATTCATCAAATGTCGTATTCTTCACTTTCTGATAATGGAATGTTGCAGATATTTAGTTTTTTAATTAAATTAATATTAATATTCATGGCGTTTTATTTATTTTCGCAAATACTGACATTTACGTAAAATAGTATAAAAATCATTGAAAAATGGTCTAGACGACTTTTGTCTTTACTTTCGATGTAAGCTCATTTAGGGTTTAACTGTAACTATATTTTTTTATAGGTTTATCCTTTGTGGTTAAACCTGTACATAAACTGAAAATTTTTTTTAATTGGCTTATAATAATGTAATTATATTTAATATAAGATTATATTATATATTAATGTAATTATATGCAATTATATACAATGTAATTATATGCAATGTAATTATATATAATGTAATTATGCACATTTATTTTTCAAATCTTACATAATTTTAGTTTTCTTATTTTTTAATATTTTTTTTAGTCGTTGTATCATTATGGTTGGTTACATCCTACATGATTATGCACGTTGCAACAGTACTAAGGTTTGTAAATATAAATATTGTTGAATGAAGACGACTTTCTATTTGAATATAGATTTCTAGACAGATTTTATTCACATGTAAACTAATCATTATTCGATTTAATTTGATAAAACTCTAACAGTTTAATTACAAAAACTATTTTCACTTAATTGGCAGCTTTTCAATTTTTCAAACCAAGCGAAGAATAACCTCTTGGTTTCTAATGAGTTACCCATGAAATAAAATTTGAGGCAAATCGGTCAAGGAGATACTGACTTATGATCGAAAAAAAACTAATATACAAATACTAAGTAGAGACTACTACTTTATATTGATATCATATTTTATTTCTCCCGAACAGTCCCTTTAAATTTTGTATATTTAGCAACGTGTTTTCTGTATTCACTGTATGGAGTAAATTAACAAGTTTTCTCGACGCACAAGAAGATCCAAGGTAAAAAAAAATGATTTATAAAAAATTTAAAAAATATTTTTTTCATAATTTCTATTTTCAGGGTTCCAATCTTCCAAACATATCTTCATATTACTGCATACAGTCTCACCATGCTGTGGGCTATAGCCCGCCCCTCCCTGATATTTAGATATAGCCCCGCACTTCGTCAAGCTTTGGAGCCCTAGCTCGGCCCTCTCTTATATTTAGATACAGCCCGCCCTTTGCCAAGCTTTGGAGCCATAGCTCGGCCCTCTCTTATATTTAGATATAGCCCCGCACTTCGTCAAGCTTTGGAGCCCTAGCTCGGCCCTCTCTTATATTTAGATATAGCCCGCCCTTTGCCAAGCTTTGGAGCCATAGCTCGGCCCTCTCTTATATTTAGATATAGCCCCGCACTTCGTCAAGCTTTGGAGCCATAGCTCGGCCCTCTCTTATATTAAAATATAGCCACGCCCTTTGCCAAGCTTTGGAGCCCTAGCTCGGCCCTCTCTTATATTTAGATATAGCCCCGCACTTCGTCAAGCTTTGGAGCCATAGCTCCGCCCTTCGTCAAGCTTAAGAGCCGTAGCTCTTTGAAGCCAAAGTCGGCCCTCTTTTATATTTAGATATTATAGCCCCTTTCTCGCCAAGCTTGGGACCCGTAGCTCCTGCCCATCCATCATATTTAAATATATCCCCGCGCTTCGTCAATCTTTAGAGCTGTAGCCTCTCACTCACCCATTTCTTTTCCCTTGAGGTAGATGCTTCCAACCTTTCCTCAAAGGAAGCCCAGCTCTCCAGAAGATTTATAAAAACTGTCCTTTCACCCTCGTATTCTTACAATTTTAACACTGCCTACTGCCTAGTAATAATAATAGAAAAAATGTTTCAACAAAGTATAATACTAGTTAGTAGTATAGCCATGGACTCTATTTTTTACCAGTTGGGCCACCCCTTAACAGTAAAACAAACCATTTTTTCATGATAATAGTTAAAATAGACTTTTGAGATAAAATCAATTAATATATTTTGACGCATTAGATACTTAAGTAAAATTATTTTTTTTTCAATTTTTTTTGTTCAGATTTTTTATTTTAAAAATTCTATCCTAGATTTGAATGCTAATGTATTTATTTTTTATTTTCGACAGTAAATTATATTGTATTAGTTATTTAATTTATTGTAATGTCTTACTAATAACATTTATGTATCTATCTATTTATTTACGAAAAATAAAGATATAAAAAATATGTTTTTTGTTGTTAAAGAACGTTTACTTAAAACCACAACATCCAATTGATCCAATTATTAAGATCTATAACGTATTTGAGATTCATAAATTATTAATATATATCACATAAATTTCACTAGAAGGGGATCATTCATTTGGCGTACCGTCCCGTTTAGTCTTATATAGTCTGTATTTGTACTGTACTGCTTGCCCTGGCTAGTTGAAATTCAGCCCGGTACATGAAATGAACTGGAATGTACCTTGATGCAAACGAACAACGTTGTAATTCCTCCTTATTCTTCCCACAGACTACACCGACTGCTTATCTCCTTTCACAGGATGGGCTACGTCTAGGCCTATGTTGACCCGGCACGACATGCTACATTTTTACGATAGGTTTTTAGAGTGCCATCTCACGGCCACTTGTTGAACATTATACCCACTCAGGGGTTAAGTTTTACAACTTTTAAAGAAATATTCCAATTTTAAACATAACATTTGTTAATTCAGTCTATTTGTCTTGCGTATCCAAAGGATCCTTTAATAACCCTGAATACAGCTGTTTGCTGATTGGTCGTGTACAGTACTTGTACACAGTAGAACATGCATCTGTGGGAAATATTGCATATCATAGGTTTCCATCGATCTCTGTAACTCTCTTATCTCTAATTCATCCCTTCTAGGATATTTTCAATTTTTACAATAATTTTTTCCCTCTCTAATTAAAGCGTAGGTATAAATCTAACGTCAGTAATATCCGTAGGGTTGAGGATGTTCTCCGTATTTTCTATAAAACCCTGATTTCGTCCCAGGAATCTGAAAAGTTTATCTTCTTCCAGATGTTTAGCTCCATACATGGATACACTGCTCTTGTTTACAGATTCCTTAACGTACTGCACTTGCTGCAGTACAGAACTGGTTTCAGTGTTGAGAACTCTGTTGCTTGTAAACAAACTGAAATAAATGTGAATTTTTAAAATATACATTTTTAAAAATAATTTTTTAAATTTTCATAATCAAAACTTGCATAATGAAAGAAGATGAATTGATGCACTGCTAGTTTAAGATGTTGATTGATTGACTAATTAACTATTTGATTGATTGATTACCTGACACTAAAAGCATCTCCTAGGAAGCTGCCAAGCTGCTGATCAAAGCAGCATCCAAAACTAGACCCAGTAGCATTGGACGCAGTAATTCCTGAGTATTAAAATTATACTGTTATTTACATAAAACTTTCTGTAATTGTATGAGTACAATTTACAAGTACATTTTATACTGTACTTTCGCAGTACAATCGATCTATATACAGTCAGCTGTACCTGTACGCATGCTGTACACAAGTTTGGAATTACATTTACAATATGTTGGTATAAGCACCTTCTCAATACCAACATTCAAATCTTTCTAGTTCGATTATAAGCGAGATTTTATCCTCTTAACCAAATACAGATAACCAGAAAAACTTTGACTAGGAAGACGACTTTTAGACTCAAGTTATGACTTGAACATAAGACACAGCTCTTGTCCAGTATGGTGTGTTGATAAGTGAATAGAAGTATATGTTACCATGTATACTAGTTAAACTATTTCTATGTAACACCATAAATACACTTAATTATTTATAAATGTCGTTTTTCTATTCCACAGTTTTCTGGTTCTGACTGTAGGAAAGCGTTACTTTTTTGTATTTTAACTGTTTTTTTTGCTTGTCTCTAAAATTGAAAAAATGCATATGAGTGCAAAAATGGCACGACACTGTAAACTCCGGTCCATGCCGACAGTGCAAGCTGTACAGTACAGACTATATAAGGGCAAAACGGGACAGTACGGCAAATGAATTAACCCCGTATATAGTGACGTATTACCTAATATTCCGTGCCTGTAAAAGAAATCTTCCTCTCCTTCAAACATAGAACCAGAGTTACAGGCCTGGAAAATTACAAGAAATAATTTTAGCTTTAAAGATTTAAAATTGCAGATAACAGGGGGGGGGCGGCAGGACCTTCGCACCCCCTGACGGATTCAGGAGGGCGTAGCCCCCCTCTGAGATTTTAGAATAGCTCCTCAATAGCACTTAAGGGAAAGAAAACCTAGTGCAAAACAGGAAAAATATCTATCTTTAAAAAAAAATTAAAATCCTGTATGCCCCTAGCTGGTAGATAACCATGGAAAAATTGGTTTCAGTCATTTCACTGATAATAAGTAGTTTTTTTCGACAGAATTTTTGGGGTGGACATTTTTTAATTTAAGGATCTGATTAGACATGCTTTTTAGCCATTGCCAGACTGTTTAGAATATACATATATGGCCAAAGAAAATGGTTTTAACTCATTTAAAATTAGTTTCGTCATTTCAAAAGTTCCAAAATTTGTTAAATTTCACTTTTCACTGTTGAAACATTATTTTTATGGATTTATATTTAGTTCGTTTTATTTTATGGTCTATAATATTTCTAGGGAGCAAATATCTGTCATTTATTAATCAACATTTTGTTGACTTTAAAATGAAATAAAAGAGATCTAACGGTATTTCTAATCTTTATTTATTAAAACAAAAGGGTTATGAAATATTTTCCCAAGTGGGGCTTAAATTGATTGGTTTAGAAATTAATAAAGAAACTATAGACGAATATCAGTTAGAAGGTGTTTGTAGAACTTCATGATGGTGATGCAGATCATCAATCTTTTGTGTATTCAGTGTACACACACATCCAGGGAATTAACATCGGCATTTGAGTCGGAACAATCGTCTTCCTTATATTTCGAATTTGTTTTAACACATTTATTAGGAACAAAGGAATCGAGTCTTTTCCACAAACTCTTCTTTTCTAAACCGTATATCCTTGGATTCCAATGTCGTAACCTTAGATATTTCATACTATAAATTCTGTTAGATCAAATGATATAAGTTTGAAATATCAAAGTGTACGACATTGGGTTCCAAAGACATAGGGATTATAAACTCAGAGTTTGTGGCAAAGACTTAATTCCTTTGACAAATTTACCCCTCTACCTCAATATAAATAAGCATTCTCTGGAACCTCCCCATAATCTTCATTTTCTTCAAAATATCTCTAAACAGAAAGAAAATATTTGTATTCAGTAGAAAACCGCAAAATCAATTCTATTTGGCGGGGTTTTTTAACCTGAATTTGACAGCTGATAAATATTCTGAATCTGGGAAATTAAGAAACCCCGGTCCCCCATGACCAGCAAAATATATCTATAAATTAAAAAATTATTTTCTTCTCCTCTTCCTTCTCCTTCCCCAAGAAGAACCTTCTCCAATATTTGAACTCTGATCATATCTCCAGTAAAGTCTTTCTTTACTCCACTATTTATGTACAATGATAATAATAATAATAATAATAATAATAATAAAGACTAATAATATATAATACAGTGAGACCTATATAATTACTGAGGCATTATATATCATATATGTTGCATTGTAATTTGTTTCATGTTTATTGGACTATCTCAAATAATAACTTGAATTCAATATTCGTTTTCCTAGTTTACAATTTTTTAAGTCCAATTGTTCCATTCTGATTAATCTATTTATATTTTAACATTATTGAATACCTCTACGAATGTAAGAATATTTTTATTTTGAACATTTCAACAAACCTGTAAACGTTGGAACCATTTGGATGATTTTTTATCAAACCAGGTATTACATTGTTCTAAGGTTATTGTTCCAAAATTACAAAATTTCAAAATTCCTAAAAATGAATTCAGAAAACAAATACAGCAAGAAAGCGTAAGAAAAATTTACGTTTTGTAAGAGTACGGACAATTGGGATCTCTTCAACATAAGTTTAAGTTAACTCACAATTAAAGATTTGTCAGATTCACAACGGTACACATAACTTTACAGGAACTATAAGCGTAATTTCAAGTACCTCTCCATGACATTGCCTGATTTTCAACAGTAATCTTGAAACCTTTAAGATAAAAAATATGAAAGATATTCTCGTTTTTCCAGGGTTAAATGTATTTGATTAGTATAATTATGACTTTCTGCAGTATAATGCGCAAGTCACTTTTGTAGAGAAACCACAATCGAAAATAATCATTTTTCTAAATTTTAAACATTGACATATTTTTCCTATTGATCAGATTGAGACAAAGCTCTCAATGTTAGGGTTGTGAATCGGGCATTGCCATCTTTGCATGGAGGGTCACTTGAAATTACGCTTACAGTCCCTTTTAACCTTTTTGTGCAACAATGTGGAAGATATTGTCTTTTTTCTACCTTAAGAATTCTTTGAATTTTATTCCTTTTGCCGCAGAAATCCGCAAGTCAATATGACAGAGAAAAAAATATTGAAAATTTTTGATTTTCAATCTGAAATTTTGACTCCGACGAAGATTAAAACCGATGTGAATCCTATATGCACTGCACCCCTTTCAAAGGAGAGAAATAAAGTCAGCAGTTTACATTTATATATAAATGTTTTGAAATAAATGTTGAACAATATTCCTTGTTGAATGCGATATCATCGTACATAAATGTGATTATGTTGGATTCTGGAATACCATTCCCCACTAGAGTCTGATAGGCTTGGCACACATCAGCCTGGATAAATCAAATCTAATTTAAAACTCGAATATTTTAATTTTAATTGAGTCTTTGGAACAAAATCAAAAATTTAAATCTCAATATCTTGTTGTAAACCTTTGATATTTCAAACTCAGATTATTTGATCTAACAGAATTCATAGTTTGAAATATCAAAGGTCTGTGACATTTGGTTCCAAAGATATAGTGATTAGAAAATCAGAGTTTGTGGCAAAGACTCAATTCCTTTGTGCAAATTTTGGTATTTTTGATTTGTTTTTGTCTAAATATCCGGCATTCTTCAACCCTTTAAGAAATATTCTAATATGTATATGGACAGGATGTATATGTATCCCGGAGATGTCTAAAATTCTCCCATTCTTCGCTTAGTTACATTTTATATAGTTACACTTCATTTAATTACACTTCCTATAACTGCATTTCCTATAATTACATTTCCTATAATTACATTTCCTATAATTACATTTCCTATAATTACATTTCTTATAATTACATTTCCTATAATTACATTTCCTATAATTACATTTGCTAAAAAATTTCATTTCCAAATTCTCAATTGATTTCATGTAGCCGCAGCGCTCGGCCCCCTAAAATGTTCTATCCGCGGGGCTTGGCCCCTTTTAGTCTGTTCTAGCCGCGGCGCTCGGCCTTGAAATTGTCTTATCCCAAAATAAGGTGAGACAGCAAAATAATTAAAATCTAAGAGGCCGCAGCGCTCGGCCACTAGCCCTTCCTAGACGCAACGCTCGACCCATACCCTATCCTAGACGCAGCGCTCGACCCCTACCCCATCCTAGACGCAGCGTTCGGCCCAGAAATTGACATAACCTATCCACCCAACACAATTTGTAATGATAAGAAGTGTAACTTTATAGCAAGTGTAATTACGGCAAGTGTAATTATATGAAGTTTAACTAAATTAAATGTAACTGAGCTGCTTTAAAAGCATCCTGTGTACATAACCTGATGTCTATAATTCTCCCATACTTTGCTCCCTGCTCTAAGAGCACCCTATGTGTATCACCTGATGTCTATAATTCTCCCATCCTTTGTTCCCTGCTCTAAGAGCACCCTATGTGTATCACCTGATGTCTATAATTCTCCCATCCTCTGTTCCCTGCTCTAAGAGCACCCTATGTGTATCACCTGATGTCTATAATTCTCCCATCCTCTGCTCCCTGCCACTAGAACAGCCCAAATCTTGGATTTAGGGTTCAAAATCTCCACACTTGTTTTCAGCCTATTAAGAATCAAGATAAAAAGAAAAGGATCAACTAAAGACTGTTAGTTTAATTGTTTATCAAGTCTGGTCTCTGGGCCGGTTAAAAATCCGACAGTGGTATTTTTGATGAAAGAAAGAACAAAGACGTCAATTATTCCGCAATTACCTGTAAGACAGAAGGAATAAAAGTAGAAAAAAACTTGTAATAAATCCAAAAATTCTGAAAATGCTCAATTCCTTCATTTCTCTGATTCCTACGGATAAAAGAATTAAACTAAATCCTTATCTACTCTTCTCTCTACTTTAAATCAGGTGTAGAGAGAGGAGAGAAACAGTACTTTTTGTACAATCATGATGAAACCCTTTCTTATCTAACTAAATCCTGCAATATTATGGAAATATTTAATCATTAGGATTGAATGAGTTCATCTCTAGGTTTCATAATTAAGTCATTTCAAGAATTATCTTTATTCTTCAATCTTTATTCTTAAATTCTTTGTTAAATCAATTAAATTTATCATACAGAAACTAATTTCAAAGAAAAAGACCAACTTATTAAATTTTAATGTAAATATCCTTTGTGGGGAACCCTGTATACAGAGACAATCATAAGACAAAGGAATTCAGAATTTCCTGAACTTGGTGTTGAGGAAACCATAAAAAAGCAGATGTTGACTCTTTTTTTTATTTTCTATAACATATATTTTTCAAGAGATAAATTAACCAAAATAATCTGAAATTAACAAGAAAAAATATAAATCTATAAGTTCTGGTAAATATCAAAATGAAGTAAAATTTATGCTGGATCGTCTAGCTCACAACAGATCCACGGTGATCACTGATCAATGGGATACCAACTCTCACGGAAAAACCATCGTTCATTTTGTCAATTACTTCAGCTAAAGTTAAGCTACAGGGTCTCGCACGAAACATGACAGTTGGTGAATAGTTTAGAATCTATTCTTCCATATTTTGTCAAGTTGGTTTATACCATGAGAGAACAATGAAAATATTATAAAGGAGTCATATTATAATAAAATTAATTTCAAAGTAAAATATATTTAGGCAAAAGATTTTGTTAGCGAAATAAACTGCAATAAGTCTTTAATACAGGGTGTCTCTCAAAAGATGACAATTGATGAATAGTTTAAAATGTCTTCTTCTATAATTTGATAAGTTGTTTGATACTAAAGAGAATAATAACATTTTTTATATGACAGTTATAGTATAGTAAAATTGATTTCACAGTAAAATATATATGAGTTAAACATTTTTTTAAAGAAATAAACTGCAAAAGTCTTTAACAGGTAATACAGTATGTGGAAGAAGACATTCAAAACTATTCACCAACTGTCCTGTTTCGTGGGACACCCTGTATCTAATGCATTATATAGAAGAAGACATTTAAAACTTTTCACCAACTGGCATGTTTCGTGGGACACCTTGTATCTAATGCAGTATATAGAAGAAGACATTCGAAACTATTCACCAACTGTCATGTTTCGAGGGACACCTTGTATCTAATGCAGTATATAGAAGAAGTCATTCAAAACTTTTCACCAACTGTCATGTTTTGTGGAACACCCTGTATCTAATGTAGTATGAAGAAGACATTCAAAACTATTCACCAACTGTCATTTTTCGAGGGACACCTTGTATCTAATGTACAGAGCGTCCCATATCATATTAGATTATCTTCAATCTTTAACACCAAAATAAACCCTTAATACTCGAAAAACTTATCATTTTCCGCAAGAAAATTCTTATACAAGCCTTATTTTATTTTTCAAAATGATTCGTTCTAATGAAATTTTCTAATTAGTCCCGAAAATCGTAATTTAGACCCGTTCTCGGTCTAATATGATGTGGGACACCCTGTAGTATATAGAAGAAGACATTCAAAACTTTTCACCAACTGTCATGTTTCGTGGGACAAAGCTAAAATTAAATTCCTTGCGACACTTTAAAGTCGATCCTGACTTGAAAATGTATGCACCTTTTTTAGCAGTCTAAATGTAGAATCATGTTAGTGGTATTAAAAACATAAACCTAGATTGTCACTTGGATAGAAAAATGTTGGGCTTAAACTAACGTACTTTTTGGTGTTAGGAAAATATTGCATTATTAGGTCTGTAGATGGAATTTTACTTGACCCTCCATTTTTGAACCCTTGATATTATCAAAAACCTTACATCTCCCCTTGGAAAATCAAGGAGAGATGGGGCATTCATACCTTAAAGCTAGCTGGGCTGTCGTTGAAATTTCAAGTAATTCCTACGATTTTAAGAGGGGCCACGGTTCTGTCAATATATCAGAAAGGGGTGGCTTTCGATCATAATTTGAACCACTATACATAATATTTTAGCCTTTTTATTTTAAATACTTTTTGTCGGCATATACATTTTGAATGAAAAAGTATTAAATAAACCAATCCGTAAGTTTTAAGATTGTTGAATTATAGACCAAAACATGTTTGATTTCAAATAAATGAAACCGAACGCTTCTCACTCTGGTTAGAACGGGATGGCCATGCGGTATCCTGAAGGGTTACACACAAACGATGAGAATTCAGACTTATATTCATAATTTCCTTTAACAGTAATCTTTTTCCTTTCTTTGCCTAATCATTAAATACCCCCATTTGAGGACTATAGTCAAGACTCAATTAAGCTCAATCATGACCACAGTTTCAAAAAGTTGTCTCCCAAATTTTTGATGGATCCCATGTCAGGCTTCGACATCCGTCTTGTGTTTACATTACCGCCCAGAGACAGTACAAAAGATGCGGACACCTCTGAAATAACTTTTCTTGCTTTATAACCTTGATAGTGATGATGTACGCTAATTCTTTACTAATTGTACAGGCCATGTACTCCACTTTCAAAGGTCAATCTGTTTATTACAGTACTCGAGGGTGATTTCTGAAAAATTTTATGTTCATTTTAGCAGAAATAAGTTTTCAATCAACTTTGAGGAACACCTCTCCCACCTCTTATCCAGGCCTCCTATCTCTCTGTAATACCCCGCCTTCAAGGACTTCAAGGCGCCGAAACCCTTGGTTTTGAGGCCATGTCATGGCCTAGATTGGAAGCCTCCAGGTCCGATTGGGGAAGAATTTGTTTTCCATTTGACTATTGCAATCCACTGCTCTTTTTTCGTGTGCAGGATTACATTTTCACATGCAGACGTACTGTTTCGGTCTTTTACAGAGAAAATACTTCATCGTTAATGAACGGTTTTGAAACTGAGTAACATTTATGATACAAAACCAGGGAACAGGAATAAAGGGAAAGGAAATGGCGCTGGTCCGGCAAGAGAAAGCCAGTCGCACTGCTTTGCAGACCAGTACAGTAAACTGACACACACTCTTCTGGTACAGACACACAACATGACTACAGTCAAGGAAATTGTGGAACAATGTCGTCGATTATAATTAAATTTGAATAACGAGTAGTTTATTGTAAACTTTAATAAAATTATATTCTTTGCATGAAAATTTGGCTTTATAGTGTTCACTTAAATATGTAAATAATATATTACATGCATATTAAACATATGTTTAAGTAAACAATTAACAATAAACAAATGTACCCTCCTAGACTGTACAAATACCGAGATTCTTACGTACTGTATAAACCTACAGTACAAACCTTTGGTACAGTAAACTGACACACTCTTTTGGTACAGACACACACACATGACGTTTCCGCCCCCTGTACAAAACCTCCCCATACACTTGTACTCCGAAAGCGTACTGCATATTTGATATTTGTTCTGTATAAATAGGCCATAATCTCTTAATATCCTTTATCAGTAAACTGTCCTAAGTGTACACTGAGACTTATATACACGGACAGGTGCCTAAGATCTATTCGTTCATAATTAATAATATTGGACCAATTTATATTAAATCTTAATTTACATCAAACATTATATAATACAACATAATAGTTGTTCAAGGGAACTGAATTATGAATATTCTGAACACTTGAATAACAACAATTATACGATACTAAACAATTATAATGTAAAACAATCAATAATTTAGCTTTTTTATGTTTTCCAACAAATCCAAAAAATATTTTATTTCATATTTTATTTCATTTTCAATTAAATTCTCAAAGCAAATAGTTCTCATTTTCCTAGTGGAAAAGTTCTCCAAATAAACAACTGACTATAATTGAAAACAAAATTTTAGTTTCAAGTGTAGAATGTGAATAACAATAGAATGCAAATATGTCGAAGTAATGGTCTATTAAATACAGGTATTTTTGAAAAATTCATATACATATAGGCAGTTTAGAATTTTTAAGCTAAAAACTATTTCTTGAAATCTGTAAACAAAATAGAAAAGTTTTTAACACCGGGTAAAAATGCTATGGTTGAAAAAAGTTGCCAGTTTTGTAAAGAAAATCTATAAAGTACAATATATAGACAACATTTATAAGAACATTGAACATTCATTCATAGTCTTTCATAATTGAACATTGTAAGCAGGGTACTTTAGATTGAAATTTTATTAATCTATTTAATCATTTATTAAAAAATTCTGACTCGAAAATACCCTGTCACAATTAAAGTTTTTCTTCCATCACTTGTATCACTAACTCCCGTAGCTAAATATTATCAAAGTACGGATGGGACGGATGTATAAGCCCCATCCTCTCAATAAACTATTCGAACTGTTGTCAAGTATATAACAGTTCAAAACACTGAATATATGTAAGAGTGTGTAAATAAGTTCATAAATAGGATCAAGTCCCCCGTCAACACTGAACTTAAGCAAAATTTAAGATTTCGAAGTTATCAAGGTTTATCTCAATGCTCTGACAGGAGTTAAACTCCCAGGAGCAGGGTTTAGCAGGATCGAAACACTCATCCACCTCCTCCATCTTGTTGTAGATGAAGTTCCTGGTCCCGGACACGTTGGAGTGGTTGATAAACTCCAGGTTGTTGAGACATCCCATCCCCGAAAACAGGAGCCAATCATCCTTCTCGAGTTCGGGTAGAAGAATGTCCTCAAGGATGATATCCAGCTCGTCTCCGGACGGACCGAATATCTTGGTGTCGTAAACCTGGGACCGATTTCCCTTCCGCCCCTTTCCTCCGCCGAGAGGATACGGAGTACTCACGCACCCTTCAATGCAGAGGTTTCCGCTGAAGGCGCCGAAGACTCCCTCGTTGATGAAGTAGTTCTTCAGCTCCGTCTTGGTGTCATCCAACTTCACGATACGCGCCGCCAGGGTTATGGTCGGGGAGACCAGGAACTTGGAGGCGGTGGCGGAGAGGCGGATACCAAGGTAAGCAGGGAACACCTTGTTCAAGGCGGAGTTCAGGTCGGAGACAAATCCGTGAGAAAATGAAGTTCCGGCGAGTTCTCCAAGATGCACTAGTTTGATTTCTGCTCCCTGGGCTCTGCTCCAGTCTAGGATACTACGGGATACCAGGATCCACTGGAGAAGTTGGTTTAGCTCCTCCTCCAGGGTGGAGATCTCCAGATAGATCCCGACCAGGTTAAGTCCGGACTCCATGGAGATCTGGATCAATTCCTTGATCTCAACCAGGTTCGCAGTTTGACTACAGTCAAACTGGATCCAAACCCTGCAAAAAAAAAATTCTAATCAATTTTATACTTTACTAGTTAATGGGAAGTTCTTTTGTGATTTTTAAACTTAACAAAATCGGGTTTAATTATTTCCCAGATATCATTGATTAAAAAGGTTATGTTAGAAAGATTTACTTTAAATATAAATATAGAAGTAATAATCCAAATATGATTATATATATTTTGATCGGCAAAACTTTCTTAATTTTCTATTAGATGGATCTAAGATAGCATCGTCATATAAAAATAAGTACAAAATATAAAGAAATTAAGTGTAATGTGCAAAAATGTTGCATTTGCACTAAATGCATACACACTGCATACTATGCAGTGCTAAGGTATAACAAATATTTGCACTAAATGCATACACACTGCATACTATGCAGTGCTAAGGTATAACAAATATTTGCACTAAATGCATACACACTGCATACTATGCAGTGTTAAGGTATAACAAATATTTGAAGTCTAATTTATGCAAAATATTAGAAGTGTAAATTATACATAAACCCAACAAGATTCAACAAATTTCTAATGAATATTAAACATAAAACCTTTCTTCTTATTCTTCCAATAATATTTCTCTTTAGTGTTAAAATTGAATCAATTTAAGCTACATTATAAATATAATTTTTCTACATTTTCTACCTAAAGTACGAGTAAAGCTGACCCAGTATTGATTTCCAGTGATATGGCCCAAAAATGGTTTATGTACGTTAAAAAAATGCGCTCTCAAAAAAAGATCAAATGATTGACAAACTTATTAAACTTTCTTGAATAAAAATATGTAGGCTTGAAGCCAGGAGGAAGCTTGATAAAATATAAAAATAAGAAAATCCTATAAAAAATGAATGAAAACATGTGAAACAAACTACGTCAATCCACCCAACCCTGACAAAATAACTAAAGTTTGCGCTCGAATTCTGAACGAAAATTCGGGTTTTTTTTCGGCCACAGTTGTCTTTGAAAAGTAAGACTAATACCAATTGACAGCTAATAGGCTGTCTAGTTTACCATAAAATTACCCAAATAAGTGAACGGTCTCTTTAAAGCATTTGCAGGGATGTTAGAAAAGATAACCTCGATATGTAGATAAAAAAATGCAGAAATATCAAAAATTTTAATCTAATTGTTGTTTTTCTGAAAATTAAAAAATGTCCGAACAAGTTTAATACATCAACAACTACTCGACGTTTATCAACCCTGAATGTGTTTGTGAACTGTTAGAACTGGATTTATCCAAAGTAAATATTTCAGTCAATATCTGGTTAAATCCAGTTACAAGGCCTCTTATTAATATAATATTAACAGAAAATAAACGAAGTAAAGAATGATTATTACATGAGCTCTAGAGTCATTTCTAATTTTGATTCAAAAGATCTGAAAATGTTAATTAAATTATTTTGGAAAATTTAGAAAATTTTTGCCTCCTTTATATTTTTAAAAGGATCGCGTATGAATGCACACAAATCTATTTGAATATTTCGATTTAGCATTTAAGGTTAGTTGTTACTAATAACAATTATAATACTGGTACACTTTTCTTATTTACCTTGCGCTGGGGGAATTCTTTACAATCTTCTTGATTTCCTCACGGGAGTTGAAGACGACGTTTTGAATTCCTTTTTCCCGCGCAAACTTGATGTGAGAACCGATTTTGTGCGGGGCACTGAACACCACATCCGCGTCCTGAATTGTACAAAAATAAAGTATTTTTTATTTTTCTAACAGTTTATCCTTTATGCAACAGCATACACCTGCTTCTTATCAATTATAAATGTCTATTTTTACCATTTATTTAAACTGCAAAGGGGGTGTTTGATCAACTTTGAAAGTGTGCACTGCTGAAAAAACACCTTAAATTTGATCTTAACGAAACCAAAATAATTTTAAGAAATTTGTGAGAAATCCCTAACATTCTGTTATAATTTCAAATAAAATGCACATAGTTTGTATCCCCCTGTAAAAGGAAGGTGTTATAGATCTGATATGAATGCATACTTTATAAAAGTACAACAGCTTTCTAACCTTACACAATTTAACCTTGGCAATGTCACACATATGTCTAAACATTTCCCTCAAACCTGTTTTGTTTTTGGAACCCTTGGTAAAGTAATATTTCCTTAACTTCCATTTAAAGTATATGTAAATTCAAAAACAGCAGAAAAAAATAATGAAAGTTGCATATTTCCTCAGAAAAAATACAACCAAGGCTATAATGCAAGGAAAGTTAATCGCAGTTTCGTATACTCTACGTATATATTGTTAAACCAGTTCTCTCTGGGCGGAATTTCTAAACAAGAATAGATGCATCAGTGTTCGTTTAATATCCGAGAAGGATAAAAACATTGAATTTTGAAAACTTTGATAATTCACATAGTTGTTTCCTATGACCAGAATATTTCAATGAAAGATGGATCCCATGTCAGACTGTGACATCCGTCTTGTGTTTACACTACAGCCCAGAGACGTACACTGCAGTACAAAAGATGCGTACACCTTAGAAATTACTTTCCTTGCATAATAATCTTGGATACAACATTCTAAGATTATGCAATAGACTTGTCTCTACCCCCCCCCCCCCCCCCCCCCTCCTCTGTCAAAAAATGCTAGTTGTGCCTCTGACTTATTCTTTATCATTGTTGTTTTCTTGTTTGAAAATAACGCAACTATTGCGATGCAATCAATTTCCTATTGCGTCTATGGTTGAAGAAAACTACAACTACAGAATAAATAAAGATATACAGGGTGTTTTAATAAACTTGGCAATTTTGATTCTTCTATATTACAGGGGGAAAAAAGAAAATAAATTCTGATGATCACATTTAAAATCAATTTCCGACTGATGGATAGAACAAAAAAATGCTCCGATCTTTTTGAAATTTTTATGCAACCTAGATAGAGTCAGTGTTATACACTGAATGACCAAACTATTCAAAACGGAAATATCACAAAAAAATGAAAAAGTTATTTAAGAATAAAGTTTCAAAATTGACAAGATTAAAAGAACACCCTGAACATATCAGAGATCGGTATTATTAAATGGATAGAAGTGGTTGAATTATGAACGGATAGTTGAATTTGACCATACTCGGGTAGTTGAACTACACCATACTCGGGTAGTTGAATTGGACCATACTCAAGTAGTTGAACTAGACCATACTCGGGTAGTTGAATTAGACCATACTCGGGTAGTTGAATTAGACCATGCTCGGGTAGTTGAACTAAACCATAATCGAGTAGTTGAACGAGACCATACTGGGGTAGTTGAACTAGACCATACTCGGGTAGTTGAATTAGACCATACTCAGGTAGTTGAATTAGACCATACTCGGGTAGTTGAACTAGACCATACTCGGGTAGTTGAACTAAACCATAATCGAGTAGTTGAACGAGACCATACTGGGGTGGTTGAACTAGACCATACTCGGGTAGTTGAATTAGACCATACTCGGGTAGTTGAACTAGACCATACTGGGGTAGTTGAACTAGACCATACTCGGGTAGTTGAATTAGACCATACTCGGGTAGTTGAATTAGACCATACTCGGGTAGTTGAACTAGACCATACTCGGGTAGTTGAATTGGACCATACTCGAGTAGTTGAACTAAACCATACTGGGGTAGTTGAACTAGACCATACTCGGGTAGTTGAATTAGACCATACTCGGGTAGTTGAATTAGACCATACTCGGGTAGTTGAATTAGACCATACTCGGGTAGTTGAACTAGACCATACTCGGGTAGTTGAATTGGACCATACTCGAGTAGTTGAACTAGACCATACTGGGGTAGTTGAACTAGACCATACTCGGGTAGTTGAATTAGACCATACTCAGGTAGTTGAACTAGACCATACTCGGGTAGTTAAACTAGACCATACTCGGGTAGTTGAACTAGACCATACTCGGGTAGTTGAACTAGACCATTCTCGAGTAGTTGAACTATTTCTGTAATGTGGCTGAGAGAAGAGTGAGTATAGTAAAAATTTTTCTTGCTTTTCTTTAAATCGTTTATAAAAGGTTAATTTTCTAGACTCATTAGATGAGATGTAATTTTTCAATTGAATGAGAAAAATGTATTGAACATTTTATCATCTTTTTCTGAGCTGGAAAATTTTCTATTGGATATACTTATAATCCAGATTACTTAATCTCAATATCCAGTGCGGGTACTCTTAATTTGAAATTAATGCTAAATATCTTCCTTTTTATAATTATTCCTCCCTTGAGTACGGTTACCATGCAGGATTTGGAATAAAGACTAAAATAATCTTCAGATAAGAAAAAGATCCACAATAAATGAGTTCCCAGCTCAGATATATAATGTATATTGTAAAATATTAAATACTACATTCTTCAAAAATAAAATTAAAACTTTCTACCAAGAGTTCTTTGTGCTGTTGTGTCTAGATATTCTAATGTAAATAAACAGCTCAGACTGAGATTGTTTATATCAATGAGAGTAGCAGTAAGAATTTATTTAAACAAGAACTAGTTGCAGGGGTGTATAATAATCAGATTACGAGAAGCAGTGCTTAGGATCCATTTAATTTTGATGCGGATCCGGATCCTGGATCCGCAATGGAAAAAAATGGATCCGGATCCAGGTCATTTCTTTAAGATTTACTGAATTTTTTTAACAAAAAATAATTTTTAAATTTTGTTTATTTATTTTCGCCTATTTTTATCCTAAAACTTGATAAACCATTCAGAAATGAGGAAATTTTCATAATCTCTTTTTGTAAAAAATCAAATTTGAGTTTATGAGTAAAAAAGTGGTTTTTTTTCAGTTTTTGGATGACATTTTACCCCTTGGATCCGGATCCGTGGATCCGCATATTTTTGCGGATCCGGATCCAGGAAGCCAAAATCTTGCGAATCCAACGGATCCGGATCCTAAGCACTGACGAGAAGTAATTTAACTAGATATTGTTAGCTTCATGATCACATGTAAACATTAATTAAATACATTGTTCTCTAAAGTTTTGTACAGTAAAAATAAAAAACATTGTATCTCCAGTTTAAAACCATATGAAAACATTATATTGTGGTCCTTCAGGGAAAAATAACCTGGATTTAGTGTTGCTATTAAATTATCATCAAATAGTTCAGATCAGAAGAATAGGATGTAAATAGTGACATCAACCTCTCAATTGTATGCCCATTGCTCAACCTTTATGGTTTCAATTAAACAAAATTATCACCAAACTAAATTTTGTTTTTGTTTTATTAAACCTCTACTCTACCCCGCTTTAAGGTCACTGAGCCCTGTTATACCTGGTTGAGAAGAGCTAGGTTATCCAGAGTTCCAATCTGATGTTTAGCCGATACATCCAACCTTACTCCGTGTCCGCTTAAACCCTCCAGTACCCGTCCTAGGCTGTTGTATCCAACCTCTACAACATCATCAATATTAGTTCTTGTCAGGATAAACCGAATAAAACTGAAAAAAATCTAAAACGACATTTTTTGTAAGAATAAATTGAAAGTCAGGCAAAACTTAACTCCGAAACAAATATGTAAAAATAAATTGTGCCCCAAAGCGAAATGGATGTCAAATGTAGTAAGTGAATGCCAACAACAAAATTGAAGGTCAAAACAAAAGGAGATCAATAAGGTTTAACAAAATGAAGGTCAAAACAAAAGGAGATCAATAAGGTTAATGAAAATGAAGGTCAAAACAAACTGAACGTCACGAGAAAATTGATGTCATTAAAAAAAGGAAGTCAATACTAACTGAAGGTGAAAAAATGGGACGCTAGGACATAACTGGCGTCAAAAACAAAATTGGCGTCAAAAACAAAATGGAAGTAAAAACAAAATGGAGGTGAAAACAAAATGGAAGTTAAAACAAAATGGAGGTAAAAACAAAATGGAAGTGAAAACAAAATGGAGGTGAAAACGAAATTAAGGTGAAAACTATGTGTATACCATGAACGGGTTGAAGGGTTGGGAACTTCCTTCCCCAGGAGCTGATTTGCTCCAGGAGGACAGATTCAGAGTATACTAGGAAGGATTCATCTCTACTGTCAGCCAGATATCTTAAAAATTCAATCAATCATTAATTTAATCAATCAAATCAGTTTAAAACTTATTTATTTCAGTAACTAAATATTAAATTTATTGATTAATTACTATAGTCAGTGAATTTATTATTATTTTCTTATCAATTAAAACTCTTATATTATTTATTAAATCAATCCATTAGAAAATCTGTTATGCGGCAAATCCATTCATCAGTTGATCCGATTAATCAATAAATTTACAAAATAACAGTTCCTTATCATTTTTACATTTTCTAAAACCAGTGCTTAGGACCCATTTAATTTTGTTTGCAGATCCAGGTAATTTCTTTAAGATTTACTGATTTTTTTTTAACAAAAAAAATAATTTTTAAATTTGTTGTTTTATTTTTTTCGCTTATTTTTATCCTAAAACTTGATAAACCATTCAGAAATGAGGAAATTTTTATAAGCTCTCTTTTTTCAAAAGTTCAGAATTTGAGTTTAGGTGTAAACAAGTTATTTTTTGCAGTTTTTTGTTGATATTTTACCCCTTGGATCCGGATCCGTGGATCTGCATATTTTTGCGGATCCGGATCCAGAAAGCCAAAATCTTGCGGATCCAACGGATCCGGATCCGGCTCCTTAGCACTGTCTAAAATCTATTTGCATTAAAAATATATCTTGTCAACCTTAATATGTTTTTTAATATCAAAATCTTCTTCATTGAAAATAAAATGAATTTAAATTTTAAATTATTAGTTAAAATAAGTCACAAAATTCAATTTTTAATAAATAAATAATATTGAACAGGGATGAAGAATTTTAAGGTGAATATTACATGACGATTCATGAAATCTTAATATTTTCCCTTGTATGTTCCTTAAGTACTTTGCCTTAAAAATAAATATCGGAAAAAAATTTACACCCGTGATCTACAGATCTAGGGCACTGCTTGCATAAAATTATTTCAATACTTATCTAACTTGTTATATAACCTAAATTACTCAGCTTTCGTAAAAAGATAAGCATCATTATTACATTCTAATAATGTGACCAGCTAGTGACAAAGATTTGACATATAAAAGATAAGGCTTACATCAAGCATGCATAAAAAGACATTGAACCTTGTGATAAAACTACATTCACATGTTACAAATTTCATAAAAATCATGTTTTTTCTCGGTCCCAAAATGCATAAATCTGGTAGATTTTTTTAATGACAAATATGATCTTGTGTAGAAACTATGTTTCTACCCCTGAAATTAAATTGTGTAATTAATTTTGTAAGTTCTTGTACTTTTCAGTTGTCATGTACTTTTTAAGATCAATCGTTGATAAGAAAAAGCCAAGGACAAAACTGCATCATAATGCATTTCCAACATTTAAATAATTAATTTCATTAATCCATATTAACATTTAACATGAATTAATATGGTAAAATTAAAGGGAAAGGAGAATTTTAGATGCAACAAAAACTGATCAATAATTTTTAAATTAATAGCTATATGAATTTTACCAAGAAAAATTTGAGACAGATACCCTATTTATTAGGAAACGTACCACGAACTATGGTTTAATGTAAGGAACTGTAAGTGAGTTAGCTAGAAAAAGTACAAAATGAGGTGTTTCAGGAGAAGCATTTCATAACCTCCAAAAATAATCAATGGTGGATTGTTGACATTTTAATCGAAGATAAAATCACAGCATATATAAGAAATAAAATGTATACTTTATCTGACATTGAAGAACTTTGTTTTTGAAGCCTGTGAAAAAAGAAAAAGCTTTGAAGGAAACGTTTTGAACAAAATTAATATTTTCAAGCATATTTTAAATCGTGGTGTAATCCTTACAGGAATCAAACAGGGCCAAATGAAAAATATTAATCCTTGTTGATACTTTTTACCCAAATATTGGTTTCACCAAAAAAATTCGTTTATTTTCTCCAAACCAACGAATTCATATTCATATTTTATTCAACTACAAAGCACGAGATAATACAAATAAAAAAATCACAATTTACTATGTAGTTTGGACCCGCCTAACCAGAGTAGGTTGTTTTAATTGGTTGGCCCACTATAAACGAATGAGAATTGCAGATAAAAACAATGTACATTGTACATTTTAAACATAAGAATGATGATAAATCAGGAAAATGGTAATAGCGCCCATAAAACATATTTTTTACAAGAAACCAACCTGGCCATCCTTAGAGTTTGTCTATCCCACCCAACCTCCTGCTGCAAAGAGATACCACAATCCAACCTCATCGTCACAAACAAACAAAAAGAAAAAATCCTAAAAAATTGTAATTAACTTTAAAACATTCTTTTTACTTTTTATTCCGTAGAGATTTAAAAACCTTGACATGTTTCAATTCTTTCTTACAATCAAAATTTTAAAGATGAAAATTTTCAATATTGTAAATTATGAAATATGTTGTCTCTTGAAAAACAAAAATTTAAATAAAATAAAATAAGCATCTAATTTAAAAACAATATTCATTAAAGTTTCATCGGTTAAAGAGACTTAAGATCCTATATTTGCAGAGAAGCATGTCAAATTCACAACAGTAATCCTTTAATTATTTCCTGATCAAGGACTGATAACATTAGTCTATTTTAAAACTGATCCTACCGCAATTTCTCTGTTAAGAGACTTGCGCATTTCTGCTTTAGATGCAATGAAGGATTTTGTCAAAATTAAAAACTTGTGCTAGAAAAACGACGGTATCTTCCTCATTTTTTGCGATTTCTCTGAAAAGTGACTTGCGCATTTTTGCTTTAAAACATTGAAGGAAATTGTCAAAATTATGTTTTTTCAGATTCAAGTTTAAAGGGTACCGTTGAGAATAAAATATGCCTCTCTTTAAATGATTAAAGGGATACTTTGAATTTTGTCTACAAACCCTTTAATGTTATTTAACAATGTATACATAATACTTACTAGTTCAGTAAATATCAGGGGGGCTTGAACACGAATATAACAATGTACATAATACTTACTAGTTCAGTAAATATCAGGGGGGTTTGAACACGAATATAACAATGTACATAATACTTACTAGTTCAGTAAATATCAGGGGGGCTTGAATACGAATATAACAATGTACATAATACTTACTAGTTCAGTAAATATCAGGGAAGCTTGAACACGAATATTCTTATGAACGCAATGGTGATGGTGGAAAACAAGTCTAAAACACAAAATAAAATTAGTTTCAGGAATTATAATTATTACTTATTAATTCTTTAAATTTGATAAAAGTATCTTAAGTAATCTGATATAAACTTTAGTTTACATGTCAGTGGTCTATATCCCCTGTTGAAAAATACCCCAGTTTTATCACACTGAATGGCAGGGGGGCTTAAGTCAGGAAAATTTCAAAATTCAAATATTTACACGATCACCCTGTGTAGTGGGTATATTGTGTTTAATAAGTAAATGGAAAGGAAAATATTTTGCCACAAACACAATTTTTTTAAACCTTATATCTTTGCAACCCTTAGTCGGAGACCTTTGAAATTTGAAACTTAAAATTCGTTTGTTTTAAAAACTCTAGAGTTTGGAATATCAAAGTTTTACACCAACAAGTTGCAATGATATTGGGATTAGAAAACTAGTGGTAGTGGCAAAAACTAAATTTTTTTTATCTTGAAAACTATCTCTGACGTTTTTTTTCCAACATCAAAATCAAAAACAATGTGGGGAGGGGGTGATTATTTCTGTTGATGGGGAGGGGGGGGGGGAACCTCAGCAAATATCAGGACCAGTGATGACGAACTCAATATACTCCTTCGTAGCCAACAACCAGTTCAAGGGTAGTCCGCAGACAACCTTAACAAAACATACAAATTTCAATTAAAAAACCCCCAACAATTTTTAAAGCATGTTAAATTCTTCATTATATTCACGGTGATTTTTGCTTGTTTGTAACATTAAACAATTAAAAAATTTTAAAACTCTTTATTATTTTTTTCCTTAAAAAAAGTAGTCTTTATCCAAATGTTTCAATTTTTTTAAATAGAGTATTATTATCTAAAATTCATGGTTGTAATTTAGTGAGAAAAGTATTGATAAAAAGAGTGAATAGAACCCCCCCCCCCCTGAAATATTATGTACATAAATCTTCATATAATTTTGTCATTTTTTAAAACAAATATGTATTTTGCATATTTTCAATGTGAAAGAGGGTTCAAGTTACATACACAAGTGTAATATGAACACACGCTTCATTTCCTCTGCACGTCAGAGGTCTCGAGAATTTACAAAACAAGTTTTTTTTGAGTTGCGTGCGTAGGAGGTACGCAATTTAGACAGGAAGGTGGAAAGAAAGTTAAATGACTTTTTACATAAGATACAAGCTGTCCCCCCCCCTCCAAGAAATCATTAAGGGGCCTATTTTAACTCATTTAACTCAAATTCATTTACTGAGCCAACATTCTGCCCGAACAACAAAAATTTAAGAAGGACAGGAAAAGGATACAAAATAAATCTTTTTAGACAATTAGCATAAGATATAGAAAGAAATATTTTCTGCTGGTGCTATGGAAACGCCTCAACACGGAAACGTCTCAACACGGAAATGCCTCAAAAAAAAGCAGAAACCCCTCAAAAACCGGTTTTTTTGAGACGTTTCCGCAATTTCTGCAAGAAAAACGGAAATCCCTCAAAACCCAGTTTTTGAGGGGTTTTAAAATTGATATTCAGGGTTATGGGGTCGCTCTAAAAATGGAGGCCTAAAAAGTTATAATCCATACTATTACTAAGAAGACATTTTTGTAGTTAAATAGTGACATATTGACTGCTACAATGATTTAAAATGTGATTTTTAAAATCCCATTAATCGTACTTTTCCATGCGCTTTCTTCATTGAAACATAACGTCACAAATTTTTAAGTTACATAAGAAATAAAACGCTAAAAAACAGTACCTTGCAACTGTAGACCCCCTTGAAAGAGTCTAAATCACCCTCGACAGTAATGGTGGCGGATTTATTGTATCTGTAAAGATAAATTTCCGACGGGGAGGGTTGAAGAAAGGTTTATTTCTCTCTTCATGGACTAGAAACTTTGCTAGACTGCTGCGTATTAACTGAAGGGTAAGCTCAGCTAGCTAGGTGCCGTTGGGGGGGGGGGGGAGGCCTCCGCTCTAGGAGGGGAGGAAGGCCAGCAACAACAATTCCTAGTCCGAGCCACTGTACATTTTCTCGTCCCAGAAACCTCGAAATCATTGTCCTTTCAAAATATTTTTTTAAGTGTCCAATCCTTGAAGATAAGAATATTTTTTGAAAATCCGTCCAGTATCCCTTTTTTGCGTAGAATGCTGCAAATTATTATGAAATTTAATAAAAACAGCATGTGAGAATATTACACTTTTTCTTCAGCCACATTTCCTTATTCCTATTTACAAAATGTCAAAAATTAAATGTAAATTATATTTATTTTTTGGTCAAATTTCGACAAATTTACAAGATTGTAAATTAAATGAAAAACTATTCCATTTTTACAAAAAAAATTAAGGATAAAATCCCGTTAAATGTACCAATTATTTTTGGCATAATTTTCGTCAAATTGGCGGATTTTTTTCTTACATTTTTTTACTTTTAATGAAAACCAAAACCTTTCCAAATTTTCATGAAAATATTCGAAAATATGTTTTAGGCAAAATTTACAATTTCACAATTTTACTTAAATTTTTGCCAAAATGTTATGTGAAAATTTTAAAAATTTTCAATAAATTTAAAAAAAAAATTTACAAAATTTTTGCAAAAATTCTAGGTAATCAGTAATTCACATAGTTTACTTTTTGTTCAAAAAATTAACCAAAAAAAAACAAAAAATTTAGTTTATCAGTACGTGTATTTTACAAATAATAGGGGTACTTACAAACTGTTGGTGAAATTTTTAAATTGGTAAATAGGATAATGATTTAATTATTGTTTGAATTCATAGTATTGTGAAGGATAAATTGTAGCAAAAGATTTAAATAATTCAAATAAAAACAATATTTTCTCCTTGGATATAATCATGTGACAGGCAGAAGTGACTTGGAAGAACAAAAATATGCCAAATTTGTAAATATTTTTAAAAAGATATAAAAGTTAGCAATTTGGGAGTCAGAAGAGGTTTAAGTACGTTTTAACCTAAATTAAGTTTGACATCATTCTCATGGATTTTAAGATTCCAACCTTATCATTACAAAACTTTAGTCTATAAACCATGTTTTATGCCCTAACGTGGCCAGATATTTTCAAAAAATAATCTCATCTTTAAGGATTGAACACATAAAAAATATTTTTAAAAGGAAATGGATTTCGAAGTGGCTCTGACGAGAAAATAAGGAGAATGTGGCTCGGACTGGGAATTGTTGTGGTTGGTCTTCCTTCCCTCGCTCTGCTTAGTTCCTCTTTCAGTCTCAAGTCAGCTGATTTTCCTTAAAATTTTCTATCTATCTATAGGCCGGGTCAAGAGTCCCTTAATAGCACTCTTAACTAATCCTGGTTGGTAGGATCATCTACCCTACGCGTTCATAAGTTGTGCTAATACCGGTATTAACAGAAATGCCAGTTTTACTAAGAGCGGTGTTAACTAATCTACCCGCAGGGTAGATTTAGGTAGGATGATCTACCCTAAATAACCAGTTCTACCAGTATTAATTTGGTTTGGATTCGATATTCTCGCAACCTCATGAAATACAGGGATGTTTAAAATACAGGGATGCATAAAAAGCGAAGAAATACTTCTTATTTTGCTTAATTCAGAAAAATGACCCCTGCCCCACCCTCCTTACATAACTATATTAATAAAATGTGTTGAATATAAAAAAAAACATTTTATGAGCAAAACTTTATTAAAGATTTTTTTTCTAAAAAATATATCTTATTGAAAAGTTTTTATTTTTTTAACTTTGATAATGAAATGTAAAAAGTTTAGTTTGCAAGATATTTTCATAAATTTTTAATCTATCTTTCGTCATATAATAAAAATGTATTATTTAAAAGTCGTCTTTATAATTATTAACAAATTATTAAGTTGAGAAGAGGAAAGAGTTGCGCAGAAGAGTCAAAACGGTAAAGTTTGGATGATAATCCTGGTTTTTAGCTAGGATGACTTATGAACGCATCAGCTGTTCTAGGCTAGATAATCCTGCCACAAATTAGGCAGCATTAGCGACTTATGAATCCGTATTTCCTAAACACTGGTGTTAGTGTTAAGAGTGGTATTAGAGCGGTATTAGCTAATACCGCTCTTAAGATACCGGACTCTTGACCCGGCCATATTTGTCTTTCTATTTACACTTCTATCTATCTATCTATCTATCAACTACCTGCCCTATCATCTGAACCCTTATTCCTATTTCCTTATGTTTGTCTATTATTTATATATCTACTGAAACCCGATCTTTACATTTTAACATTTTCCGTGTAAGTTGTATCTTTTTTAATGGATTAAAAAATAAGCAAAAAGATATGCAAATTAACCAATAGGAATAACTTTATTCATGGATTTCAGGGGCAGAAGGGGGGGGGGGGGTCTGATAAGACAAAATAAGAATAGCAGAAGCAAAAAAAAAGGAAACAAAAATCGAAAAAATAAATTAAAAAAATAAAAGAACTATGTATGTTTTATCACCAATTAATTGAAAATACTAAAATAGCTTTGCTACTATTCTACCGTCATTGAAAATACCAGCATTTGAATTTATAGATAATATAATTAAAACTCGTCTTTACAGTTTTTTGCTGTCATTTTTATAATTAAAACTCAAATGACAGTAGCGAATTTTGTGGCGGGCATGGAGACTAATTTGCACGGAACAGAGAAAACCCGGCCGGGTGGATACAAGGGGGGGAAGGGTACACTCGGCCCCCCCCCCCCCGGAGATTTTGAGGTAATAAATGCTCCCAATTAGATCAAATAATGTTCTGAATTTGATTAATCGAATGTACTCCTATTTCAAGTTATTTGAAGTAAAATTATGATAATAATTACAAAAACAAAGAACTTAGTACAGGGTGTCCCAATAAACATGGGAATTCAGTGACGAATTCGATATCGTCTTTATAAACAATTCTAATTGATTTAGTATAGTGATACCTACTGAGAAAGCTGTTTAATCTGTAAAAGTTTCGTCTGCTATGTTTACATTTTGTTTGTTTATGTTTTGACTGCATACGGTTGTACTTAGTAAAACAAACAAAATACAGTATACAAACAGAGTAAACTTGTCCGTCTTCACTGTTCATCCTGCGGAGACATTATAGACACATCTTTGCAGTATTTTAGCCTTTTCATAAATTAAACTCTAGCAGACATGACAATATTATAGCTTTGAAATTAGGTATTACAATGCTAATTCATAACAAAGACATATCGAATTCGTCACTGAATTCCCATGTTTTTGGGACACCCTGTATATCACATCATTGATAACCAGAATAACTCTGGAATAGGAAGACGACTTTTATGACTTTATGACTTTAAATACTCCAATATGCATGGGATGCAAAAATTGTGCAGTGTAAACTGACCCATTTCACTTTTTTTGTGATGTAATAAGTGTCTAGTAAAACTATTTGCTAATCAAATACATCAAATCCACTAAGTATTGCTATAAAGTCGTCTTCCTATTTCAGAGTTTTCTGGTTATCACTGTAAATAAGCTAAGAAATTAAAGTAATTGGAACAAAAACAGGTAAGTTAAGCAATTTAGGATTTTAGAAACAAGATCATTATATTTCATTGGCTTCTATGTATTTGAAAATGAACCAACTTGTTAAATCTAACTTGTTAAATCCAAGGGTAAACTACTGACATAATTTCAAGTTACCCTCCATTTAAAGAGCTACATGCAATGGTATACCATAAAAAACCTTTCTCTGATTCGTATTTTTTTTCCATGTCTCTGCTGCATAAATCTGTTGAAAATTCAATTGGGTAGAAAAACAGAAAATCTCCATAAAATGTTCTCAAATAAAAATAAAAGTGTACTGTACTGTTTTATAATAAAGGGTCACTTGAAATTACGCCAAACGTCCCATATTATCCGAATAGGACATTTAATACATACATGCTGGCAAGTTCCACCTTCATTCTACAATTATTTAACAATATCTGCCCTGTTTCATTTTGCAAATTTTAGACTAGATTTTTTTAAAAACTTTTTTTTACATGTTTTATATCATTTAAATAAAAAATTTGTTTGTTCCCAGATATTATTGTTCATTTCAAATGCTGGGTTTATGACGGTTCAATGATATAAAATTCGGCGATGATAAAGATTGTCTTTAAAGTTTAATGTGGAATTGTTTGTGCCATTTCACTCGGTGCGATAACCCCCA